CATGGGTGCAAGTCTTCCGTCCCCAGGACGGATTTCCGTCTTTCGAAAATGTCCGCGGACGGAAGTAAGACGGAAACAAGACTGACTCGAAGACGGAAATCGGAATTTTTTTTTTCTGTCCTTAAAAATATTTTTTAGGTCTACGTTATTGGTCTACTTTCTTATGTCCTGTTGTTATTTTATCAAAAGACAGATGAATAAATATTTTTTGTACAGTATTTAAACTTGATGTATTATGGTAAAGCTTTCTTAGATAGTTTGCATATGTCGAGGGGGTATTGTGTATGTTAGGTATTTCAGTCAAAAAATTTTCAGTCTTGGCCTTTTTTCCAACTTGCACCCATGCTTGGAAATAAAGATTTTTTTTTCATCAGTTAGCTCCACCACTACCATGAAAAGATAAAAATCTTAATGACTTATTTTGGTTTAATAATCAGATTTTCATCTACCATATATCTCGGTGTATAAGTCAACCTTCTATTTTTGATTACTAAATAGGGAATTTCTGGTATGTCAGGTGTACAGGTCTAAAACTAATATATAAAAATTATGATATTTGCCACCAACTTGACTAAAAGGATCGTAGTACAGTAGGGAACCGATTATCCGGAACGATCGGGACCATCACTATTCCGGATAACTGATTTTTCCGGTTTTCTGAATCGCTACAAAAAGCCGTTTTTTCTATTGTTAAAGTAGGCTTTCGAACTATNAGTAATACACTAATGATTATTTCCAAAATGATGGTAAGGTAAACATCTTTCAAAAAAGAAAGAAAAATTCTAAAATCTTATGAGGAAAAAAAACATTTAAAAAAAAAAAATGTCGGGAAAATGTATCGAATTTCATTCCGGTTTTTTGGTGTTCCGGTTTACTGATTTCCGGATAACGGGTTCTGCACTGTATATGACAATTAAATTGTTTAACAAAATTTTAGTCATATTATTGAAAATTTTTTATTTAGGCAACTATTTTCATATTTTAGGCTACTGAAAGCAACTATTTAGTTCATTCTTTTACTGTGGCAACCCTGTATTTAGATTAACTTGAGCAAAACCTTATTTTAAGTTATAAACTTTGTCACAGAATTGTATTTTCTCCAATTAAACATAAATTTGTTGACAGATTTTAGAGTTGGGCTTGAAAGTATGAGAAATCACCACAATCTGAAAAATTGGTTCTTAGTTAAGAAAAAAAAGGGGTAAAAAATTTGGATCTCCTAATATCACTTTCATATTTCCGTGATTGGTCTGTACATTTTATGCTGAAGTGCGGAAAATTCTCTGAGGCCTAATATTTTCCCAGAATACAGTTTTTATTCTTGCGGGAAATTAATCCCTAAATTATGCTTTTTAAAGTTACAATAAATTTTACGAAATATATTTAGAAATTAAAGTATGTATATTGTAAAAATTTTTGATAATAATTTTTTTCTAACAAAAGAAAAAAAATCATTCGATTTTATACAATTCATAAATAAATCAGCGTAGGCGTTTAAAAATAATTAAAATCAAAATGTGTTGAAATAGTCGTAATTTATAAAACTCAATTTAAAACCCCACTCATAAATTTAATGAATTCAAGCTAATTGACATAAGAGCTTTGTGTGTTATCAATCTTGTAAGATATTTTTCTGCTTGAATAATTTTATATTACATTTATAGGGTAGAATTTTGTAAAGTGGCACATTTTTATGACAAATGTTAAAAAAATTTTTTTTTTTTAAATTAGGTCAAAAGATTTTCCCTGAGAGTACCTAAATTTCCCCACACCCTTTTAATATGATGCAGCATATTTTACACTCTTGCATATATATAATAAAATGTTCTGAGCACTTATTTTTTATTGTTTTTCATTTTTGTACTCTATTAGATATTATGATAGTACTTATTCTTATGAAAATGTATACTATCAACTGCTTTTAACAATATTTAGCATCTTGTAAAGGAGATGAATACTCAAACTCTCTATTAATTGAAATGCTCAAACTCTCTATTATTTGATATCTTCACAGTTTTTTGGCTTCTGATACTGCTATCGTTAGGCTTGACATTTTAAGCAACTTAGAATTTGATTATGACAATTTCATATCTTTGCAGAGCATGACTGTCAGCATTTTTTATATTTTGTTACAATCATTAGCTTAGGCTTTTGTTTTCTGATTCTGAGATTTTCATTGTTTTTATATGGGTATTTTTTGTTTAAATTACTGAATTTACTATCCGTGTTTCAATTAGAATTAAAAGTTGTAGCTTCTTTTCTATTTGTCATAAAAAAAAATTGTCTTTTTCTCTACGATATAATATTTTAATTAAGGAAATTGGTAATATATATTTTGAAGTATATTCTTTTTTTTTCAGGTTGTTAAAGTCAAAGACATTAAGACAGAAGCCTTACCTAAGGATAAGCATATAAAGGTTATAATTTAAAATTTCTGTAATTATTAAAGCTGTTTCAACACATAGCTAATATTTTTAAAATGGTGTACAAATTTTTTTCTATTAATTTTTAAGAAAATTATTAGGATAGCTCATTCTTCTTGTTGTGCATGTAAATTGATCTGTAAATATTTTATTTATTTTACCAGACTTTTTTAAAACATTCTTTTAAAATTGCACTATATCTATTTATGTGTTAAAGCAAGTCTATTTTGTACTTTATTAAGTAAGAATTATATTAATAAATTTGTTTTATGATTGTAGAATTTACTGATGAATGGTTAACCTTGTTTAAAAGAAATATTTAAACAGTTTTAAAAAAATCAATGTTTACTTAATTTTTATACTAAACAGGTGAACGTGAGTCATTTTATTAATCCGTCTAAGCTTTGGATTCAGCCTTCCACTGCTCCAGATCGTCTATCGCAGATGGAAAGAGATCTCGCTTTGTTTGTGAAGCAAACGCCATCGTCATACGATTTGAGTCACGTTTATTGTGTTAATCAGCGTGGCTCCTGCAAACGCGTGGCTGTATTGGAGGTGAGATGTTTCTTTATCTCAATTTTCATTCATCTATTTTATAATTATTGTCTATAGTAGAATCTCTAAGTGTATTCATTTTGGGTTCTTCATATACTTGCTTTACTTAATTGTTCCTTAATAATACAGTGTATGCTTTTAAACTCTTAATTAAAAAAAAGTATTATATGAAATTCATAACAATGATGAAACAAAGCGCATGTTTTATAATTTTTAACAAAATATTTAGAAAAGATTTCCTCTCTAAACTATAATGAATGCAGACCATAAATTTATTATTTATTTTAGAGTAAGTATTTGCATTAAATCTTCTATAATATTGGAGTTTAAAGAGATACATTATTAAAATATAATGAAATGGTGTAGAAAATGAGTTGCAAATGAAGCAGCTTCTAACTTTAGTAGCATGAATGAATGTTAAAATGAAATCTCATAAAACTGATAATACTAAATTTATTTATTATTTTTTTTTTGCAATAAGTTACTTAACATACAAAATTGCTAAATATATAAAAGTCTAAATTTTTACTAATTTTTTTTCTTTTTTGCTCTTGTTGATCTATTCAGGATTGGTACATAACCTGTATGTAATAAATTTCTACACATGCACATAATAAATTTTATGCGTGTTATAAATTTTCCAGTTTAGTAAGTTTACATATTTGAGTATACATGATGAGTGTATTGAATTAATTGGGAATATTGTCAGAAAATATGAGATTCGACAAAAAAGTCAGTGAAATATCAGTGTAAAAAGTAATTTTATTCAAAACCTGGAATTCTCAGGTAATTTTTCACCTTATTAAACCTTGCATAAAAACTTGATATTTCACACTTTTGTGGCGCATAATAGTTAAATTGCCGAACAGACAATCGTTTAGTAGATTGAGATTCTTTTTTTATGCTTTAGCATTTCTGAAAATAAGAAACGGCAATTCAATTTGTGCAATTTAATTTATTCAAAACTTCTGTCTTCATATTCTAAGATTGATATTTTAAAAACCCTGGTACAGTGCAGATGTACCAATCCTACACAATTGACTCTGAACATCTGGTTGCATCTCCTGCCTTCAGAAATTGATTTGAATGAAGGGAACAAAGTAAAATTCCCATTTCTTCATCAAAAAAAAATTGCAGTTTATTTTGCAGTGAGGATTCCAACCCTTTACAGTAGCGTCACTGGAAAGCTGATGGTTTTAGTGCACTGTTTTAGTTATAGATGAGAGCCACAATTCTTGATCATTCACTAATTAATTTTTTTAAGTCAGTCCAAGACAGTCAATATCCAGAGCTTCATCATTTTGTGATTTATCACTTCTTTTGATATATGAAGATAAAATTCAATTAAAACTCCCAATTAGCAATGTTTGATCATCATTAACTAATTACAAAAAGTATTTAAGACTTCTTGTCTATCTTACTGTTTTGGTGATTTTTAGAAATTTTTGTATTTTTGAGTTGTTTCATGAAGGAAAAAAATTACTATCAAGATTTTAATGATATATCTATATCCTAATATTTCAAGTACGTGCAAAAACATCTTATGTAATTTAAATGTCTCATTTTAAAATATTTAATTTTTTTGAAGATGAATTATAGTCATGATTTATTGATCACAGAATTATCAATATGGTGAATTGAGGAGAGGAGCCATTTACTAATCTAATTTTGACATAAATGTTGAATTAGATTTTTTTTAAAACTTTCTGTTTGAAGAAATATTGCGCACTATAACTAATTAACTGGACATTAAACATTTTTAATTCAAAGCTTATTTTTATGCACATAATAAATTTCTCAACTTTGTAATTTTTACTTATTTAAGTACACATAATGATTCTATTATATTGAATTCAATGCTTAATGAAAATTTAACTGGGGCTATTCTCTAATTTGCATTTGTAATGTGATTTTATGCATTTGTTCCTTTTCTGCTTAATTTAAAAAAACATCTTAACTGTTCGGGTAATATGGAAAACAGATATTTTTGGTATTAAAGATTGAAAATTAAATATGATTTTTTAAAGCATCAATTCTGATAACACTTTATACATTGTGACTCTTAATACAGAAAAATAAGGTAAAATAGAGACTTGAGGTTTTCTGAGCACAAGTACCTAAAATTTTTGCATATCTGTTTCTTGTGAATTCTATTATAGTGATTCTATTACAGTCTTCCTTTTACAGTGATTCTATCACTGTCTTCCTTTTACAGTAATTGCTATATGTTTGAAAGTGCTAGATCTTTTGGCTTAAGAACATTTTTTTTTATTACTTTAAAGATATTATATGTTTTGCTCTCATTGCTCAAAATCCAAAACATCACAAATTCTCTTAAATATTGGTTTTAAATCAATCATTTTATTTTTCAGAGAATCCAACTATTTTAATCACTTGTTTTAATAATTTAATTTAAATCATTCAGATTCTGGTACATATCAAATTTACTTTTAGTTATATTTTGTAATTAAATTCTTTACAATCTCTAAAAGTCATTAACATACACAATGTTATAATGTTTATAAAATTTTAGTATTTAATATAATTTTTTTTTCAACCTGGAATTTTATGAAAATTGACTTGGAAAACCTTGTAAAGTTGGAGAACAATGTCACCTTTTTTATTATAAACCCTGTCTATTGCATGGCAGAGTGTATGTTCATAAATCAGACGGTTACTGGTTCTTTTGAACTAAATCCTAATTAACGGTTGCTCAAAACTTAGTACTGATCCGAATGAAACTGATATATTTTAGATTTATTGGATTTGTTTTGTAGTTGATAAATAATGCAGATGTTTTGGTACTGCCATCTAGATGTTAAGATAAATTTCATTTCTTTTTATTTTGGTTTTTTTATTTTGAAAATTGTTTATAACTAAATGTGGTTGTTGATTTCATGTAATATTCAAAGTGATAGTTATGTCTAAATACTAAATGAAAAATGAGATACACAGGATTGCCACAAGTGACTAAAATGCAACTATTTGCTACTATTTTTGGCATGAGGCGACTATGGCAACTTTTTTTTGCCTGAAAAGGCTGAAAAAGCAACCATTTTTAGGAAGAGGAGACTATTGGGAGACTTTTCTGTACTCGATGTTTTTTTTAGCAGGAATTGGATTTAAAATCTGCAGCCCATGATAGTTTTTGAACACACTGAACTTTTGTTCTTAAAAAATAACATATGTTGAAAAATTTTTAATTGCAAATTAGAGTCTTCGCTTTTTAATTCCTTCAATCTGCAGATTCCTTTGTTTTCGTTTCTCGGTCGCCGTTTCAATGGCTTTGAAATTCCGCATGATTTAGAAAAAATTTCACTACGATATTTAGATGCATGAATTTGGAATTTGAGTAATCACTTTTCACAATATATATATGTATATATATATATATATTTCCTAGATAAATTATTGATAATAGGGAAAATTGGGCTAGAACATTAACGTTTATATAAAAATTATCATTTTTACCACCAACTTGACTAAATGGATCATGGTATATGACAATTAAGTCATTAACAAAATTTTAGTCATATTTTTGATGAATTTTTGATCTCATTTAGGCAACTATTTTCACAGTTTTCGGCAACTATTTTCATGCTTTAGGCTACTAAAAGCAACTATTTCGTCCATTTTTTTTCTGTGTCAACCCTGGATACATTGATTCTATGAATTCACTGTAATTCAAAGAAATTGATTTTACAATATTGGTACTACTTTAGATAATTGAGATTCTACTGAGCTTATATATGTGTTATATATAATTTTTTTCTTTATTAAATCTTTATAAATTGATGAACAGGTAAATGGTGATAAAACAGCTTCAGTCCAGTTTCTAGATTATGGGAACACAGCTACAGTTCAGATAAATCAACTGTTCCTTCTTCCAAATACTTTCAAAGAAATTCCTTACCAGGTACTTTTTTATTTATTAACTTAATGTTGTAGCTACTTGAGTGAATCTGTAGAAGAACTTTCCTACCAAGCAAAATTTTACCATTGCATAGCTAAGAGAAAGTCCTCATCCAGAGTTCTCAATTATGCATCTAGACTTAGATTTCATACATCTAGGCTTAGATTTCATACATCTGTTTGAATTATCACTCTCAAAAATTTTAATGAGAGTACAAATGCTTCCTGTAAATTTTTATTAAAATTACTGGGAATGGCAAAATGGAATAAAATTTGAGATTGAAGCTTTGGATTTGGATGCCTTTTTCAGATTTTCTTGTGTTGACTCCCCTTTTCATGTAATGTGTTAATTGTGACTTGAATTTCGATCATTTTGTTACATTCTGGATAAATGAGCATAAAAAGTTAAATTATATGAAATTATACTTATTATTGTTATAAAATTATATTATTAATTATATTATCAGGGCTTAATCCAGGGCGATTTTGGTACCGTTTTTCGGTACTTTCACAAAATTAAAAAAAAAAAACGGTACCTTCACAAAATTAAAAAAAAAAAATCGGTACCTTCACAAAAAAAATCAGTACTTCAACAAACTTTGAAAAAAAAACGCATCTTCACGAAAATAAAAAAGAAAGTTAGAAGGAATTAAAGTGCTGAATAGTTTTCCGAGCGGTTCACGGAAAAGTGGATTCACAGTGAACGCCGTATGGTACGCCATCGGACGGCGTTCCGCGCAACCGCACTAGCTCGAAAACAGGCTTGATATGCTGACGTCACTTCTCCTAAATACGCCATTCAATCGGAGTGAGTGGTGAAGTTTATATACTAGGCAACCGGCTAAATTGAGCCAGTGCGAAAACAACTCAACTCATTTTCCCAGACAAGTGTTTTTGTTATGATTTAGCGTAAAACGTGTTCTATTCGTATTTTTTAACAAGATTTATGAAAAGTTTTTATAATGAAGCGAGGAAGAAATTTAAGTGGAGCAGGTGGCTCACGGAATAGCGATTATTATATGAAGCGTTTACGCACGATCGATAGTATAGGAACGAAATCAATTAAAAAAAATTTTCAGTCTGAAAAAACTGAGGAGAAACCGTCACAACAGTCGCCGTCTGAAAAAACCGTCACAGTTGATAACGAGGCACAGTGTATTAAAAATGCTACGGAACCAATGATTGAAGAGCAAAACAATTCAAGTTTTGTTACAAAAAAAAAATTGTTTTTTTTTTTATCAATACTTAATTTTCACAAATATAAAAAAATTTTTCACAAAAAATTTTTTTTTCACAAAAATAGGTACTAGGATTGAAAACCTGGATTAAGCCCTGATTATGCACCATGAAAAGGTTGTGCTGGTTTTTCAAAAAAAAACTTTAATGTAATTAAGTTTAAGAAAAGTAAAAAATGTGGATTTTTTTAAAACATTCTAGCATGTTAATTTTGCATAATCAATGTTATTTTATAATCTAAATTATAAAATAAGTTTTTTTTTAATTTCGCCCAAACTTATTTCATTCTTTGTATATTGATAAAGGACTGAAATTACTTAAGATTTTTTTTTGTTGATAACACTGATTTCAACTTTAAATAACTGCTTAAACATCTGAACAGTACATCTGAATTTGCTCTTTTTATGCACAAAATGATAAAAAAATAGAAGTATTCTCTGGTAGTAATTTATTGCTTTGTATAATAAAATAAATTATTTTCCGTAGGCCATACAGTGTAAATTAGGGGATATTGGGGAAGAGAAGGACATTGCCTGGAGTGAAGATGACACTGAATATTTCCAGAAGCAATTTGCCAATAAGTCTTACTCAGCTCGTGCTCTCAAGGTCCTTGGAAATGATACCTATGTAGTCAATCTCTCATATGATGGTAATACAATTTTGTGTTTCCCCCCCTTCATCAGCATCTTTTTTAAAAATTTAAATACCTCTTTTATTAATGTAAAAAAAAAAATACTTTGCCTTAGTCCACTTTGTACCTATTGAGTATATTTTGTTACTTTTTACGATTAAACCTTTATAGCTTTTTTAAGTTACTGTTTATGAAATACATTTTAACAGGAACTTTATATAGTTTTTATTAGTATGTTGTCTATATTATAAATTCTGAAGGAGAGTTTCTCAACTTTTCAGCCCAGTGAGCCTTAAGACTAATTTGTCACTTCCTTTTTTTAAGTATAAATTTCTATGTCTTATTTAAGAAAAAATTAAATGCATTGAAATGTCACAGATTAGAAATAATATGGAAGTCAAAAGTCAGTCAGTACAAAAAAAAAAAGAAAATCAGTATTTTTTCTTATTTTTTGCAATGCTCTATTACTTCTATTGATTTATGTGTACTTTTTAACTATTAGTTAGATATTCACTTGCAAAAAATAATTAAGTAAATAAGTACTATATCTATTTATATAAAATGGTATTTTTATTTTAATAACCATACATTCACACCAACTTTATCAATTATTTACTATGCTTGTATTATTAACTGATAAATTTAATAAATATTTTTTCTTGTTGTCGAAAAAGCTTTCTGCTTTAAAAATTACAATTTCTGCTTCTACGTAATTTAAAAATTTGGTTGACATGTACTTAAGCATGTAACTGTAATACCAAATAGGTCCTTGAAAATCATTGAAAAGTTCTTGAATTTTTTTTTTTTAAATTGAGTGGGAATTACTGAAATATAATCTTAACAGAAAAGGTTTTATCATGCATTTCTTAAAATAAAATTTGCTAAATATAGCTAATTAATTTTATTAAATGGGTTGAAGTAATCTCAACTCTTCAACACAAAATTTTATCAAATATAAATTTCATACTTTTTTTCATTATTTTGCATTAATTTAGGTCAAAATAGGTGAAAAATATATTTAGCATTTTAATAATTTATAGTTATAAAATATAGCATCACACACCATTTTTTTCCTTTCTCCTTTTGCTAAAGATAAAATTTTTACGATTAACACGGTTCTGCAGTTATTTATATCTAAAAAAAGTTATTCTTCATTGAAATTTAATTTTCAAAATCAGTTATTGATAATGATTATGAATGAGAAAAAAATAATTCTAACTACTTTTTAAAAAAATATTTTATTAGAAATATACTTCTGATAATCTTAACAGATTTTTCTTGTAATTACACTGTTTTTTTATTAATAAAAATACAAGAATATTTGTTTGCTTGTAATATGAGCATTAGAAAAATATATAAAAGAGACAGGCATGTCCCATTTGTATCAAAGGGTTATATAAAATGCATAACTACTATATACAATTTAAAAAAATAAAAAATTGACCCATTTTAATTATCAGTTATAAACGACACAGAAATATACAATGAAAGCTAATTTTGCCTTGTTTATCATTCAATTTTAAAAATTGGTTTTAGTTTGGTACTAAGTGTATTGTTTTATTGCATGATTTTTATTTTTGTGTGATTTGAGTCGTAACATTTTAGTTGTCTCTGACTAGCAGAACATACATGAGCTTGTCACTAATTATAAATAGTATTTTATGAATTTATAATTTTTTGTTATTGTTTTATAAATACATCAAACTACACTGGTTTACTATGTAAATTAATATAGTAATGGCAAATATAGTAATGGCTATGAAATTTTTAATTAGTAATCTATATACATATTTACAAATAGCTTTCACTATAGTAAGCTCCATTGAGAATCTTGCAGCCACAACTGGCTAGCAGGAGAATTGAGTTTCAAATGACCAATAAAGGTGTTCCTTAGCAGAGGGCGCTGTTGTATTAACACAAATATAAAATGAAATTCTGAACAGCTATATATTTATATTTATGTTATACTTTTAGGTTTATCACTATATTCAATTTTATCTGTGTTAAACCCAAACCTCTCAACAGTTGAAGTAAAGGAAAGCGCTGTTGATTCTGCTGGGTAATTTTTCCTTTTTTTTTACATTCTTTTAAATGATTGTATAATTCATTGCTGTTTCTAAAATAAATATTAGGCAGTATAATTTCCTTTTATTTCATAGACGGGCCTGCCAACAACTATGTTTTTAGCAGAACATTTTGAAAAGTGATAGATAATTAAAAACTAAAGCTTTCTGAATTTTTAGTAACTTTGCCGACATTTCAAAAATCTCACCACAAGCCAGCTGAAAAAAATGGCATTTTAAATAAACTTTCAAAACATTTGTTTATAGTGGTGCGGAAAATAACTTTAAATCAAGTTTAGAAAAATGAAAAATAGCAGATTAAAACATTAACTTATCTACCACTAGAAGACATTTTTCCCAAAAAACTTAAGTTAGGTGGCAGCTTTTTATGGAGTGCAAGTTTTTTGTATTAAATATACACTATCAATCATTAACTTCTTTACACCTTTTGATTTTTTGTAAGAAATATACAAAGTAATAAGCCCTTGTTTAAATATAATCCTTTATTCAAGGAAAGAAACATACTTTTTACATAATTAAGCAATGACCAAAATGACCTCACTTCAGTGGCATTTTATCAGTTATAGTTACTTTTGTCTCAACTTTGATTTATATATATATAATGTAATTCATTACCATTTTTAAAGTAATGCTTTATTTTGCTCTAAATGTATGTATTAGTATTACAGAGGTGCCAACTATCAAAATTTTTCTGTAATTATTATGATTTCATTGTTAAGATTACGATCCTACAGTTGGTTAAGTAATAAAAATTACGGTCTTTAAGAATATGTTTTCCCCTCGTAACTACTAATCTTGTTGACAACTAACCTATGTTAATTTCTTTTACTATTTAACAATTTTAAAAACAATGAATGCAGAAACGAAATGATTTGATAGCAGAGATGATTGTGCTCGGAAAAAATTCCGGATTTTTCGCTAAACGCGATCTGGATATTTCCAGAAATCCAAGATCCTGAAGTTTCAAGAAATTATCAATCACATTTATTTATAAAAATTTTTGTGTATTTTATTTAAAAATATTAGAACTAGAATTTATACTTGGAATCTCTTTCACTTGTAAATATTTTTTTGGCAGAATAATAAATGAGATTTGTAAGATAAAAGTAAACTTATACGTAATCATTCATTAAACTTATACATTATTATTCATATATTATGCTGATTTCAATTTATAAAGACATTAATTTTTTGAAAAGGGTCATTAATGATTTTACTCAAGAAATTTTCAAGATATTTGAGTTGGGCTCACAATCACCTCTGTGATAAAAAAACTCATCTTCTCCCTTTCCAAAATTCTATTCTGAAACCTTATATTCTCTTCTGATTGCAAGGAAAAGAAGAAAGAAAATCTGAAATGTGAGCTAATAATTTTTTGTGGTTCAAATATAAGAAGATAAAAAGACATTACGAGCTAATTCTAATTAAACCTAAAAACTAGAACATTGATTTCAAGCAAGCAATTTAATTTCATGATGAAATATAAAATTTCAATGTAATTTTTCATTTAGTACCTTTATCTAAATGTTTATTTTTTATTACTTAATAGTAAATTCTTGTATAAATTTATTGATATTATATACCAGTGTGGAATGCTCCTTATATACTCCTTAAAATAATGCCAAGTGGAATTTTATGAACAATAACTGTATATGTTTTGTGTTATTGTATTTCTGATTACTGACAGCTTGTTTGAAAAGTTGGCATCGTTGTAAAAACTCTTCGCACTTACAGTATTATAAATCTTTACCTTGTAACTATGGCCTTGCATCATTATGTTGTTACATTGTGGAATTACATTTATTTTTTCCTCATTGAGTTATATGTCAGGTTATATATAAATGAACTTTATTGACAGATCAAAACAGCCATCCATTCCTTCTGTTTGGTCTTCCCTGAAGAATGGAGATAAGGTTGCAATACTGGGACTTGAATTCTCTGAGAATCAATTCTGGGGAATATTGGATAATGGAAGTGGGGCACAGAAAAGCATAGAAGAACTGGATCGCATTTTTAAGTCCCTCGACACTAAAGATTGCAGTCTATGGTAAGTTCACACATTGTTTGTTTACTTAAATATTTTACTTCTTTGCTTTTATTCTCATTTGATGTGCTGAATATTTAATTGGGGATCATTGACCTCGGAAAACTTAGTGGGTTTCAAAATAGTTTTAAAAAAATCAGTTTATACTCAGATGAAATGAAATTGTTAATTAAAAAACCAGAAAAAGGAATTAATCTAGAAAGATTTGAATTTTAGGAATCAAAGAATTTTCATTTTTCTTTATTTAAAGACCTTTCTACAAAATTGTTCAATTTCAAACACACTATTAAAGTTTAATGAAAAGTTCTTAACTCTATTCTTTGAATAAGTATTTTAAGATGCTATTATCAATTTTATGAGAATTTCAAATTATTTTAACAAAAAGTGTCCAATTGTTTCAGTTTATGTTGGCTGTTTTGGAGTTTTTTTTTAATCTAACAGTAAATTTTTTCAAACCCTTTTTTTTAAAAAAAAAAAAAATATATATACCTTATCTGAAAAATTACTATTTGCAGAAAAATGGTGATTGATGAAAATGGTGAAAAGATTTTTGATAAATAACTGCTGAAAAACATTCAAGAAATGACATGAATTTTTTGCATAATCTTAATGAACTGAATGTGTCTGAAGACATATTATGAATAGGGTTGCAAAAAAACCCACCTACCCAGTAAAACCTGGGTGGGTTTTACTGGGTAAAACCCACTCTGAAAAACCCAGTAAAACCCACCCTAAAGTGGTTTTTACTAAGATTGATTTCTTTTTTATCCTCTGTTATATTAAAGAGCTATTCTATTGAAATATATATGTAGTCTAGCCTAAAAAAATACCTATAATGAAAAAACTAATTGTGTTGGAGACTGGAGAGTCACCTTGCTGGCTAGATTTGACTGTACGGCAATTGATTATTCAGTGCCATTGATTAGCTTTCTATGCAAATAAAAAAAATTCCTTAAATATTTTTTAAGATTAAAATATAAATTAAAAGTAATCCTGTGTAAAAATAAGTTTCAAATGTGTGATGTATGTGAGTACATATAAAATTTTGTATCGTGATGTCAGAAGAAACTTTTTTCAGACTTTTGCACCAATTTAAATTATTAATTACCTATATGTTAAGTCAATTTTTAAAATTAAACTTAACTATTAATTTTAAAATAAGGTACCTATCCCTGCCCTCTCTTTTGAAAAAACCCCCATTAAAACATGAAGCACTCAGAAAAGCCCAATAGAACCCAGAGAAGCCCAATAAAACCCAGAAAAACCCACCCGGGTTGGGTTTTTCTAGAAAAACTCTGGTTTTTTTCAACCCTGATTATAAATGATGTGGAAACGGCTCACAAAACAATGAATTATTTTCCAAAAATCATTTTTAAAAAACTCTACAGAATTATGCTGGAAGTCAAGTGAGATGGAAAGTGGTTACTCTTATTCGAAACTCAAGTGTCCTATTATCATTTTTGAAATATTGAAATGATGAAAACCATGTGGAATAGGTTGAAAAATGGTAAATAAATGCCAAATTTTTTTTTAATGTCTGAAATGGATTAAAAAACTAAAAGATAACTGGGGTGCATTGCAATTAATAAAATACTCAGGTATCAAATTTCAAGCTTGGAAAAAAAAAGGTATGGAAATGGTTGGAAAAAGAAAAATAATTGCCGAAAAAAAATACTAATAATAAACTCGAAACGAAATCGGAATACAATGGAACTTATTAAAATCAAGTGTGTAACGAGTTCAAAATTCAATCATAATAACATTAATCATTAACAGCTTATTAATATATAATGTGAAAACTAGTAAAAAACTGCTTTAATTTATGAGGGAATTAGTGTAAATGTATAATATTTCTTATTCAAACTGGACGGCATTTTGTGAACTTTGTCTTGAATGATTATTAATATTATAATATCTATTGTAAAAAGACCGCCCATAATATGTAATCTTCAATTCTTTATTAAACGAGAAAACTATGCAACACATGTGGTGGGGGTCTACAGATTAATATTTAAGTGAGAAATGAACAAAAACGCTATTGGAATCTGACAGATTTCAGTTCAGTAGAAAAAGGCAGACATCAAAGCAGGCTTAATTGAAGGGTGAAATTCAAAGGTGCTACTAAAAAAATTGCCTCTTTTAATCTTATGTTTTTTAATGCAATCAAACAAATCTTGTTTATGAGAGTGGCCTTCCTGTATAGTAGTTTGCCAGATTTCAATGAGGGTTTTTTGTTTTTCTCCAGTTAAATAAGATTTATTGACTCCTTATGTGTATACCTTTTTGTTTTCATTTGTGATAATTTCCCTATAAAAACCTATTAACGTTAGTCTTTAATGTTGTGGTCTGTTATCTTTGCTCTGTATATTATCATAATATACTGAGTATATTATCAAATTTGATACACTCTGTATATTATCTTTTCTTTCTTTAGTTCTTTTTAACATTATATGCTACTTTTATTATTAGGGGATACTATTATTTATTTTTAAGGATACTCTATGTGTGCTATTTTTTAATACTAGCATCAGTGGAGGCTTTGATATTAGTTTTATAATAGTATTGATGAATAATACTAAGTTATTCATACTTTTAAGATTTTTCTGATGTTTTTTTCATAGATATGTAATGTTTTTTTTTTTTTTTAAGATATTGCATTATTTTTTGTAATTATTTTTTTTTTAAATATAATCAGGGTAACCTCACACAATTCATTTTTTTATAAATCAGATATGAAATTATAATAATAATAATTGCATATCACATACAAGATCACAAGAAATGAGGTGTAAATAATGTTGAAAACTAAGCTTATCATAACTTAACAGATGTTCTATCTTGAATTTAATGTATGAATATATCAAAAGCTGTATAAGGTTTCCTCTGGTGACTTAAAAGTAACTATTTGCTACTTCTTTTTTACCTTGAGTGACTATGGTGTTCAAGTTTAACAATATTCAAGTTTCACTTGCCACTATTAGATGTTCTTGATTCACTACTATTCCATGGTAAATCCTTGTCGTTTTCCTGTCAATTATTCATCCATTTCAATATACTTTATAATTTGATAATTTCTTTTGGCAGGTCTGAGATGTTTGGGAGGTCTTGAGATGTTAATTTTAAAATAATTGCTATATTACAACATTAGTTTTAAATTTCAGTTATTTTCACTCTCTAAATTTTTATGTAAATCTGCGTCGTTTCTCAATTGTTCTTACGTTGTTTTTCAAATTCTGACATTTTTATAGTGTGATGTCATTACGGTATGTGAATTTGAGATTTAAGTAACAACTATTTGTTTTCATTATTTATTATGAATTTTTTGTGCACTTCCACTCATCTTTTTTTCTTCACATTGTTTCTTTTTGATGTTTTCAGTTTAGAAGGATTTCATCTAAATTTTGTGCCTTTTCATATTAGTTTTTTTCTGCATTTTCCACATAGGTTTTTTAGCTCTGATATTTTTAATATAATGTGGTTATGGTATGGGAATTTTAAAATTTTAAATTTGAGTTATCAATTTTTGGCATGTTCAATTCTGTTGTCCATCTAAAGTCCATGTTGTCCTCCTTTTCTTTTTTCTTCCATTTTAACATGTTTTTCCAATGTTTTTAATTAATATTATTATGATGACATGAGAATTTCAGTGATGATCTTTTGTAAAGGATTGATTTAAAAATAGTCTTTTGTTGCGTTCAGTTCCATTGTGATTCCAGGTTTGTTCTTTTCAATTGAGGAGACTATTTAGGCTACTATTTTTTATATGTAAAGCTACTACCGCTATTTTCATGGAGAATTATATTAAAAACCCTAACTGTGCCCCTAACAGCCTGTTGTGAGCCAGGGAAGGGCATGACTGTTAAAGCCTCACAATTACGTCATTAACAACATAATTGTGTCAATGTGCTCAGAATTGCTTTTGACTGCCTTTACTTCACAAGCCAGCTGTGCCAGGATGAAGTCCCAGTTTTTTACAATGATTGTTGTTAGGACTGGGCGATATAAGAAATTTTTTATCTCGATGCATCGTCAGTTTTGCATCGCGATACAGCGATGTAGTATTTTTGAATTGCATTTACTTGTAAGGCACAGAAAGTAGGGTTTCTATCAAAACTTCATACTCAGATTGATTTAAATCAATTTATGAATTTGAAGATATATATGTTCTGCTAAGGAAAGATATTAATGTTATATTTTCTAAGAATGATCGTGCAAATAACAATAGATTTCTTAGCTTAAAAATAAATAATGAAAAAAAAATTGAAATTCATCATTATAATATTTACCTAACGATAATATTTACCTATATATATATATAACTATAATATTTACCTATAGAAAGAAAATAAGTTCGTTAAAAATTATTTGCAGGCTTAAAATAAAGTGCTTAATAAATTTTTGAAAAAGCGCTTTTAAGACAACCCTATTTTTTGTCATTATTATTTCACATAAATAATTAAGTTAAATTGAATAATTATCGAATTCTGAACGAAAAAACAAAGTAAGGTTTAATTTCTTGAAAATAAAAACAAAAGAATTATGATATTCGATAATATATTTAACTAACAATATTGAAAGAAAATTAAAAAACACGATTATACTCTTTAATAAAACAAAGTGCTAAATGATTTTAAAAAGAAAAAAAAAAGAAGTCGCAAACCTTGCTAATTTTTTGGAATAAACAAAGTTGATTGACTTATGTCCAAATCCAAAAGAGGAAAAACTAGTTTTGTTATAATTTTATTTATAAAAACAAAAACAACTAAAAATTTATAAATTTAAAATCAGTAATAAAAACTCATTAAATTATTGGAAATTTTATCCAAAAAGTTTTTAATAAATTAAAATAAAGTAAAAAATTGCCTAACAAATTTAATTACTTTGTAATTTAATTCTTAATGGGCACCTTAAATTAGATTTCCGATTGTAATAAATTCAATAATGCAAAAAATTACTTAAACATATAATATCAAAATTAATTTTCACATTTAAAAATAAAATAAAAAGTTTTGTTTAAAAAAGAATATTTTACCTAATTAATTAAGAAACACTTCTTTATATATTCTTTTCAATAATAGATTACGTTCAGAACAAGGTAACGATGGCGATCTCAAAGTCAGTCCCACTGAAAATAATATACAAGAAACGATATCAAGTCGCGACAAAGAAAAAGGGAAAAAAAACTATGAGGCGAAAAAACGAACATGGGAGATCACGATATATGTTCTCAGAACTGATTTTGATTTTCTGGCTCATCAATCAAGGCCGTCTCAACATCATAACATAAGAGATCCTTGCGTGCCTTGTATCGCTATATCGTTCGTCTTCTTTACTCAACGGCTTAAATCAGATTTCTGATGCATCGTCTGGAAAGACGGCTCATCAATCAATGCCGTCTCAACATCATAACGTAAGAGATTCTTGCGTGCCTTGTATCACTATATCGTATATTGTTCGTCTTCTTTACTCAATGGCTTAAATCAGATTTCTGATGCATCGTCTGGAAAGACGGCTCATCAATCAATGCCGTCTCAACATCATAACGTAAGAGATCCTTGCGTGCCTTGTATCACTATATCATATATCATTCGTCTTCTTTACTCAATGGCTTAAATCAGATTTCTGATGCATCGTCTGGAGCGAAAGTCGCTGTATCAGCCTGCCGATGTAGGACGATATGTCACGATATATCGATTTATAGCCCAGTCCTAATTGCAGTATGTTTTTAACTACTCAGCCATCATGGCTTGTTAAACTTGAGCAGTATTATCAAATGTTTTCTTTGGTTTTGGCATAGTCAACCTGCTTCTGCTTTGAGGAGGCATTTCTAATGAACTATCTGCTTGAATCAGACTTTGTTTGGATGTTAAATTTTCTAAACGTGCACTTAACTGATAAACAAAGCAAAGCTATAAAATTGACCCCTTTCTTTTCATTATAAATTATTATATTTGTAACTAATTAAACATTCGTTTATCACCTTAGTCTAGTGTTAACATGTTTTTTTTTCTATTTGTTTTTCAGTGCTGAAGAAGGAGATGTAGTTGCTGGTCTATCTCTTAAATTTAATGAGTTTTATCGTTGTGTTGTTTTGAAAAGGATGCGTGATAAATTCCTCGTTCATTTCATAGACTATGGAAATGAAGAAGAGATTTCAAAGTTATGTGAATTGACTCCAGAATTGTGGAGCAAGTGTTGCTATGTGGTGTGTTGCTCAAAACCTAATTCTATTTCTCAAGAGGAGTTCAAGTCTGTGTTTACTAAAACTGTTAGTGTCTGTGTAAATAAATCAGACGATAACTCGACTAAACTTTCTTTCCTCCATAAGAATTGCGAGATATATCTGGATTGCTTCCCTTGGTACCATGTCATTGGTCAAGCAAAGCCTACAAAACTTCCTGAGAAAAGAATCAAAAGTGATCTTGTTGCTGATATGCCTTTTGATGATAGTATTAAATATCAGGTAAAAGTAGTTTTTATTGGTGGTGGTGCATCAAAAATATTCATTCAATTACTAGAAAATGAATCTAAGCTTGAAGCTTTGATGAAGCAGTTATATAAACACTGTTCTTCAAATATATCTGATAAATATACCCCTATCAAAAATGAAATAGTTTGTTGCAAGTTCAAGGAAGATGGCAATTGGTATCGAGGTGAAGTGATTGGAAAAAAAGGGAAAAAGTACAAAGTATTCTTTGTAGATTTTGGAAATGAAGATTGGGTCGTGGAGGAAGAAATGAGAGCTCTACCTACAAACCTTTCTTTGCATAAGTTAGTTATTTGCACTTCATTGCCTATAGTTAATGATGAAGATTTAAAAGAATTGATTCCAAAGTTAACAAGTGAGTGTTGGGAAATGAAGATAATTGATAAGTCATCATCGCCTGTTAAAATTATGCTCTATCAGAACGAGAAACCTGTGACAGACTTCTTGAAGAAGAAATTTGTTCCTACAAAAGCATCCCTATCACAACAGAAGCTACCTGAAGGAAAAAAATGTGAAGTTATGGTTTTTCACACAGAAAAAAATGTTGTCTATGTTCAGCAGATAGAAGATGCCCAGCAAATCAGAGATTTGGACAACAATATGAATTCTGCTGTTGCTGCTATGCCTCCTGCAAAAGAAATATTAATAAATAACGTCTATTGTGCTCTTTTTACTGACGGGTTATGGTATCGAGCATCGATTGACAAGGACTTGCAAAACAATCAATATCTTGCCACCTTCATTGATTTTGGCAATCAGGAAATTGTAGATGTTCAAAATCTTAAAGACTTATCTGAAGAATTTTTTAAGTTTCCAATTTTTGGTATCTCAGTTATTCCACAAAATGTTAGCGTGTCCCAAATGCAAGCGCAAGTAAAGTACCAAGTTGAAGTGATAGAAGAGTCACCTGGAGCTCAGTTAGTAAAAATTTTGAATGTTGGTAGATCAGATGATAGTATCCAAACATCAGAAGTTTCTTCAAGGGTAAAAATATCTAGTTTAGAGAAGCAACTAATTCCGTTAAATAAAACAGTTGAGGTTTCTTTGTGTTACATAGAAGAAGAAATCTACTATTGCTGGCTTGTTTGCGAGCAGGAGAGAATCAAATCTTTAGAAGCAAAATTGCTATCTGCTGCAGCATTTGAGTCTCTGAGTAAATTGCCAGATGTCGGCTGTGTTGTGTGTGCCAAATTTACTGATGACATTTGGTACCGAGGATCCGTCGAAGAGGTTTGCCCGTCTTCAAGTTCGTGTAAAATTTGCTTTATCGATTACGGTAACACAGAAACAATAAGTATTGAAAATATGAGAATTTTACCCTCCGAAATTAATTCATTTCCAATATTTTCCATTCCTGTTAGATTTTCTAACCCAGAAAAATTGCAGAAGCTTGTAGAAAACGGAGCAACCACATTCCATGTTCAGGCAGTGGAGTTATCTGACGAAGGCATACAGCTGGTCAAAATTGTAGAGCTGGAAGATAAAAAGCCGATCTTTACTTCCATACCTACACAATTATTGTCCGATTTGCCCACAGAAGTGGCTGTTTGTTACAAAGAAAGTGATTTATATTATGTTCAAAAAGTGTCCGATGAGGATTCTCTCAAAGAAATGATGACCAGTTTGCAGAATCCTGAAAATCTGGATGCTGTACAGCATTCACCTAAAGTAGGAGAGGTTATATGTGCTAAATCAAAGGATGGTTTATGGTATCGAGGAATTATAAAAAAGGATTGCGGGAATGATTTGTTAAAAGTCTTTTTTGTTGATTATGGCAGCACAGAGGAAGTCAACAAAAAACATGTTTGTTATTTACTTCCAATATATGCTTCTCTTCCTATGCTCAGTATTCCAATTAAACTAAGTGATTTGAATAAATACACAACATGCTTATCTATAGACTCCAGGTACACAGTCAAGTGCATTGGTACAGCGTCTGATAACATCCAAATTGTAAAAGTGCGGCCATCTGTAAAGTTTGTTCCTATAAGCAGTATTAAATCTTGTACGTTAGAGGAAAATTTAACACTCGTAAATTGTCATAATTCCTGTGAAAAATATTACTTTTTGATAAAGAATTCAGATATTGATAGAATGAATGAAATGAACAGATTATTAAAGGAATTTAAAGGCGAGGAGATTTTTGATGCTCCAGTAGTGGATGAAATTGTAATTGTAAAAGGTGCCGATAAAAACTGGTCTCGTGGTTGCATTCAAGTGACAAATGTTAGACCAGGGTTTTGCAGAGTTTTATTTGTTGACAAAGGCACTTCAGAAGATGTTCCTTATTCTGATGTCTGCTACATGTCTGAACAATTCAATTCATTTCCCCTTTTTAACATTAAAGTTTTAATAAATTCTGATACGCAATTTCAAATTGGAAAAGAGTATGTGGTACAAGTTGAGTCAAAAATAGATAATGTTCCTCTGGTTCGAGTTGTAACTCAATACACTTTACACTCGCTTGAAAAACTGTATCTGCCAATGCAAACTCCGATAAAAGTTAGGTTTTGCCATTGTGATAGAGATGTCTTTTTTGTACAAGTTGTTGATCAGTTTCCATTATTGAAGGAACTGTCCCAAGAAGTGCAAACCTGTTCCTTGGGTATTATTCACAAACCCAAAGTTGGGGAACTGCTGGTTGCTCGGTGTAGCCTCGATAACATACAATATCGTTGTAGTGTGGAAGAAGTGATATCCAGTGATATGTTTAAAGTTATCTTTATTGACTATGGCAACAGTGAAGTTGTTTCCAAAGAAAAAATGCAGTACTTTAGTGATAAGCTTTTTAAATATCCTCCTCTCTGCAGAGGCGTTAAAATTCCTAACTTAACAGCAGCTATTGAATTAGAACAAGAGTATACAGTACTGGCTAAAAACTTACCAGAGAGTAATGAACCTCAAGTTGTTGAATTAATTCTTGAAACTGTTCAACAAATTCAACCACTGTGTAAAGAGGTAAATTTGAATATTTATTATTTTTAATATAAATTGTGTAAGTAATTTTGAAGTGGATAGATATTTAATTAACGTTGCACTAGAGCTGCACAATGGGCTATTAGCAACTGTCTGGGAAACATCCTTGAGGATGATTGAAGACATGCCATCACAATTTTGATTCTCTGCAGAGGGGATCTCAATTATGAGGCCATTTCTTCAATTTAGACATAGATCTAAAGGAGAAGGAACTTTTCTCCAGATGCTTGCTTGTACCCATGGTTCTGCTCAGCAACCCACCACAAGACTTTACGAACATGTATATTGCATGTACGAGATGGGTCTTGGGGGGAGGATTCCAGAAACGACTGGTACATCTGTATCGGAGTCCAATTCTCTAATCACTGGGCTACTACAACTCTTTAAGTAATTTTGAATGTGTTAAGTAGATATTGAAGTTCAAAACTCAATGCTAGTTTAAAAATCTTAGTTATAGTAAATAATAATTCAATGATTGCAGAATTTTAACAATGACAAACTAGGGCAGGGGTGGCGAACCTTTATACACCAATGTGCCATTTTCTCTAAAAAAAATTGCTTAATGAGGTCATAGACGTGCCGTCAAATAATTTTGACTTCTTGATTATTGAGAAAATAATAATACTAAATACTATCAACTTAAAACTCTTTATTTACATTGAAAAAAATACATTTTGCAATATCTCAGTTATACGCATAATTCAACTTTCAAGTAACATTAGTGTGACTTCTGTTGTTGCAGATTAGATGACAAATAACTTATATTAGGTTGAAGATGTTAGTTTAAGCAGGACTGTTAATTTTTTTTTGCTAGTTATTTATTGTTAGCTTGTTTTTTATGGTTATTAATTGTTTTTTTAGCATTAATTTTTAATTTTTTTATTAATATTGTTTATTATTTTGTTTATTTTTTGTGAATTTTAATTATTAATTTATGGTTATTAATTGTTTTTTTAGCATTAATTTTTAATTTTTTTATTAATATTGTTTATTATTTTGTTTATTTTTTGTGAATTTTAATTTAATTGTTGCATATTCTTCATAGTGTAACAACAATTGTGATCGGTGGAGTGCCCAAAATATTGTGTCGCGTGCCATTAGTTCGCCATCCCTGAACTAGGGGTTCTCAAAATGATTATTTTTTTAATGTTTTTTCAAATTTAATGAAACACTTCATTTATAAGTATTTAGTTCCGATTAAATTGATTCATTGTAACTGATTTATTGTAAACAGAATATTAAGTCTATGACTATATATATTGACTACTTGTAAGAAAAGATTCCAATTAATAGTTTAATAAGTAATGACATTTTGAACCGACTAACATAAGTTTAATATATTTATAAAAATATTTTTTAATTTAATTTGTATATTTTATATAATAAATAATTTAAAGAACTATTTTCGTTACTTAATTTGTGATTAATGTTTAATTTATGATATGGAAAATATATTGTTGAATTTTATATAACTACAGAGTTTAGCTTTCAATCTATAACTGCTAAAATAAGATAACATTTCTATTTATTTGTGTAGCAGTTTCATAGTTTAACACTTCATGATTTGATTCTCTCTCCTGCATTTTATTCCTTCAATTTTGTACCACAATGATAATGAAAATAGTTTGAACAGGGTTCCCACGGATCATGAAAACCTGGAATTGTCATAGAATTTTATTTTCACTAAAAAAAGCTGGGAAAATTGCATGTTTTTTTTTATTTATTTATTACAAAAACATGGAAAATACCTACACTAACCTGCAAAATAACCTGTCTTAGAATTGTCGATCCCAGTAATCAGTTATTGAGGTTCAATTTAAATAATTCTAACATTTATTATAATTATTTGCTATAAAAATTCCACATTTAAGTAAAAATTTTTCCATGTTTCCATCCTTATTCAATGATATTTTTGCTCACAAAATCTGATAAATCACATAACAAATAAAAAAAAAAAAGTCAAAATTGTCAGATCAAAAATCTCATAGTATGGATAACATATGATCTGGATTTACATTGAAATACCTGGAAAAGGTGATTTTCTTTTTCTTTTAAAATTAAGTGGAAGCCCTGTTATATACACTTCTTAGTAATAGCTAACCTTCATTCAATATAATAATTGATCTACAGCTGATTGAGTCTCCTCCTAATGATGACAACCTCAACAAAGCAAAACAGATTTAATACCCACTATGTATAGGTGCCTCCTGAGGGAGCAGTGTTCAGTGAGAAGACCAATGATCTTCCTCAAACTGTTCCTGTTTAGCTTAAGCTCTTTTTGACACACGCTAGGACAGTCACAATTTAGCTCTTCTCTGACCATCAGGGTTGCGCCATTGCTCATGGACAATTTTGCCATAGAGCTTGAATATAGATGCCCTGAATAATGTTGAAGAAATTCCCAAAGCTGGTTCAGGGCCCCAGGAAATTGCACTGGAGCAAACCTGTGCTACTTCGTCAGCTACTTCTAATTTAGGTATACCTTGTTATGAGTAGAAAGGTCACAAAAGACTGAGAAGCCCTCCTACACTAAATGAGAGCTGAATTTACACCTTGGTAGTCATAGAAGAGCAACTTGACTCTTAGAGAGCATATGTGAATAGGTATATTTAGATAACCCCTTTAATGCACCACCTGCAGCAGACAATGATAGCACAGACTTCAGTGTGAAAAACAGTGCCATGACTACCAAAAGGAAAGTGAAGTTTGGTACCATCGTTGGAGTAGTAAACACCTACCCCTGATTTGAAACCAATTCCTTGACCCATCGGTGAACCATACCGGACAATTGCCTTCAAGCCACCATTCTCCTGGGTGGAGACTGAAATGTACTTTTTGAATAGGAACCTCTGCTAATTTAATTGTGTGTCCCTTGTTAACCAACGTGTCGGATAATATCATTACCTTGCGCAAATCCATTTTCGAAGATTTGCTATATTTTTTAAAAGATTTCATAATATACCCTTTTATTAATATATTATTTATACTACCTAGATAAATGTTTCTGCTCAGAAGTTTAATTATGGTGACATGAAACCTGTGCCTTTCCCAATTGGTGAGCAGGACATTATCATACACACTGTAGTTTCACCTCAAATTGTGTTTTGTGCTCCATTCAGCGAAGCAAGTAAGAACCTCATAAATTTTTATTTTATTAAAAAGTTTCTGTTTGGTACTGTTAGTTATAAATATATGTTTTTTTTTTTTTATCCAACTAAAAAATTATTATGCTCTTTATATAGTAGCTGAAAACGAATTACGTTAACTTAGGGAAACTCTCATTAAAAATTTAACGATATTGAATCTTACAACATTATATGGAATATTAAATCCTGTTTGTGAAAATAGATTTAAATAAAGAGTTCAATAAATAACAGTTGAACAGTTTACTAACACAAGATTGAGGCAGGGTTCGTAGTTCTGATTTTCCTGAAGAAAATTATTTTGTCCTGCTATTTCTGATTTTTGTATGTCTAAGGAAGATTCCATTTACTAGCAATACAAATTCAAATTTGTAGAACGAAAAGTTTGGGATTTTAGGTCCAATATATTTTTATTTTAATTAATAATGCTAGTAAAGATTGGTTTAGACAAATAGCCTTACTCGTAGGATTTGTTATGCCAGACTTATTGAGAATTTAGTCATTTAATCGAAGAATACTAAGTTCAATGAATTAATTTGTCTTATCAACTTTTTATGGTGTTTAATTCAGGGGTTATACATTTATTTATTATTTCAGCAAATGCTATATCAAGTCTTGTTGGAAGAAGTTTTGCAATTTCACAATTATTGATCTTTCAGAAATGATAGATTCCAATGCAGAAATGATATAAAATTTTTTAATCTTGAGTTTAGAAATCTTCCACTAAGTCACTTTTCTATCAGAATGTTGAGCAGCATAATTATCGTGCTCACGTTTCGATGTTATTAAATCCTTACTTATTTAATTATGAAAATTTTGAACTTTATTACAAATTTAGATAAATTTTAGTAATTTTAATTTTAGTTGATAAATTTTAGTAAGTAGAAATATTAACTAGTAATTAATACTGTTTATTTCTTTATGCAACATTATTATAAAGAAAAATTTGTGTATTTCTTTCAAACTATTATGAGTTGTTCAGTGCTTCATTTATAAATGTATTGTTAAATCTTTCTTTTGTTAATGTAATACTAAAATCAAAAATAGTATATTTTATTGTTTTGTGATACATATTGCCTTTGTTATACTTAAATAGGGCAAATTATAACTATTTCTTAAGTAGTCTGTTACTAAAAGAATTTCCTGATATATTTTTTTTTTCTTTGGCCCTCTACGAAGCCTAAAAATGTAACTTAAATAGAAATTACTGCATATAGTATTTATTAAAAAATCAGTTTAAGTGATATTTTATCTCCTTTTAAATGGAGATTTTTTGTGAATATAGTAGAATTCCGCTTACCTCAAGACCATTGGTTCACGATCTTCAATAAATCAAAAACTCATAATTCAAAGCAAATTTTTTTTAACGGACTTCCGTAATCTGAAATGATGTTTTGTAACTTTTGATTCACCAGATTATCACCACTATGGATATCTGGAACTGCATTGGAATCCACTTGTGTCGCGAATCTTATTCACACGATTTTAATATCAAACATCAGTTTTCATATTTACCTGATTTAAATATTGCACATTATGATTCATATTCGCACAATTTAGAAATCCAATAAGGAAATTTGTATTCACACTTTTTTTAATACCAAGATCGTGATTAATGTTCACAAATTTTTAAAATCCAATATTATGATACATATTCATATTAAATATTATGTTCTAGTTTTGTGTTATACAGTTTCTTAGTATTTTAAATTGCCAAAATAATATTCTTGTTTGTAATTTTTATATATTTTTTAGATTTGACTGCCTTAACGGATTTATTTCAAGAAATTACCAAATACTGCAATGAACTTACTGATATTTCCTCTTACGAAGGTGATCCTCCAGTGGAAGGTGAAATAGTCTTAGCAAAATATGAAGGTAATATATGTCTTGAATTATTTTTTAAATGCATAATGCATAGATTTAAGTAAATTAAATATCATATTTGCCAAGTTTGTTAAGAATAAACAAACCATCTTGTCTTTTGAGTTATACTTTTCAATTTCATCAATTTTATGTATGGTATGCTTGCTAACTTGCAATCTTCGTAACTTGCTTCATCAGTAACTTGCAATCTTCATAATTATACTTTGTTAGAGAAACAAATAAGTTTTTTTTTAAAATTGAAATATCTGACATTTCCATTTTGTAATATATTGAGTTTTTGATCTCTCTTCTTTTTTATTATCAAACAACTGATGTTTGCAACTTATTTTTATTTTATTATTATTATTTTGTGTTTGTGTTGGATTTTATGTTAAAATTTTACTCAGGAAACTAACGGAAATTATTTTTATCAATTGCTTTTTAATTTTAATCTTTTTTAACTAAATGCATTGAAAATGGCTTGTGGAGTTTGAATTGTATTTTTTAATATTTGTAAGGAATGAAAAAAAATCTCTACAATTTTGCCTCTCTTTTCATAGCTCCCAATACTAATAGATTTTCCAGTTGGCTAGCAGATCTTGCTACTTTTTTCTTGTCTACTGGTTTTATTGAAAGTTCTTTTTTTTTCTCCCCGTATATTTTATAAAATTTCCTAAGATTATGAAACTTTTTGAAAAAAGTATCTGTTAAATTGAATTTTTAAGATTGTTTTTTGCTTACTCCTAAATTAAGTATCATTTATTACTTGTAAATTATGAGTATTATTTTCAAAGAATAATGCAAGCCACATTTATTGAAATTAGTCAATTGTTCTTATTTTCTTCTTTTCTAAACCGTTGATGACAAACTGCTGTTAACTAGTTTGTTTACTAAACCAAAGTGATTTTCATTATTCATTTTGTCTTTATATATTTTTTCAAAATGGATTGTGCATGTGATATATTAATTGTTCACGGAGGCAAGAATGACGTGTTGAGGCATATAAAGGGGCAAAAGTACGAAGAAGCAGTGAAATTTTTATAAAGTAACAAGAAAATTTATTTTACCATTGATGACGATTCAGTTATAAGGGAATTTTATTTCCATTTAATATTAAAAAAATTTTTTTAAACAAAAGCATACTTGATTAAAGTTTTAATTTCTTCCATAATTTGTTTCCTTTTAGTGTGTAAAATTTTTTGCATTCCTATATTTAAAAAAAATTTTTTACTTAGAATTTATTAGAAATATCAAATGTCGCATATCTTAAAATTTTTTTCCTTTTCTGAAATCAGAATTTTTGTTAGGGGAACTCCCGAATGTTAATTTTGCTTGGTTGACACATCTGTGTTATCAGGGCGTCGAGAAAAAAAAATGTACCCTCGACATAGAAGTAGAAGAGGTAGGTGGACGAATTTTCAACTTGACAGCTTTGAATTATCACTATCGCAGAGTCCTGCCATAGGTGCACACAAAAAAATTGCTCGACTCTTATTGTAGGTCTGAAGGGAAATTATTCTACCAGGACTCCAATATATGAATTCCTAGCTCCCAAGAGTCAGGGAAAACTCAGGAAACTTTTTTCTCCAGGAATTTAGAGTATGAACCCTGTTTTGTTAAATATATAAAATTTGTAGTCTAGTCTGCAATATTTATTATGAAAACTATAATATTTTGTAAAGCCTACTTGATTTCTTTCGTTTTCTCCATAGCTGAGATTTTTATATCCTTTTGTACAATCATTAAGAGTCAGTTATTATTGTTGGTTTTTAAATTGCTTGTATTCATGTTTTTATTGTTTTCTTGCAGATGCTTGGTACAGAGCACTTATTGTGAATGACTATGCTCCAAACTATGAAGTTCTGTATGTGGATTTTGGGAATTCAGAGGAGATTTCCATCAAAGACATGAGAAGGATGACAAATGCATTCATGTCTTTAGAAGTACAAACTCACCCTTGCCTTCTCACTGGTATTGTGTTATTTTTTTATATTTTAATTATTATAACCGTCGCTGAACAGCCGAATAAATCTTGAGTTTGCGACTACTAACGTTCAATTCTATAACCTTATAATTTTAAACTCAATCCAGTAGACAAGGCAATTTCTGGATCAAGTATTGGGAGAAATTTGCTTTTGTGAATGACTTTCTGGTGGAACTGACCCACATTTGTGTAACTTGGAAAGGAAAACTACAAAAACGCGAGTCCTGTTTAATTGTTTTGGAGCCAAGATAAAGTAAATTAACTTTGCCCTGGCTTCATTAGACCACTGAACTAGTTTATATGTGGTCAATCACACCTTCCTCTGTACTGATTCATCAGATTTTAAAAACGTTTTTGTTTTGTTCTGTACCATTTTCACATTGATAGGTTCTACAAAGTATACTGTAGCATCTTGATGGTTTGAGGTTCATGGGACCGGGTTTGCATCAAACGGTTTAAAGTTCAAATTATGGAATTTAGAGAATTTTGTTTAAATTTTTTAAAACGCTCTATGATTTGTAGCTTGGTTTTTTATTCTTGCTGGAATAATAGAATAAATCATGGTAAAATTGACAAAAACTTCTAATTTCCTAATTGAAAGTAGTGTTACATTAAATTCTGTTAATTAAGGAATAACTACAATGACACAAATAATGCCAAAATATTTTACTTATTTCATTATTAACTTAAAAATTGAAAGAAAAATATATGCATACAATTGTATTAGCATTGATTTTAAATCTAGTAGAACATATTTCAATATTACATATTAAGTAATAAATCCAATTCTTTCAGTACTAATTGTTAAATGAAAATTGTGAAAATGTTTATATAGATAATTTCATATTTAATTTAGATTTTTAGGCTATTTAATTCTGTCAGAAAGTAATCAAATAATGCATTTTTCTTCTACAATTGAGAAAGACTTAAAAAAGTACAAGTATATCTCTACATATATTGTGCAAAAAGCATACTAGGACTCAATCTTAATTAGAGATGTAGCAAATATTTGGCATAGTACTCTTTGTTACGATAGGTACTCTGAAAGACATTTGTCTGGAGGGGTGTCGGTGACTATGGTAACGAGGTATGATTATTTCAAGTAGGGGTGCGGGGTTCCTCTTTATGACTGGTTTCGGTGGGAGAAAAGGAGACTTCTTTCTTCGGTCTATTGTATTAGCCCTAGAGTGATGAGAAATGAGCATTCGCGCCTGAAACATCGTTTACAGCGTTCGATTCCTTTTTTTAATCTTTTCTCTTTTTCAAAAGCTTCTGTTTTAGAGAAAAAAATCAACAAATTTATTTGTGTTATTAATTTTTTTTATTATTTTTTTATTTTATTTTTCCTCTTTTTAACTTTTTTGAATATTGAGAAATGCCTTTTAAATTTAAAAAAGGTGAAGTTTTGAAATCACAAGCACGTAAAATTGTGCACAATGTGTTTGAGTTTTTTGCTAATGAAGCTCCAACAACCAGCTCGAAGAGCATGTCTGGCTACTGGAGTGTCAGACTTCACACTTAGAAAAATTAAAAGAGAAGTTTCTTGTTTAGGAGAAGACGGTGTGTTGCGCACTCCCGGAAAAAGCAGGAGAAGGAAATTTAGTGGACTTGCTTATCTGGATGAATTCGACAAATGCTCTCTTCAGCTCTCTTCTGATTTTCATCGATACTATTTGTCCAAATACAATGACAAATTGAAATTGTTATTTCTATGAATAACGATTGATAAATAGGATATGTATGGAAATTGTATAAAATTGTTTAAAGCAGCTCAATGTTTTATTCATAAATAACTCATCTATAAATTTATCATACATAGTAAATTGGTTGTTAAGAAATAAATAAATTTGCTAATAAAAACTGTTTTTAATAAATAGTGAAAAAAACTATACAGGTTACAATAAAATATGAATAAGAAAACGTAATTTAAGCAAAAAAAAGAAAAAATAAATAAATAAATATTTAAAAATTAATAATAAAAACAAAGATATTTAATATTTCTCCGGCACAGATAACGTGAACTATTTTTATTTTCAACAAAAGTTTTATCTCCTTTTAAAATCAGAGTTATTAAGTTTAAGCTCTTCACTTTTTCCAGAAAATTCAAGTTATAAAAGCAATTAACTGCTTTAAAAAATGTGCAAGTTTAGAAATTAAACCATCTAACAATCAATGAACATTCATAATAAATATCGTAAAATTAAAAAGTAACATTAAAAAAACCTTAATGTCAGAATTTGTTCCCTTTTTTTCCTTTGTATTTAAAAAATAACAACCGATTGAATAGAGAGAATTATTTTAAGTAAGAAAGAAATATTCATGCGAATCTTAAAAAAGTTCTTGAATCAGATTAAATAAGTCGCCTACTGGTGGCTGAGTCAGCCAATGGTATACTACTACCCATACAAGCTATCATCGAAGCTACCCTCCCTAAAATGCCCTCTTCTTGTTTCCATAGCACCAGACTGCCGTAGACTTTGTGGCAGTCAGAGTACCTATCGTAGACAAACAGTATTACTTATTTAAAAAATTATTTTTCGACAAAGTTTTGGGGTAAATTTTAATAGATTTTATAAGGAATTATCTAAGGTTGTATGTTTTACTATCCATTATTAGAAATAATTTTACACTTATTTGCTAAGTTCTAAATTTTGTTAATTTATGACCTGAAAGACACGTGGAGAAGCCAGTTTTTTTTTCATTTTTACTTGTTTTCCTGTTTTAAATAAGATGACTTATATTAATGGAGTGTTTTTAATAGACTTAATATATTTCTTTTTTGTATTGTAAGACAGATGACTTGTACAATAGAAAGCTGAGATTTTCAATGTTAAAGTTTTATTTCAAATATAATTTGGTCAGGAGAGAAGTCAAAACTTAAAACCCCTTAATTTTATTTTTTGCATTTAATTATAAAATTCATGCATCCATAGTTAATTATGCAAAAAAAAAATATTTTTTAATAATTATTTATTTATACTATTTTATTTAATAATAGTTAAAAAAATGTTTGAACTGTAAGGTGTATACAAATGTTTAAATAATTTTAAAAATGTAACTTTATATGGCATAATTTAATTCAAATTGATTAAATAGTTCCTCGAACAGCGAATTTTAGAAGAGTCAAACTTTTATGATCCAATTTGTTGTTAATCATTTGTTTTGATAAAGTTTTAGTTGAAGAAACTATTTTATAATTTTTAAAATTATTACTTAGTACCTTCAGAATTATTTTACTTTAATATATTCTGTCATAAGAATTTAATATATATATATATATATATATATTTGGTTCATGCAGGTTACAATTATGAGGAAACTGATTCAAATAGAATAGAGGAAGAGATAAAAAAATTCACCATGCAGTGTCTGAGTGGAATTGCAACTAAAGTAGGAGAAGATATGCAAGTCGAGATAAGTCTGTGAGTATAGCCCTTCCGCTCACACAATCATCTCTTTTTATGAATAATAGCTCTTTTTTTTGCATAATATTTTATTAAGTATAACTTACCTTTTAATTATGTAAATAAAAAAAAATTTAATGTCTGCTGCTTTCTAGTGTTAGTAAAATAGAGTTAAAGTAAATAACTAACCTTACTTGCTGGAAAATAGATGCTCACACGGATATTTTATCAAAATTTTTTTAAGTTACTGATTTGGCAAGTGTATCCTCTCAATTGCCCGTAAAGAAATGTAGGTATAAAAATTCTATATAACCTGGTTCATTTCTATTTTGGAGATTGTTACTATTTACTTGTAATAATCCAGATAAGTCATTTTAGGACATTATTTGACAAGGATGTCATTTTATTTGACAAGGATGACATTTAACACATAAACTAGTGGAAAATAACAATCGGGGCAAAATCTTCTTGCAGTCTTCAAAGAAGTAAACATTAAAGTTCAGGGAGCCCTCTCTTGGGCGAAAGAATAAAAGTCAATCTGCTTCATCCTCCAGCCCCAAAGGATCCTTATATAAACAGTTAACTAGGTCCCTTTGCATTGTTTTAGAGTTCAACAGGATATAACAGTTGAGCTGGTCATTTCAGAGTAGTTCCAATAGAAAGTCTAATATTGCAAGTCTCGAGTCTTTCCATCACGTCAAGGATGTATGCTGAGGGTGTTACCCATTTTCCACATGAGTTGAAGTTTTTTGTCATACACTAGGACGGTTGAGTTTTCTGTTGGTTCAAGACACTGCTTGGATCACATTGACTGGCAGGCAATTCTCTGTTCTAATCGATACTAAGATTGCCATTTTCTCCATATTCTTTCTAAAGTGTTTTTTCTGTGTTTCAAATTGGACTTGGGAAAAATTAATCGAATTGAAGCTGAAGAAGGGAAAGCAACAAGCCTGCTTATGAGGAAATGCCCAGGTGTTAATGCTCAGGCTCTTCAATATTGCTGTAGACAAACATCAATGGCCTGAAGTTTATAATAGCTTCAACTTCAATGACCATTGTCTTTAATTCATTCTCTTTTCGTTTCAACCCTTTTATTTACTTCAATGGGTTCAACTATCCCCTAGCAAATCTGATTCGTTAATACATCCTTGTACCGACCGTATAATTCCTTATCTTTCTCAAATCTCTTAACTAATTTTTCAAGGCAGTCCTTTGCGATTTCATAAGTATTTTCTAATTTTTTCCACATTTTCATTCCACGGTAATTTTGCCCTGTATCTATTGTCCTGAAAGATTTTATTTTTCTCAAATTCCTGTAAGATAACTTCTCTCATTATTAGACAAATCTCTTTTTTTCCTTTCAATCCCCAAAAGATCTAATTTTCAAAAAATTATACAATATCAAATTGGTACCATGCAACCTGATTCGTATTCACTTGAATATCATGAATTGTACTTAAGTGTTTTATAAAATTCAAGTCACATTTCATATTCACACGATTTTAAAATCTAAATTGGGGATTCTTATAAGAACTAAGTTTTTCTTAAATAAGTTATTATAAAGGTGTGATATTCTTCATTGGTAGCTAATTTAGTCATAAATTTTTAAATAAATTGTATTAAATATGAAACAAGTATGGTATTTAAATTGATATCTTGACACTTTTTTTTAAACATAAAATTTACAAATTTTGTATCTCTATTTCCCCTGTTAATATTTGTTTTCTTCTTCTAGTATCACTGAGCACCTCAAGGAGAGGAATCTGATTACCTCATAAAATAGGACACCGTTCATCGAATTCATTTGGAGCATTTTTCATTTTCTGTTGTGTTAAGCATCTTGGGCCAATATCATCAAAAACAAAATACCAATTTGGATATGCACAAATTATTTTGTATGTGTTCATTTTACAACATTTCCATTTACAGTTTTGCATTTAGACTTGTATAAATTAAGAAAAACTCGAATTTGTTGTACTGTTGTATGTAATAAATCTATAAATGTTTTTTTTTGTGGATTGTCTGATATTTTATTTAGTTTTTTTTGAAATATTTTATTTATATGTTAAACCTGGTAGCTTACTACTTTTTAAATAGTTACATCTGAAGTCTAGATTTTCAAACATTTTTATGGATTCTAGTTTGAAAAAAAAAATGAACTACTCTAGAAAAATCTTTAATTTGTAATAATTTTATTTTATATTTTTAAAAATTTTGATTCAATGTTTCTTTTTATACTATTTTTTGTTACGATAAAAAAATTTAATTTAAGAATATTTTAAACTGCATTTAGGGCACAGCCGGTAACTACCCTGGAATTTCCAAAGGATCTTCTGAAATTCCAGTGTACTCAGCAAAGATATTTTGTCCAGAAAATAAATCAGGCTGCTAATTTTTGCTGATGACGTCACGAAATCATATTCCAGCGGGCTTTCACAGTTAGTACTTTCCCCTCCCAATTGTGAATGTTTTTGTTTCGGCGCTCTTACTGTAACATATACTGCTGACGTCACTTAACTTGTGCAGCTTCTGAAAGGTGATGCCACTGGTTAAGTGATGGTTCTAGCTACGGTAAGAAAGAGAAATGTTTCTCCCAAACCTGTCTAGTTTAATTTTTTGTTGGCCTGTTGCTAGTCCTAGTTGCTGATAAAAGTCGGGTCATGTCTTCCAAAAAGCATTCAGAGATGTCTCGTATTTACTCATTCCATCATGTATATTGTAATATTAGCAATTGCAATTTTTCAATTGAAAGCCATAGAGCTTAAAATTACTGTATATAGCATATGGAAGGATCGGGCTTTTGCACAAATGGCGCTGCTTCTTCCTCCAGTAAAGACGCATTAAAGAAATGTTTTTGGAATCTACGAATAAAAGTAATAATAGCAGAACCTATCTTTGTGAATCTTTTAATTCAACATAATTTCCTGTTATCTGTTGCAGACCGCGGAGGTCTGTTGTTACCGACAGAAATTTGCAAAAGTTTTGCTGAAACAGGGCAGAATGACTTATATGCTGTTAACACTGCATTTTAGCAGCATATTTCATTATCTTTACTCTTCTCAAATAGAAGTGTCTCCAAAAGTTGGCAAAGCCAAACCTAAGATCTGTTAAATTAGTTATGGAACATACTCACTCGCAAGCAACATTGCTGCGAGGCAATATAAGCATAGCCTGCATTTTTGATGGTTTTGCTTGGTACTTTGTGTACCATTAGTATCCACTAAATCAGATAAAAGAGTCCAAGCTGCTTTACAACATCCAGCTGATAGAACCTCTTCACTAAGTGAATCTATTTGATACATAGCAAACTTCTATTCAATTTAGCTTCTTTTCTTCTCTGAGGAACAGAAAGAAAATATTCAAAAGGAGCAAATTTTGTTTCATGCCGAATTGTTATATTTGCAGTTTCACAGTGTTTATTAACCTCATTGGTAAAGGAAATTTTTTTTTTTTTAAATGTAAGAAAGTGTTTCAGTATAGAATTTTCTATTTGATAAATAAAATTGGCTTATTTCTTCTGCAGTAAGGTGCGAATCCTTAACGTTTTGCCTTGACGCCTATTTCGAGTTCAAGAGTCCTCTTTTTGATATTTCACTTTATTGAAGTTGCTGGTTTCATAAATTTTGATAAAATATAACTAAATAAGTTCTCTGATCTGAGACTGTAGTTCTGTTTACTTTATATTAACTGTCTAAGGTTAATTTAAACATGATTTAATAATCAAAATAGTGTAAATATGATTGAAGAATTATTAATTTTACAGTTTCAATACTATATTAAAAAGTACTACTTATTTGGTTTTTGAATTTATTTATAGAATTATATTTGATTTCACTTTGTACCTCTGAAATTGTTATCCTAACTCATGCTGTTTTTAATCATTGTTTCTGAAAACTTTTCTACTATGTTACCAGGTCTGCATTAGGGGAGTACAAAAGCTTTGCTACAGTTTAGTATTCCTGTGATTATTTTTAATTATTTCTGAGTTTCTTAGAATCAAGAGGTAATTGAGAATTTTAAACCCCCTGCAGTCATGTGTCCAATCACTGCCGCCAAAGAATTTTTGATTTTTCCCGGCGTACATCTATGCTTTGGCACGATGACAATAACCATACTTAACTTACTATATTAAACCATGTTGTTCACTTAAGTTGTTAAACATTAAAAAAATTTATATGTAATTCTAACAGTTTTTTTTAAAAGTGAAATAGTATTTTTCCTTTTTACAAAATATTTTTCATATCTAACCTGCAGGTTGTATTTGTACAACAAAAATAGATTCTGATCAGTTTTGAGAGAAACATGTTAGAAAATTTTGAACCATATTGTATGAATTGTTAATTTTTTTTCCTATTAAGAAAATTCACTTTTTGCTTATATGGGTCCTATCACTAAGAACAGAGTTCCTACACTTCTGAAATATCAAGAAAATTGTCAAAAGTCAAGAAAAATTAGTTTCCAGAAAAAAGTTCAAATGTTTTTCCCTGAGGAACCGTCCACTAATTGTACAATGTAATTAAGTTTTCTTGTTTATCTTATTTGTGGTTTTGAGATTATTCTGTACTGTTTAATTATTTTAAGAAAGAAAAAAAAACTCTATTCTCATAAGATTTTTAAAAAGTATGGATTGAGTGGACCTTCGTTTATTCACATTTAGTAAATACAGTTAATTAAATTTTTGTAAGTACAAAATTGTTTAAACAAATTATAGCTGAGTACAGAGTATTTTCTTTTATGTTTTTATTTACCTTTAAAAAGTTTTATAGAAATCTAAGCTTTTCCCCAGTTTATCATAATTCTTATGAATTTTTAAGGCATTTCATTTGGGGAGAATTATAATTTTTTTTTTCATATATAGAAAATCCAGATTTTCTAATTTCTCTCCAAATAGTTCAGCTTTTATTTTTATCTTTCCAAAATGTTAATATATCTAATTCATTTTTTACCTGCAATTTTCTTTGAAACAATCAGGAAATTTTTTTTTTTTTAGTATTGCAAAACGTATGGAAAAAAAAAGGATTTATTGTAAGATGTTTTATATGTATGACTGACCTGAATACATGTTTTTAGAGTTCTTATCAAAAAGTGAAGTTAAAAAAAATCTTTAGGGGATGCAGTACATAAATCTTTGGGGGAATATATTACATAATAATACATAAATCTTTGGGGGAATATTTCCTTATTGTGTGACAATCTGTGATGAGATCCATAAAAGTAGAGAAAGATGAAATAAGCATAGCAAGATATGTCGGGTCAAAGTATAACAAGTAATAAACCATAAAAATATTTTTTCCCCAGCTATTCCAGTGAAGTGTATAATTTCAAGTAAAACCAGATTCAGACTTCTTATGAACTGCTGACGGATGTTTTTGGATAGTTAAATTAACACTTAAACTGTGATGTAAAAAAGAAAATTATTGACTATAAATAATTTTCACGAAGAGAAAAATTAGTATTAAAAATAACTTCATTAAAAAAATCTTTTCATTAGTCCTACAGTGAATAGATCACAAGACACTGTTCTCAACAGATTTTCGAAGTCGAGTATCACCGGCCGGTGGCTGATCACTAAAATCAGCCTGCGAAGGGACTAAGGGTGTACAATATCTGTCCTCGTTAAAATGTTCTACCGTGACGTGCCAGACTTCCTGCAGTTTGTTAGGCTTATTAAAGGAGGGGTGTCATTTCTTCTGCAGAAGAGATAATGGCATGCCTGCAGATAATTTTCAAGAATGTTTCCCAAACCATTGCCAATAGCCCATTGTGCAGCTTTAAAGTTGACGTAAAGATACTACCATTCTATTGTCTTGCCACTTCACCACATAGATAAACTAGTTCCATGAGTGCCAGAAAGATACTTAAATATGATTACTAGTAAAACACATTTCAGTTCTGCTTCTTTAAAGTGACCAAGCTCTTTAAAATTTAACATCTGTAGTTTCGACTTGGTGAAGCACTAGAAATTAAGTTTGAGTTGTTTAGATTTTGTGTACTGAAATTTTATTAACACTTCTAGTAGAAGATGAATTTTCCTTGTTTTCAATTTTTGAAGCTTCAGTTTTATCAAAAGTCAAATCGATTGTAGTAACCCTTTTTTCAAGTAGTTTAGAATCTTTAATATATCATATAAATTGTGTTCGAATTTATTACATTCTGCCCTTTCACAGCAATGTGATTTAAAATTAGCAGGTTTTCTCAGATTAACAGATTTAAAATTAGCAGAGTTCTTTAAAAGAAAACATAATTTGAAACAAGACTCGCTGAGTTGTTTTCTGCAAAAGAATTTTTGCTACTTCGGTAGTATATTGTTTTGTTTGCAGATCCAGTGCTGGATATTCATTAAAACGGCATGTGCATTCATAACACTGTCACATCATAATCAAAAAATATTTGGCGAAAAAGTGTGCACACAGGAAAGATTAAATGAAGGAAGTGTTTTGTAGTCCAATCAGAAAACATTTATTTCATGCAATAAATATAAAAGTTATAACTATTACAAACACACACATACATAATTTAAACAGGAAAGACGAAAATTGTCCATCATTTTAAAGTTAAAAATGCAATGTATAAACAGCATTCACAAAACGAATCAGGTTGTTAAATTACAATCGTGAACACAAATGGCTGGTTTCTTGATGGAAGGGGGGAGGGGACTAGTTTTAGAAAAAGAATGGCAAGAGAGAGATCCTCAGTCAAATTTAAGCCGCCGACTGTATTCTTCCTGTTGTTTCTCGATCCACTCCTGTTTCACTTTTATTCTTTTCAACTGTCCATCCCTTGAATAGAAATCAAGTATTCACTATTAGAATTTGAACTCATATGTATCAATATATAATTAAAAGGCATATTTTGGACTCCGCATAAATTTTGTTTTAAGTCAAAATTTATTCATGGTAATATTTTTTATACTTAAGCTATACTAAAAGCTGTTAACTATACATGCAACATTTACAAATAGAATTTAACTTGAGTACTGAAAAATGCTTAAAAACTAAATCCTATAGTGTTTAAATACTTCCAGGGCAATTTTTTTCAAAGAAAAGTAAAATAACTTTAGACAGCTTTATATTTAATATTTCAAACTTTGTAATAGTGTTATTTTTTAATTTTTTTTCTCGTTATGAGTATAATAATCACTGCCAAAAATCTAAGCAGTCGTTTGCTTATACATAAATTAAAATATTTTCTAAGGTTAGTTATGAGCGAATTCAAAGGAAAAACTTTTTAAAATATTGATCAAGCAGGTATGAAACGATCTGGGAAATTTAATAATTTTTATGCTTTAGTTTATATTTAACGTACTATATCTAATTGGCAGTTTTACTAAACATAGCATGTTAAATATAAAAAGTTTGCCCCAAAACTTAATCTTCAATAGAAAAGAAAAAAATCCTTCATTCTAAAAACAAAAAACTTCATAAAATCTGAATCACCAATTTCATAATACTTTACTTAGTGTGTAATACTGCATTATTATTGATTTTATCTTTTAACTCTAAATATTGATATCTTTTAAAATATTATAATTATAAATAAAATATATAACATCACAAAATACTACATTCACAAGAGTTTATGCCTAAATTGAGTAACAAGTTATTACTACTTATCTAAATTTTTAGCTTTTTGTAAAATTTAAGTTAATTAATAAAACATTTATAAATTCACTTGGCAATAATTGTTGCCCTTTAAAATATCTAAATTTATGAGAAAGATAAAACTTTTATTTTCCACAATTCAAAATATTCACAATTCATTAGCATAAATAAAATAATTTATGCTGATGAACTACATAACAAAAATCAATTTTATTTAATGCAGTTTATATAAAATGTGATAATTTATGGTACTTTCTGAGTGTTTTTTAGTCATAAGGAAAGTGGTGCATATCTAGTGGCTCAATGCTTGGAAGATAAAAATATACATATAACTAGATTTTTTACACAAATTTCAAAAATTATTTAATCCATAACTCAACACTAAATAATTAGAATTCAGCAAACTAATATTTGTTAGGTATTGAAATGGATATTTTTTAATAGCTTAATCCTAGCATCCCTAGTACTTTCATTTGAAGGATTGTCAAGCGTTTTTATGTTTGATATACAGTGAAACCTCCTGTTATGGACACTCCTGCAAAACAGACACTTCTCAATACGAACATATTTTAAATTCCCCGGTAATCCTCTATAAATAAACCATTATGTACATTCTCCGCAAAGCGCACACTCCTGTAACCGGACACGGACAGTCATTTTGGCCTTGAAACGTTATTTTTTATCTCTTCAAACTGGGCACTACTTTTTCTAAATTAAAGAAAAAAACTATTTCTGCTATAAATTGCAAGGAAAAAAGGACTTTTCGCCATTTTTGAAACAGGTTTATTTTTTGCCTTGTCCATAACTAAAAGTATTATTAAGCTATTTCACTACTAAAGAATCAATCTTTCTCTTGTCACTTTCCTATATCCTTGTAAAAAAAGGAGAGAAAATGATACTGCTCTCCAGAAATAATTCGCACAGCAGCATCTTTTGATCTGGACCACACAGGTTATGAGACCCCTGGAGTTGAAATGACATCTTAAATGCTCTCAATGTTTCTTCCCCATTGAAAATTTCTTTAATTTTCTTATCAATTTGAAGACTGTATTTAACACAGCTGGAGTAAAAAAGAGAACAGAAATATATAGTCTTTGATGTGTTCATATAAATGCAACACTTATTCAGACACTTGATAGCTGATCAATTATGAATAATCAACTCCATAGGTCCTCCTGACTGAACAGTGAATGACTGTTAATCATGGGAGGTTTACTTTCAAGAAGGTATTAATCATGTTCCTTATTAAATGATAGGTAGGTGTAAGGGGATGTAAACCTAATAATTGAAACCGACTGTGAACTGAAAGCTCCTATTCAGTATCATATGTCTGACTTGAGTATCTATGCTAATAGGAAAATTATATTAATTTATCAATAGCTACATCTAGAATTATGTATTTATACCTAACTTCTTTATATATTCTTTTTTATCTTTCTTAAAGTTTAAATAAATATCCTTGTAGATAATTGTTTAATTGTACTTATTGCAAATTATTTAATTATATCTACATCTTTGAAAATATTCTAAAAACAATTAACTTTGTTAAACTTCATTATTTGGGTACCCTTCCCGTAAGCGGACAACTCTTCTAAACGGACAATTTTTTCGGTCCCTAGAATATCCGCTTAAAGGAGGTTTTATTGTATTTGGATTGTTAATAGTTAGTATTAAGAAAATTCATACCACATTAGGTCTACTAATCCACCTTTCCTAGCTATTTCTGCTTTAACTCTATTTGCAAATTCAACGGCACTTTCATTTTTCTGAAAATAAATATTCACAATTAATTTTTATAAAGATAAATAATACATAGCAAAGAAATTTTTATTATATGATACATGGAAGTAAAAATTTAAATTTTTTTATTTTATTTTATTTGACGAGAAAATTGTTTTAATTCTTGTCATCTTACAAACTAACTTTCTCTCACTGGCAGTCATTAAACCAATGGTCTTGAGATAGGCGGAATTCCACAAAAAAAAAATCACATGCCATGTTCCAAGTTTCAAGACTTAGAAGGATAATAAGAAAAACCCAGAATTCTGGGGTACATCCAAAATACAATCACCCTTGTAAGGCTCACAAGGGACTTTAGTGCTGTATTAGATATTTGTTTAAATTTCATGACCAAAATTATTGTAAAACAAATTTACAAAATCAAACATAAAATGATAAGTAAAAACTGGAGAAGTTGGCACTCATACATAAAAATGTGTTTGCACAGTACCTGTCTAATCATAGGAGGGAGATACCAGACATCACAGACAACAGCCCAACTTGTGAGCATCATCACCAAATACTGCATGTAACTCTGTTTACTGCTGTTCCAGAAAGCATCACCAAACCTTGCATCATACTGTAACAGACATTCATTCATTTATGCACGAATTATTAGTTCTCATTTCTTTTAAAACATGAATTTAACTCCCCCCCCCCCAAAAAAAGAGATTTTCTTCATATTTGGTTCTATAAAGCACGTCAGTGAGCTTTTTATCCTGACGCACCTAAAAAAGAGTGTTTAAGTAATGGACATAGTTCAAAATGAGCAAGGCAAAAAATACGTATATATGAAAAAGACATAACTACTTAAGAAATTAGACAATTTTAATTTTGTTTTTTTAATCTTCTTTATAATATTTTTTTCTTAAGAGAAAAATTAATGAACGAAAATAAATTCATAATGTGACGTCATCCATTTGCCTAAATCACTGAATAAATATTTTAAATTACTTTTTAAAAAAGACTTTTAGAGGCAATAGTAATTTTAACAAGGCTGTTATTTGTCCTCTAAATTTATAATATTGGTCACTAATTCACAGCGTTCAAATTCAGATTTTTAAGCACGAAAGCTCACTGATTACCTCTTAAATTCTACATAACTTGCCGAAATTCTATCTCAAAAAACATTTTCATTAAAAAATTGGAAAATTAGATTTGATTTTTGGCTATCAATGTACTTTCTCTCAATGAAGTTAATTTTTTTTATTTAAAAATAATGCATTTTTAGTTAATTACAACATTAAATAATACAAACTAATGTATTCTAGAAAATAAAGCTCAAATAATTATGAAAACTTCCATAAGCATTATATCTACTTATTCACGTCTAAATATAATACATAGAAAAAATTTCCTTAAATTGTTCATCCTTAAAAAAGATACTTTTTTGAAGGTGAAAAAATAGACAGAAAAATGATTTCATTATACTAAATAGCAAATATTTAACAAGAAATTAAATATATCTGGTAAGGAAAAACTATTGGATAAAAAGCAAGTTTTTTTTCTTACCTTTATGGCAACAGGGTAGATAATTCCTCCAACTTCAAAACTCCCCTTTTTAAACATCATCACAGATGTGTTATTTATACATGTGCCTACATACAAATGAATAACCTAAAATTAACTTATATGAAATGAGCAAAAGAGACAGTTTCATAAAACAGATTAAAGCAATGTGTTACTCAGCAGCGAAAATAACACTCCAGCATTGCGGGTAGAAAGACATGAGGTTCATTTAAATGTAGTAAATACATACAATGCTTCATTTCAGTACCTTATCTAAATTCCGCCTTTCCATTGCATTTACAATTTTTGCTATTTAAACTTAAAGTTAATGATTATAAATAACTTAATGTAACCAAGGTTTTTTTGCGTCATATTATAATTGTAAATTTTTTGTAGTAACTCTAAGATGAGGCACACTTATAAATCTTGTGGGGAAGGGTACACTCAAGTCTATTTACCACCTTGGTTTTTATTGTGCAATGAGTAAGGGAGAAAATGATAATTAAAACATAGATTCATTAAAAATTCTTACTTACATTCAAGTGTAAAGTAAAACTTATTTAATGTTAAACTATGTCTGATTTATAGAATTTTTTTTTTACTTTAACATTTAGTCTTCTGTTCTCAAAATAGTACTCAAAGAAAAACAATAATTAAACTTTGAAACCGTGTGGATGATAAACTTAGATTGACACTTAGCCCCCCTTTACATTTTTATGTACTGCACTCTTACAAAAAAGTGATGAAAGGAAATAATGCGGCATGGATACTGAATTGCAGGGAAAGAAATCATTTTTTCATGGTTGCACATCACTATCAAAGCTTTTGTAGCTTTATCAAAGCTATTCATGGGCTATTCAACTAATATTTGTAGAGAGAGAAAAAATAGATTCACTGACAAAGCAGCAACACCTATTCTAATGAATTTTTAAAATAACTAAATAAAATAGTTGCATCATTTAGAATACTAGGGAAAAACTATAATGATCAATCTGGCAATGGAATTTGCATCAGGTCACATCGACAAGAAGTGAGCTTATTCCCATACATGAAGGCCTAGACACAATTATGTCAGTCCTGAAATAAATTAAAGCTGGATGCAGTCAGAGTAGAAGTGTTATTTAAGCACCAGTCCAGTTGACCCAACAGAGAGAATGTTGTTAAATATTCTCAATAAACTGAAATGCCTTTCATCCTATTTTATCCACTTTTAGTTGATTCATCACTATGACATTGTAGGCGATGAGATTAAAGACAGCTTGGTTCAGGCAGGTGCAGGTGAGGACTCGCACCTTCTGCACTTCTCACGTACCAAAAGTAATGCACATCACCAAAAGTTAACTCAAGAATAAGACCAACTGGCTTGTTCCATCAACATACAGCTGCCATCAAAGTAAACAACCTCTGATGCTCTTTGGAACTTAGGATCAAACCACCTTCACCTGCTTCTTCTGTGAGTTTTTGAAATCTTACATACATACTGAGTTCTTTGAATCATGCACCAGGTAGGTTTCACCTGATCACATTCTTGCAAGCCTAGGGCTCTTCAGACAAAGACTTCATTAGCAATCCATTGTTGGTTTTTGATTTTTTTTTAAGGGTGTATGAAGTCATGGACCTAATATAGCCCTGCTTGACTTTGTGGAAGAGCAACAACAAAAAAAATGATAGGAAAAATATTTCCTATTTTCAAAACTTCTTGTTTATTTAGGACTACAACATTGCTATAAAAATTAAAAAAATAAATATAAAGTACTTTTATAAAAATGTAAAGAAAATCAGCAATTATTATGATTTGTTTTCTAATTATTAAAACCAAAAATATAAAAATAAAAAATTATTAAAAAAGACCTATTAAAAATATAAAAATAACTTTCACATCCAGTAGTTCACATAATTGATAAGATAAAGAAATAGGTTTTAAATAAATACAAAAAAAGAACATTAAAAATAAGCACAGTAAATGAAAATAATGTTAATCAATCTTACAAACCTTCAGGGAAGATCAGAATAGGAAGTTTAGTTTCATCTTCGACGTGCTCTCGTAACCTAAAAAAATTATAATTAAACAATGTCAATATTAAATTAAATATTTCACAAAACAACCCTAGCAACAAATTTACCTTGAGCCTCAAAATTTGCTATAAGAGCATACACTGGGAGACCAATATTGTGATGTCTAGATTTTTTAATATTGGTCCTGAAATGGCTTTTAATATTGGGCAATAACAATTCTATATAGGGTCGATAATGCATGAAAACTAGGAGAAAATTGACAATTTAATCTAGGAATGACATTGTCCGAATAATGGATGTGAAATATTAGGTTAATCTAACAATTTTATATAAAGCCAATGGAAAAATATTGGCTCTTCTTACCCACATTGAGTGAAGATTCATGAATATTCACATTCATAAATCCAATGAGGATCTAAGTTATTTTGCTACTAAGAAATAACGAAATGCTTTTTAAGCTGCAAAAACATTAAAACACAAGGTGTCTCAGAACTTTTAATGACAAGTTGGTTACATCTGGACAACTTAGAATCACATAGCATTTTATGGTTAGAAATATAATCCTAACAAGATAGGGAAGTTGTAAGGGAATGAATCACACACATTAGGATGGAAAATATGAATTCATTGTAATGACTAACTGATAAAAATAAGTCCTGACATTCCTGATAATAAAGGTTCCTGAAATTTTGTAAAGTTGCATGGATACTTGGATGTTTTGAAATGGCACACATTCCTGACTACTACAAATGAAAAATAAATACCCAGCATACAGTTTAACCTGTAAAGTCAAGATGTCTGATGTTACTTAAGCCAATAAAGATGTGAAAGTTTTAGACCCATGAAGTTATAAATTTGATTTTATGGTAAATTTTAATGGTTTTTAACACATTTTTTAAAATTACGATTTTTTAATACTTTATTATTAGAACTTGTGAAATCAAATTATTCACTTGAGTACTTACTTTTCAACATGGTGCTCCATTCACAACAATTTCATCTTAAATCCAAGTGATTTTGATGAATTGATCTACAGATTTTTTCTCCCCCCCCCCTTTAAAGTCTTGATGATTTTAATACTAAAATAGTATTACAACAAACACATTAGAGTAATCTCCTTTCAACAGGCTGAATTAGTATTCATTGTAAATCCTTGTGGTATTATCACTTGCTTTTTCAGCAGTTATGGTTGCAGATTACAACATGGTTCTTAAAATCAATTTATTTGAATATAATATTATTACCTCACCTAAATATTCCTGTCCTCAAACCCAAATATAATCCATACACAAACTTATGATAAACGAAGTCAAGTTTAAAGTTTATAAAAAAATTAGATTTTTTTTTACAATTAATATAATGCATTACAATTTGCCACAAGACTTGAAACTGTTATTCGTTATATTCAATAAATAATGTATATAATTTTGAAAGTATTGCACTCCAGACAATATAAAAGTATAACCTTCTTTTGTCATCAGAAACTGAACAAGTGTTTTTTTTAAATATAAAAGGTGTACAAACCTTCTTTGTACAAGTTCTCTGTCTTTCACTTCTCCCCGTTCAAACCATATGTGTGATGTGGCTCTTCCCAATCCACTCTGCAGAACTCCCAGAAAACCACCATGACTTTGACCAACCTAGAAAAATTAAAGCATCACTTCTACAGATCATATATAAGAACTTATTGAAAAATAATAAAAAAATTTTTAACAAAAAGTCATTCACAAACTATGACCTTTTTTTTATGGTTCACATAATTTTAGAGCCTTCATATTTTTTCCTTAAGCTGGATAAATAAATTAACTTAAACAGTTATTACATGAAATAAATATGACTGAAGTAAAAATGCCTCAAAATTTTCATTAAAATATTTAGAAATTAATGGAGAAAACCTCTCTTTTAAAGTGATTACTGCATCTGATATTGATAACTTATTTTGCTGGATTTATATAACGCATAAGGCATACTTTACACCAAAATAAGAAAAAATAATTTAATTGATGGCCCAGCTATTTAAAGGTTTTACACAAAAAAAAAATTTAAATTAATCATGCAAAATTTTATTTTAATCAACTGATATTAAATGTGCTTAATGAAGATTTTTATGGATGGTAATTTCAGCAGGATAAACAATTAACATTTTCTGTTTCTACATCTTACAAAATAAAATTTTAATTTTGCTAATATTATGGACAACAGCTTTTTTTATCCCTTTTATTATCATTATTTATTTTAATAAATGTCTATTCCGATAAAATTTTTATAATTAAGATGTGGAATTTTTTTCCCTGAAAACAAGGTTATACAGAAAATAAAGATTTTTAGTACACAAGAATCTAGAGTTGGCTCATTTTTGAGCACTCAGAAGAGTAGAACGTTTACTGTAATAAGTATAAATTATCGAGCACAGAGATAAAAAACTATATCTAATACAAATAGTCATGCTTTTCTACTTATATCATGTGCAATAAAACTATATGGACAAAGATTTTAGCAGTTGTCCAAATATATCTTAGCATTAAACATAGACTTAGAAGAAACACATATTTTTACTATTATACAGTACAGAACCCGTTATCCGGAAATCAGAAAACCGGAAAACCAAATAACCGGAACGAAGTTCGATAAATTTTCCCGCCATTTAAAAAAAAAATGTTTTTTTCCCCATAAGATTTTAGGATTTTTCTTTCTTTTTTTGAAAGATGTTTACCACACCATCATTTTAAAAATAATCATTAGTGTATTATTTCATCGTTTTTTGTTCTTTTTAAGATTTTCAAATTTTTTTTTAGTTGGGTTTAACAATAAAAAAACGGCTTTTTGTAGCGATTCAGAAAACCGGAAAAATCAGTTATCCGGAATAGCGATGGTCCCGATCGTTCCGGATAATCGGTTCCCTACTGTATATACTGGTGTAAGACTTTTCAAACTTCCAAAGTTAAAAAAAGATGAGATCCACTTATAGACTGATAATAAAATTGGACATTCCTTGAATATAAAATATCAATGTGCTATGAACAAAATAGATATGAATAATTCTGTATCAATTTACCAGATTCTAAAATTATTTTTAATATGTTATATATAATTAATTTTTTATTTTCTCTCATATTTCCTTTGCATAGAAAAGTTTGTTTAGAAGCAATATTCTAAATTATATTCAACAAAAAATTAAGAATAAAAAAGTTAAGATAATTTATTCAAAGATATTTCAAAACCTTTAACACATTGAAAACTTTTAAAACATACCATCAAGCTACACTTAGAAAGAAAGTATGGTCCAGAATATTGTAAAATTTACAAAGTTTCTGGCACTAATGGAACAGAAAAAAAGCATGTTAATTTTGACTGCAGCCCTTTGTTAATGATTTCGGTAGATTAATAAAATATTTATTTACATGTGTTAAAACTAGGTAATTTTTACATGATCTGTATTTTTATTGAAAGTGTGGTAGTAAGAATTATAATTTTTAAAACCAGAGTCTCCAGGAAACCTCTACCATATGAACAGTTTAAATATCATATATTTTGATTTTTATACCAGAATTATCCTTTTTTTTAATCAGAAATATTTTTACCACACTGTATGGTAATTTTACCAGAGTTTTTTTTCTCTCTCTTTGTACAAACTTTACGATTCCAGAACATCTGTGTCGGATTCAAAAATGTTAGCAGTGTTGACATAAGTATCCGCAATGGACTCAGCAATGGATTCTATTTCCTCTTCATCTGCCGAGTCCTACAAAAAATCCTTTTCCCACATCTAGAGAATTCAAAATTCCACTCTTTTTGAAAGATTTTAAACATTTGATTCACATTTTGCCAAAAGTCTAGTATCTTTGGTGCTATCTTTATTTGAAATTCTTCATAGTATTTTTACCTGAGGACAAATATATGATATCCAGAGAAAAAATGTGAAATATTTTTAACTTAAGAAAATTTGCAGCCTTAATTTTGTGTATGTTTTTTTTTAATGTTAGAAATTTTCATATTTGAATTTTCAGCAGTATACATATACACTGGAATATATGGTCAACTTACCAATGCGTAGCTATTATCACTATGCAGAATTACAACATCGATTGGAGAAGTATGGTTAGCAACGCATATACCTCCATTTACAGCTCTATTTTCTCTGTAAAATAAACATAAGAGATTCATTAAAGAAACATTACAATTTAAAAAGAAAAAAAAATTGTTTTTAGATGCTTTATACCTATCATGATAAGTAACAACAGCTGAACAAGCGCAAGAAAAAACTCTGAAGCACAAAATGCTCGTATGATAATAGATCCATCGTTTGAACCTGTAAAATTAAATTTATTATAAGATGAGAATTTTCAAACCATTTTTGTTTTAAAAAAGGAATTATGGAAATCTGCTCTTTTTGAAAAAGGATGTCATTGCAATAGCACCATTTTCTCTTTTGATAGATGAAGGAAAGTATTAAAAGTTTGCTTGATTTTGCAGGAAGAATTTTTTTCTAATAAAATATTCAGCCCTAACTATAAAACAGGATAAAAAGAGTAAGAATTTTTTTTAATGAAAAAATTAATTACTTGCAGATGGACTTCAAGTAATTTAATAATTGAAATAAAATTGCAAATAACATCTTTAAACATTCACATTAATTTAGTGCATGTTTTTAATAAATGTAGATAGCCTGTGTAATATCGTTCTCATACATTAGATACTATATAAAAATTGCTATATCCTAGTGTTTTTTTGCTTTTTATCTTATTGCAATTAAACAAACTGTTCATCGAAAATAATTTTAACTTATCTAGTTGAAAAGGTTATGTTATATGTAATATACAGAACATTTTACCTAACACACAGTTTTAAAATTATTTCTGAGTAAAAATCAAGCATTTTAATGTTGTCCCCAAATTTTTTCCACTCTGTTATAATTATTGTACAAATTATTTCTGTTGAGTTGTCAAAAATGTTAAATATGTACAACAGCAGGCGATATCGATATCCTGGAAAGAACTAGAGTCTTTCTGTGCACTTGAGGCAGCAGCAAAAAACATTGGATTGTCAGTCAAAAATGAAAAAACTAAATTCATTGCAATAATAAATAGAATCACAAATTTGCAACAACAGAAAATTTATGAATGTGAGTTTAAACAAGTGGCTCAATTTAAATCATTAGGTACAATAGTAAACAATGAAAAAAAATTGAAATAAAAAATAGAATCAACTTGGCTAACAAATGTTATCATGGATTGGATTGAAAAACCAGTTCAAGTCTAAAAACACAAGTTGTGAAACAAAAATACAGTTGTATAAGACACTAGAGAGACCAATAGTTTTATATGGCAGCGATTGCTTGGCAAATCACAAAGCAGATGAAGAGAAACGGAAGACTCACAAGAGAAATATGTTAAGAAAAGAATTTGGTGCAGTAAGAGGAAACAGAACCTAGAGAATTCGTTACAACCATGAATTACAATAGAAATACAAACCTAACATAGTAAAAATGATCAAGGTTTTTTCGATAAGTTGGCAAGGACATGTATTTTGATATGGAGATGAAAATCCAGTTAAAAAAACAAAATAACCACTTAAACGTCAGAGGGAAAAAGAAAAGGATGGTTAGAGTAGAGTAGAGAAGTTGTTAAAGTTAAAGTCTGTGTACTTTTGACTTGTGTTTGTGTAGCATAAATTTTTCACTGCATTTACATTTCAATTTTCGAATTTTTAATTGCTTTTTCTTATTTATTTTATCTATTATGGGGCCGGCACAGTCAGTTTTTGGTATAACCACTGACAACAGTGTGTCCCCAGATGAAGTGCTGTTTTTGCTAACATACATATCTATAGAAATTCTTATTTTGCTTGATTTGTGTTTCTAACTTTCTAAATTGTTAAAATAAGACAAAATTGGTTTTAGCTGCTTTTAGCGTCTTTCCATTTTGACTTATTATTTTAAATGTTATTTTCTTATTTTGTCTTATTCTGAATTTGCTTAAATCAGTTTCATTCTTTGATTAAAGGACTTCGGAGTTAACAAATTAAGAAATATAGCACTGAATAGATTGAGACGAGGTAAAGATGGGTTTAGCCGATAACCGGCTGTAGTGCCTAAGAAGAAGAATGAAACTTTAATGTCTATAATACCTCATTTGAATTTAACTATGTTAATTTCTTACATATTCTGACTTCTTGAACTGAAACTGAATTTTCTTGGTTGTTAATTTCTCTATTACTTATGTTACCGAATTAATTAGAAGTCCAGAAAGAAAGAAATGTTAACTTTTTTTAATTAAAAAAAAAAAACTATTGAGAACATTAAAAATATTTAAATCAATAGACAAAATAACATAAAATAGATTAATTTGTATGAAACAAGAAATAATTAAAAATACAAAATAAAATATGTTGCACTTAAGTATAAAATATAAATGAATTTAAACACATAGGCAGAATGAAAATTTAATATATTTGGAAAATTTTTTTTATCCCAAAATGCTCTCTACCTTCCTTCTGGAAGTGACCCTATGATGGCTGTACAAGTGAGAAGCCAGCAAACACCAAAAAGTGTTATGAGACACCTGAAAATGAAAAACTAAGTTTAAAAACAAAAAACATATCTATTGAAACATATTAATCCATTATCTACACTTACCGTAATGGAAAAAGTATACAATATCTCAAAAAGAATCCTATGCCCCAAATGCATGTTAGTCGAACACTAAAAATTAAAATGTAAATAAAGTTTTAGGTAAATTCTATTTTTTCACAGTTAAAAACATCAGAAATAATGTCATAAATAAATTATTAATAATTACAAAATTACATAACTACAAACAAACCTATGTGTATAAATTATGATTTTAAAAATTTATTGTATAAAAGACTTCAAAGCTATAAAAAATATTCAGCATTTGATAGTCATTCTACTTCTTAAATAAGTAAAGAAAAAATTTTTTTAAACTTTTTTTAAGGTCTGATGAGTAAACACTGGGTACATAAAACATGGGGATTAGTCATATTTTGCCTTTAATAGGATTTAAAGAAATTCATATAAAGATACACTAACACATACATATATACAGAGTCCCGATTATCCGAGTTTCAGCTTCATCCGATAGCTATAAAATATTTCAAGGATTTTTTTGATCTTGTTTATTTTTTATTTTTAAAACTACGGACAGTGAAAAAAAAACTGAATTTATCTTCCAGAGAATTATTTCCTGAATTTATCTCAGGAAAATGAAATTGAACAACTTGATCCAATGAAATGATCGTTAATATCGTCAATAATGAAAATGAATCTAGCGAAGATGATGAAGACAATGAAAATCAACATATAAAATTATCTCATACAGATTGGACTAAAAGCTATCGAAAGTACTATTGAATATATAGAACAAGAAGAGACAGACTTTTTTTTATCCCTAAAAAAATGGCCAAATTTTGCTGCAGAAAAGTGCCAAAGTAATTTAAAACAAAAATCGATTAAGGACTTTATTAAGTAAAAAATGCTCTTTAAGTATTTTCAAGTAAGCTTCTTAATTATAATATGAACTGTATGTGGTTGTACTCGTATAAATTTGTATTTGTTAAAAATATTACATTTATAACTACTTTTCCCCCCCTCCTTTTTGCTATACTCTTTGCTTTAATAGAGTTTTTCTGTTATTCAAGTTAGTTGTGGTTCACAGTAACTCGGATAATCAGGATTCTACTGTATATACGTATGTATATTCTAGAAAAAATTTATACAAACTCAAGAGTCTACAGTCCATGCTTTATAATAAATTAGTAATAAACAAAAATTGAATTTTGAAAAAGCTGAATTTAAATGAATAAGAGACCAATGATATAACTTTACCTTATATATTGATAGTTTTTGTTAGTCCTAGTTAAAAGGTTCCAAACAGGTAGCTCTAAAATTTAAAAAGAACTAATGAATAACAAAATTTTATTATTCAAAGCAGATTATTTATTATACTATAACTAGGATACATTTCATAATGTTAAAACAAAATATTTCAATACCTTCTGCAGCAAATCTGCTAGTGACTTCATCTTCAATAACAGACTAATAGGAAAAAGAAAAAAAATTAATTAGTAAGACTAATCTATTGTTAAAATTGAAGTAGATGACAGGATCTAATTTTAAATTTATAATGAAACAGGGTAGGAAAGATAGTTGAATCTGACATTAAATCTTTCCATCTTTTGCTTAACTAACCATTTATTTATTACTGAAACATCTGAGTCGTGAGAGAAAGGGTAAAGCAAGATAGTAAAATCCCTTTATTTTTAAAATGAAGGGAAAGAAAATTTTATCCAGTAGTTTCAAGGTTCAAAAGCTAGTATACCAAACAGAAAATATAAATATTCCTTAAGAATATTTTATTCAAAGTTTTGTAAAACAAATTAGAGCATAATATTTGTTTTCTGCAAAGCTTTATCTTTTATTCAAATTGCATCCTGAAATAAGATTACTGCAGTAATAGTACAAAAAAACAAAGACGAATATTGCGTTTTTGGTACATTGTTTGTGTTTTTGTTATATTGTGTTTTTGGTATATCGTTTTGGAGTGTTGTGTTTCGGAATTTTGCTGATAAGGGAGATGGATCCGAAATATGATACAATTCTAATTGCCTCTAATGATGGCATTACTTATTCAAATACTCTCATTGAAAGAATAGTTATTTTATTAACTGTTTCAAACTGAAATGTGTCATTTAAGAAGGGCAGATTTCTTTTTACTCAAATTTCTTTTATCAGATCGTTTAAATAGATGAATAGTAATAAAATAAGCAGAATACATTTTAATATCCACATTAGATAAAATATAATGAAATAACAAACATAAATACACATGCTTTCTTTACTAAAAAAAAAAAATCCCTCACCTCAACACCAGCTTTAATAAAATTGAAAATGTGCTCAAGATGAAATTCCGTCCTGTTCAGCGGAAGCTTAGAATCCTCCAAATGACCATTGTTACCTTCTGGGTGAGGCTCCGGCACTAACTTAACTTCTCTCGATATCACTAAATAATATATCATATAAGTTTTTTCAAACACCAAAATGAGAGAGATTTCTCTTAATTCAGATGTCACGCTAAGAGAAATAACACTTTCATAACCAGGAAAATAAAATTTATTTCTGAGAGAAAAATTGCAACCATTTCCCTCTTAAAACATAAATCCAAGTAAGAAATTAGAATATTACAGTCTCGTTATTTTACAATCTTTTGAGCATCATAACTCAGGTAAAATTTTTATATAATTCATCAAGTAATTCATTCATTTTTTTAAAAACATTCTTAAACATTTTTTTTTTTAAACTTTTTAAAGAGCTGACTATTTTTTTTTACAATTTACTTGTATGGTTGACATGGTAAAGTACACAATTTTTTTTGGCACATGATCAATTTTCATTTGATAGCATAAGGAAAAAACTTTTTACTCAGGGGAAAGAAAAAGCTCAAAATTTAGATGAATAATCAGGAACGAACATTTAAAAGGTCAAGACAAATCACATAAAGGAAGATTAGAAACAACAACTTAGATGATTTTCTCCCTTCTTAACATTTGTAGCTACTTCAAGAGTAGAAAAGCTACCTTAATTTATCAATTATACTTATTACTAAATTTGCAGCTACTTCAAGAATGTTGTTTTAAATTATTTATATTCAAAAAGCTTTAGGAGATTTATAACAAAAAGAGACGAGATGCTTGAGAGTGAAGGCTAATAATTTTTGCGTTACCAATTACTTCCTTCCATTTTTTATTTTATATAGGTACATATTTAAAATTTAACTTTAAAGGATTAGATTGAATATGGAATTTAATCACAAAAGTGCTAGCTTTAAGTAACTTATCTTTGAATAACAAAATTAACAAATTAAAGAAGACAAAAAATAAGAGTAAAATAAAAATCACTGAGCTGTTTAAGGATAGAGGAACCCATACATATTCTTCCAGGCATTTACTTTAAGAATAATTTTTACTTTGGTAACTGACTAAATTGAGCATAAAAGGGAAAATTGTAAAGTAAATTATTTGTAGCTTCAAATCTGCATTTTCAAAACAATTTACCATATATATTTATAAAAGTGCATACTTGCACATAAACACAGTTAAAATTATGAGCTTTCATAAGTGGACATAATAACTTAATTATATTATAAGTACATAGCAGTTACATTAGTAATGATTTCTTTTATAGCCTTCATTTATTTATTTTGATAAATTAATATTAAATTCTGATTTTAATATGCTACCATTTAATTACAAATAATTAGAGTAAAATATATTTATAACAAAGTTGCATTAATATGTACACAGTTTCTTTAGTAACTTGAATATAAAGTTCACTATTAGCATAGAAAATTTTGACATTATGGAACATAGATTTAAATTTGACAGATTCTCTTTAATTGTTTCAAAACAAACAGAATACAACAAAAATGTATATATTTGTATTTTTTCTTCAAAGTTCAGAGAATAATCAGAATTCACTTGCAATATAATCAAATGGATGCTAGAAATCTGATGCAAAGATAGAAAGAAAAGTAAACAGACAGAGAATAGGAAAAAAGGCTATTAAGGTCAAAGAATTAGCATGATTAGAAATTTAAGGATTTAAATAAATACTATAATCAGTTACTGGATTTTAGTGAGAAAAGAAGACACAACATAATTGATACCTGAATTGCCGTTGGATGAATCCTCTTCTTCATCTGAATCATCCAAATTTCTTTTCTCAGCTTTTTCAATTTTCTTTTGACAAAACTGTTAAAATATAAAATAGATAATGAACAGATAATCTGCAACTAATTCATTTGCTGCAGAAAAAAAAATACATTAATGGAAAAGATGCAAAATTTAAGGTCATGATTAAGAAAAGGTAATCAAATTACAAAACATTAACTACATCAAATTACAATAGAAGAATAACTTTGTTGAAAGTACTAGATCAAGGGTTCTCTACTTATCTTGACCCATTCCTCTTTTTTCAGATTTTGATGATTTAACATATTTTAAATCTTAAATAACAAAAACAAAGAAAAAGTGCAAATTAAATTCCTATAGTTGTTTTTTGCATAAATATGTTACTTTTTATTAACTAGCCTTATTTTAAGAATAATACTGGCAAATTTTTAATTAAATACAAACGTTATACAACATAACACATAACATTACAACATAACACAAACATTAGTATACAACTCAATATTACACAACACATTATCAAACATAAGACTTCTTTTTTTAACAATTTGATAACTACTGAAGTCTCTTCAGGATTTACTAAAATTATAAATTTAGGGAGAAAAATTAAGCTTAACTTTATTATTAAACAAACCACTTTTTTTTTGAAAAATAATATATAAATAAAAACAAAATTGATATCTGAAATTACTAAAAAATATATAGGTCTTAAAAAATTTGCAATACCAATTCAATAAATTGAAAACTATTTCAACAAAATAACTTTTGAATTAATATTTTATTAAGTATATATATATATAATAATTCTATCCATTTGGATATTTCTGTATAGTGATCTGTCACATCAACTACAATCACAAAGGTTCCAAATAGACTTTAATCTTGCAAATTTAAAAAAAAAACTTTGAGTTGGTCCCCTTCTATGATGTTTATTTTAGTTTCTTACTGGCCACTGTATAGAAGTTGCAAAGACTTGGCAATTATTTCAGCGTAGATAGCGATACAAAATTCTTCCCTTTACTTAGAATATTCATTAACACAAGTACATATTTAGAATTGAATATATATTCCGAAAAATAAAATTACATAAATCAAAATATAAGCTTAAGATTTCAAATATTCTCAATAAAATACAAATAATTTATTGTTAAAAAACTTAAATGCAAAAAATTTTCTATCTTTTGAACCATTCATTTAATTTGTTTTAAATTTAAACTATTCATTTGTTAGTTATTTTTAAACAATATTGATCAACAATTAATACTGGTAAGCAAACAATTATTTCAGTTTCTATCATTTCATTTCAGTTTTTTTTTCCGTCACCTTTTTAGTGACCTGGAAGAAATAGGTTTCTTCTACACGAAATGCCAACCCTGCGTAATAATATATTTATAGTGCTTTCAGGCTAAAAATGTTAAGTGACAACATAAAAGCACTCCATATTTAAAGTTTAAAACCATCCATAAGATTTATTTTAAATGATATTTTGTTCCGCTATTTTTATAAAAGCTAAATTTTTGAATAAAAAAAAGTTCCTACTGAATTTTTTTTGATACATTATAAGATCGCGATAAATTTTTATGGCTGTGAGTATTGGCGAGAAAAAGGCGTACGTAAAACATTAGTTTTTATTTTTCACAAAATTCAAAAAGGTATTGTAATTAAAATAATGAAATTTATTCCTAGTGTTACATTGAATATATTCTCAATTTTGCTAAACACAAAAATAAACTCGTAACAAGTTAGCCGGTCTGTCACTCTGTAAGTGTGGTATTCGTGCAATTAAAGCAATGTCATCCAAAAAAAAGGTTCGCAAATTTATTTAGTATGCTGTAAAATGAAAATAAAATCAACACTTTAAAAAAATACTGGAGGATAAAGTACGCGGATACTGTTATGCACACAAACACAATACTATTATTTTTGGGGGGAAATAATAAGACATACTTCAAATAATTTCAGCAACAGTTTAGCATAACTGTCATGTAAACCTAAAGATCTCCCAAGGGATGCGATGAATAACGCGAAAATAACAACGACTACCATCGTATGATTATTTATCAAGTCTGTCAAGTTGGGAAACTATTGCATATCATCTCCTTAATATCATTGAAATTTATACGTTTATCGTCTGAAAATGTAGAAAACTCAGCAAAAGGCAAGTGATATCAAGGTTTGTGAAATTCAATCTTGGATACGAAAATTCAAATGGAATCATTACGTCGTATATTAATTAATATTCAAAATGCAGTTTTCGTATTGTTATTTAGATACATCAGACATGAATGTTACAATTACGATTTATATTAAAGTTATATATCGATACTTTCGATTAAATACCAACATGGATGACATAAGCCCTCTTAAAAAGCTCTAAGCTTGCACTTTTAAATTTGTTGTTCCAATAAAAAATCATTATTTAGTTGGGCAGAAGTAATCCCCGGTCAAACATAAATATCTATATGCTGTCAATAAAATCATTAGAGATAGTTAAATAAAAATATTTGTCATGTCTTGTGTTACGTTAATAGCTGGAGGCATAGGCTTTGGTAAAAGCACTTTAATTTCTTTTATAGAGAAAAATAAAAATGCTCTTTACACATCGAATTCGATAGCTTCTGTTAATAAATCACTATGTAGAATAATACTGGATGAACTTTGCCCGATTGAAGAACAGGCAGAAATGGTGAGATTTATTTGACATTAATAGAAAGATACTTTGAATTACAGTTAGAGTGACATATTAGGTTAAAAAGAATTGAAGGCTTATACCCTCCGAAATAGATTTTTCTTACTTTATACCAGAATTGGTTTAAACTTCAGAGTATTTCGGGGAAAAAAAAGTTGTAAGTGCCTCTAGTGTGTAATCGTTTGCCCCTTGATTTGGCGATAGTTTTTGTTCAGTTTTGCTGAAATCCGATTTCTGGTTACCATGATTGCAGTCTTTGCTTTCAGTGACATCACCTTGGAGTTATGACCTTACCTTTATGAGATTGGTTCTTGATTTATTTATATTTGTTTATTTCAAATCGCCAAAAATGAGAAACTATTATTCTGTAAAAAGTTGCCAGTTTAAAATGCATATGGCTCAGTGGCAATTGGCACAATACTTAAGTATCCACTACCTAATCAGACCAAATACAATTGCCAAAAAAACTAAAGAATTTTTAACTTACAAAAATTTTCTTAAGGAGTGTTAAGGTACCCTTCACGTGTGCAAGATTTTCATATCACTACCTCTGCCAAATTTTTTCACCATAGCAGTTTTAAATTCCACAAACAGGTACGGATTTGCAAACATCTCTATTGTTGTTTTATTTTAGATTCTGCTTGTAGGTCATTACCCAGAAGAAGCCAAAAATTAGTGATTATATGAGCTTAGGAACTGATGCAAAATTTCAATTTTTATGAAAATTGAAAATGTAGTAAACTAGTTTTTCGTTAATTTCTTATGTGTTAAACAAAAATTTAATTTGTGACAATATTGTTATTGATTAATGATAATTAATCAGCTACATTTGTTACGAGTATGTATTTATATGGAAATGTCCATCATTAAAAAATTCGATGATAACATTTAAAAGCAAATTATAATTTTTATCTTTTTTGGGTTCCAGAGAAACAGACAAGTGAACCCCTTTGATTATTGTTGCAAGAACCCTTNCTCCTAGAAAAACCTAGATTAAATTTTTTTCTAATTTTTCACTTTAAATTTTTTTCTTTTTTAACTTGGAAATTTTCCGGAATTTTGACTTGGGCTCACAATCACCTCTGTATATGTTAAACAAAAATTTAATTATTCAATTTGTGTCAATATTGTTATTGATTAATGACAATTAATCAGCTACATTTGTTGCGAGTATGCATTTATATGGAAATGTCCATCATTAAAAAATTCGATGATAACATTTAAAAGCAAATTATAATTTTTATCTTTTTTGGGTTCCAGAGAAACAGACAAGTGAACCCCTTTGATTATTGTTGCAAGAACCCTTAAAATATATTATATGTATATATATACATACATAGCTATCCTTAACTGTTTTTTTTATTTTTTTTTAACCTTGTTACTTGATAATCACCATTGCTATACACTTGCATAACCATGTAAAAGTTTTTAAAATGTTTGTTTGAAGTGAAACAAGAATTAAATTAATGTTAAGATTTCCAAATTGGTACCTGTGTCAAAATATTGCTACGAATTGATGTTTTCTCAGCATCTGATGTGCGAAAAGCTAAAAAGAACAAAAAATCATGAAAGGGGACTAACTGAGAAGGTAAAACTTTTAGACAACTCTAGACAGACTTCTACATGTTTTTTTTAAAAAAAATTTACAACTTAAAAAACGCTTCAACGCTTTGGCGGCTTTAGTTTACATGAACAGCAGACTTAGATAAATTGAGAAACTTTCTTCGTGCAATTTAATGACTATTATAGCTAGTTTCAACTCGCTAATCACCTAATTCTGACAAAATTTGCTCATAAATCACTAAATTTTTTAAAAGGGAAAAAAGTTAACATTTTTTAAAGCTTTACCAGCTTGTTTTTACAGAAAAGACAGAGAGGGTGCATTTGTGGGGATCAACGGGCAGACAGGGCCTACCGCCCTTCTAAAAATGCTTAGGGAGAACACTGTATTAAATATATCAGCATATATTTCTTTACATTTGAAGCTATAAAATTAGTTATTAATTTACCAAATTTTCTGCTGTATCCGAATTTTGTGAAATTTACCACAGGATAGGATGTGGGAATTTTGACTGTTGATTTTCTCCTCTTTTTTGTTATAATACAGGCTTTGTATTAAATGAAAAATGTTTAAGATATTTTTTTTTTATTTTAGATGAAATCTTTGAAAGGTTGGAAGTACTTTAGAGCTGATCTCCTGATGGCAGCAGAACATTTCATCAGTTCATTACTCAATTCAAAATTCATCATACATGGGCCTTTGACTGAAAGGAGCCACCTTTTGCTTGAAAAGCTGAATAATTTGAATAAAAATTTAGCAAAAAATAGCAATTTTGTTTTTCTTGTGGAAGATAATTTTTACTACAGAAGTATGCGGTATGAATGGTTCCAGCTATCCAGGAGAGGTTTATTTGCATTTCTTAATTACTTCTGAGATTTGATGAAATTCATTTTTAAGTGATTATTTTAATTTTAGGATATATATGAGGATGATTTGCCCATAGCTTTGGTTGAAAATGTTGCACGTTTAATGAAATTTTTAATTTCTACCAATTTAGATTAAGTTTTAAATTGAATTTAACCACACATTTCAGTTTAAGTTTTACAGATAATCTTTTTGTTCATTTTTATTGAAAAAACAAATTGCAAAAATTGGTTTTTAAAAATAAAGTACAAAACTTATATTTTAAAGGACAGTTAGAGGTGGTTGAAAACTCTTAAATTGATTGAATCAATTTTTTTTAATTATTTTTTAATATGTGACATGGTGTAATACCATGTATATCTAAAAATGTGTTTGAAATTTCTTCCAGAGTTTTGCTAATTAATCTTTGGGAAATAAGATGAGGACTTTTTTGTTATTAAAAACTGATTCTTTTTGTTTTAAATCATATGTTATTTATTTCTATTTTATGTCATGCTTTTTTGTTATTCTATAAAAATTGACTTGTGGCCCTAACATATATAGCATCCTTGTTAAAAGTCTGAGCACACCCCTGGTTTTATAGAAATTTTAGAAGTCTGTATGAATCTAAAATCAAGTTTATTAGTCTGTTAACAAAGTAATCAACATTGGAAGCAAGAATACTTACTTGGTCTTTATTTACAGAATCATTGAGGAAGTTTGCATTCACCAAGAAGCCCACCCTTGGCCTTGATAGCTTGGCATTTGATCAATTTAAAAGTTTAACAATGTATGTGACTGTTTGTGACAATGTACATACTTTAAAGAGCCTTACATAGGTCACCTGCGTTTATTAGGGCGCTCAACTGAAATATATCTTTTCAACTTTCTGAAACTAAAATGTCCATTTACTGTATCAGAAAAAAATTGCAACCATTTATGCATGCAAAAAAGCTCATCATTTTCTTGAAAATTTAAATTATAGTTTTGGACAACTTCTAAATTAAAAATCTAATTTCTATGTCATGCATGTTCATTGCATTAAATTTCATCCATATAAAAATGCTTAATTGTAAAATGTCTTTTATCCTGTTTTGAAAATTCATTGTTTGTTTTATAAAAGTTTAAAAAGATATAAAATAAATATTGCATTATCTAATTTTCCCAAACATTGATTTATATATTAACATGTGCAATAAAACATGTGAAATTTTTCCTTTCAGCCAACGTAGGATTCTGCCAGATATTTCTGGATTGTCCTCTTGATGTGGCAATTTCAAGGAATGCCAGTCGAGGATATAGTATTCCTGAGGAAAAAATAAAGAGAATGCTGACATTTATGGAATATCCTGAACCTGAGAAATATAAATGGGAGAAATTTTCCTTAACTTTCAACTCTTCAGGCAAGCTAGAAAATGAATCTTTGTAAATATTTCCCTTTTGTGTATAACAGTTTAATGAATTTTATTGATTTAATTTTATTTTAGCACATAACAGATAGATTAGAGAGACCTGAAGTTTTATTGAATGCAGTTAGAGATGCCTTCCTATTATGGACTGGCGTTCACTTTCATTTGATATATATTTATATTTTTGTAAATTATCTTTATTTTATGTGATTCTTCATTTTATGTTTTTTTTCTTTCTAATGATTATACTTAAGAATTTTAATTAAATAGCCATAAAAATAGTTCGTTTTATTAATGTTTAACTACTTTACAAAACTATTTATGTTGGTCCAAGCACCTGAAACTTAGACTCTGCCAAAAGAAGAAGGAGCTAATATTGCTGTCTGAGAAACCATTGCTAACCATTTTTGACTGAATCAACGAGGACAATCTCTTGAGAAAAAGAATAAACACAGAAATTAGAAAATTTATAAGGACATTGACATAATGTAATTTCTAAAGTTAAACAGAACGAAATTTGTTAAACACATTTGCTGTTTAAATGTAATTAGCCCTCACACATTAAATATTCAAACACAGGCGAATTGGTAGTAGAGCTAAAGGACGTGCAAATTTTCAGTGACTGGACTATGTTAAATCAGATTTTAAAGCAACCAGGGTATTGAACCGTCCAAAAGAATAATGACATAGAGAAATGTTTTAGAGATGGCCATGGCCTATTCTCTGCCTGTTGTACCAACCAATTTTCTAAGTTGGCCACCCAATCATTAAATGATAATGAGACGCAGGGATTTTTGTATTTTGAAACAAATCATTCGAAGATATAAAATTAAATAGTTTAAATAAATAAAAGTACCAGGTCAAGTGAACATGAACTGCCAGTTAACAATTAGAAGGTGCCTTTGGCAGCGTATGGTAACATTTTTCTGTCTTTTGTCCCCTCGAAGTTTGGTCCATGAATTCAGGAATGCACTGTATTATGTAGTTAAAGAATTTGATTAGCAGGTGGGAGATCATATTCAATTACATTGAAATTTAGTTTATTTTTATTTAGTCAAATTTATTTAAACTGTTGTGACTTATTTTGTGATAATATAGTATCACAATCAAATTATTTAAAATTCAAATAAGAGAGTATTGAGTTACATGATTAATATTCTGCAGATATAATCTATAATGTTAGACTCACGGTCAACAGTTATAGCTTTAACATAAAGGAGCTTTTCACTGAGAATATTTCTTATAGTACAAATTCAAGAGGCATGGTATGCCTGATCACTCTGGTGAGAAATTCGGTAAATACCTCAATTATAGAATTTGTATTAGTGTGATCTTGCATATTCTGAATAAACTAAAAGTAGTACTCTTAAATTTTCACTCAAATTACCTGTTTTAAAATTATGATGCTTTACTGTTTATAGTTTTGAGTTTTTTTTCTGCTGAATTTAATTAACACTTAAGGATTTCTGGAAATCCTTTGAAATTCTAATTATTTAGTTGATACCTATCACATTTGGAAAAACCATTTTCTTCTGTATCTCTTCTCTCTCTCTCTCTCTCTCTTTTTAATTGTAACTTATTTGTAATTTTTTCTGAGTTGCTCTTTTATTTTTTGTTTTCACACTAAAGAAGATTCATCGTTATAGCACTAAAACAATAGCCTGTCTGTTTTCCGTGACATCATTCCTATTGTGTCTGCTTTGCTTTAATTTTATTCACTAAGATCTACATTCACAAACTAAAAACAATTTATAAAACTTAACTAAAAGATTTTCGTCATTGAAAGATAATTTTTCTGTTATATTTATAAATTTTTTCTAAGGTATTTATGTTATTTATTTTATGTTTGCAGGAAACCAATAATTTCCATAATGGAGGAAGCTTCTAAAAATCCTGCTGAAATGCTGATAATGTCTGATAAGGTTAATAAAAATTTTCCATTGCTTACTGTTATTTTAGTTACTGCATTTTTTTTAACATACATTGAAATATATAGAAAATATTTTATTTATTTTTGAGAAATATAATTTTTGAAATTATAAATGTGTAGCTAAAATTATCTATATTCAATAATCTCTCATCTTTCAGTAAAAATCTCTCTCCAATGCATTTATCAAAGCCTGTATTATAAATCATAAAATTTCTGGCAAGTATTTTTTGTATCAAAATTAAAGTTTTTCACCGTTTTTGAAAAAGCAAATAACAAGTATGTAATTTTTACATACATTCTGTCAATTCTCAATATTTTATTTTATAACCATTGTTGAACAGCCGACCCAATTTTTAGGTTTACGTCTACTAATGTTCAACTCCGTAGCCTTGTAATTTTGAACACAATGCAGAAGACAAGGGAACTCCTGGATCAAGCATTGGGAGAAATTTGCCTTTGTGGAGGACTTTTTGATAGAACTAATCTGCATTTGTGTTACATGGAGAGGAAGACCACGAGAACCTCCCACGGTTAGCCTGCCAGCAAGGGGACTCTAACTCACATTCTCAATATTGAAATATTATTGGACCAACAAAAATCTTAAGCATTTAAATTCAGTTTATGACTTAAAAATAGTAAAAATTGTACAACAGGTTTAGGCATTCATACCTCTGAACGTTACTTCTGGCTTTTCCGAACTTTTAGCATCAAACTTTCCTGCATCAAAAGTACAGTTTCCTCCCTGTAATTCAATGGAAGAGTAGTGCGTAGCAAAGAAATTTCCATACAATTTGACCCAAAGGCTCAATGTTTGGGAGGGTTAAAAATATTTTCTCTCTTACTTTTCTGAAAAGAGAATTTGGAGTGAGAACCATATTTCAATGTTATCTCTCTTTCTCATGATTGGATACGACTGTGACTTTCTTGAGACTTTTTTAGCTCAGCTGCAGAAACCCTACAGCATGACAGTAGGCACTGCAGATTATTATAGCATCTGCAAGTTATTTTTTATCTTTTTTTTAAAGTAAACAAAGAAATGGTGAAAAACAACTGTGACTCCTTTATTAAACGTTTCTAATAAAAATTTTAAAAGTTCAATTGGAAGAACTTAGCCAAGAACAAAAAGTAAAGATTTTTTTTTTGTTACTTGATTACAGGCTTAATTGTTTAAGGATTTATTCAATTTTTTTAGTGTCATTGTATAATATTAAACTTAAATTTAAACATCTATAAGGACCTCAAACTTGCAAATTTTGCTACATGTTAGATTAATAAGCATTACCTTTAGCCTGAAAGGTGCATAAGGCCCTTCATCCGCTCCTATCCAGTCACTCTAGCAACATTCCAACTTGAAAAATTGCTTTCTCTCATTGACCAATTAGTCGACCTCTCCTCCTCTTTCCAACTGGTGACCAGGTCAATGTTATTCTCGCATTCTTTTTGGCATCCAAGTTTCACTGCCATATAGCAGAACAGAATTCACTATTGTGTTGAATATTTGCATTTTTAATTTTATATTTGTGTACATTGTGATTTCTATACTTAAAAAAGCTATCTGAATGGGTCCAGTGCCTTTTTAATCCTTCTTTTAGTCCTATCTTTAATCTATTAATCCCTTAATATTCCCTCCTCAGTGCTACCAAGAGTACTAACAATTGTGCCAAGGTATCTAAAAATATTGTATTTGTCTCTTCAATTTCCTTTGAATTGACCAATAATTTACCATTTGTCTTACTGTTTATTTTCATAACTTAGTTTGTTTTTTTTTGTTCATTTATGTTTAGACCAATCTTCTTAGCAATTGTTTCAAGATCTTTAGTTTCTTCTTGAAGGTCCTTAAATCTTGACGACATTGGAACAATGTTGTCAGTGAACTCCAAGTCTTCAAAGCAATTATTGAAATCCTATCGTTTACCTCTTTTTCCAGAATTCATTGTGGTCTTTGAAACCCAGTCTAAAGTTATGATAAATAGAAGCACAGAAATGACACATCCCTGTCTAATGGCAGTTTTTGTTTAAAATTTCCCAAACAACACCCCACTCATAAGTTCTTGGGTACTATTTAGATTAATCTGTATAGTTACATTAATAACCTTTGTCTCATGTTGCAGACAAATTTGGATTTATGAAAATTGATGGTGCTTAGAATCAACTCCCAAAATTCTGCTGTGATGATCATTAGTAAATTAATTTGATCTTCTAATTTAAATGTTTTTCATTTTGAGTAAAAACTCTTTAGCCGCAAGCACTCTTTCCACAAAATGCTAACAGCAAATCTTTTTTTGGACATCAATCAGTAATGTTTTTTTCAATGCAAGAAAGCAAATAAATAAGTAGTACACTGTTCTGTTCTCTTTGATTTTCATTCTTCATTTAAGGTGGTCACAGAACGAGCAGAACCGGGTTAAGTCATACTACCAGGTTCATTAGTAAAATTAAAAACTTTATCAATCTAAAAAAATTAGGGAAATATCAGGAAATATTTAATAATATTTCCTGACTATAAGTAACACTTTATTGATTGATCGTATCTTATCCTGACTATAAGTGACACTTTATACTATCCCAAAAGTGAGAGAAATTTAATTCATTTAAATTGTCTAATATTTTATTCAAAAATAATTTTTTTTTGAATGTTTTTTTTTATTTTTTATTTTAATAACAAATATAAATGTTTTGTAATACATATTATGTATAAGACTGAGGCATTGCTGAAAATTAATAAAATTTATATCACTGGTGATAGAAAACGGAAATATGATAAAATTAGTTTGGAAACGTGAGGGATTTTTCGCGGTGGCCACTCTTTTCTTTCCTGAAAAGTATTTGTCATTGTATACAATGCATAGGTGAAGTATATGTTAATGGACTAATGCAAAACAATATGAATAGGGCAAAAAAGAAGGTTGTGCTTTTTTCTTGTTCTTTTGCACATACATAACAAAATAGCTTACCTGTTCTTCATTTGGACCTATATTAATTCTCATATTCATGTTTTGTCTCTTTAGACACAGTATGTATATTGCCATCTGATAATGTGTTTTAAAGCTGGCATCATATATTTTTTTATCAGATGAAGTCATCATTTTTGATCCAATAAGAAAAAAATTATCAAAAGGTTGAGTATTTTTTAAAAGTTTCTCTTAAATCAGAATATGTTTGGATTACTTTTGTTTAAAAATAATATTTATCATTCTTTAAAATTTTGAATCATCATTTCAGTTTAAAATTTAATATTATTTAGCTTTTATTTCAGAATCTAAATAAGTTTTCAATTTCTATAGTTATTTTTATAGTTTTATGCAATAATGTATTGAATTGGTTCTTTAAATTCATATACATTTTTTAAAATAGATTTAAAAATACTAATCTAAAAGAATGTAAATCATAGTAAATGTAAAGAATATGCAGTACTAAACAACAATTGCAAAAGTTCACAAAAATCATTGTAAATTGGCAAAATTGATACAGTCGAAAACATTTATAGCAGGAATGTAAGTTTTATTGTGTTAAGTCAGGATGCTCATTAAATCATAGTTGGGTGAAGTTATCACAAATGCAAGTTATTGTGTTCAAAAATAAAGTAGAAAATGTTTAAAAATACCTAACTTTTAACTAAACTGATGGAAGTAATTTTCTTTTCTTTTATTTTTAGTCAATTGACATGCATCAATTAACATATGACGTGCATTGTACGAAATAGGTTATCACAAATGTTTATTAATTCCAAAATATTTGTTATATCCCCGAGAACTTCATGTTGCTTATGTAGATGGAGGTGGTTTAATTGTTTTTTTTTCCCATTTCCATCAGTTTCTACATATTGTAATCATTTGGGCAATGACATGCTCACTGAGCTAAATTTGGTACAGAATTTTTTCAATTGTTTGCCTAGCAACATGTGTTAGAATTGCCATTATTTTTGAGATTCAAGACACATGAATATAATTTCTTTTTATTCTTTATTGATGTGCAAATTTTAGACAAAACTCTTTTGGGCAATCAAATATTTTTTTCTGATAGTATTAGACTTTTTTTGGATTAAAAAATCTAAAAGTGGTTTCTCAATAATTCTCTTGGCTATGCGTAAGAATTCTCAGAACTCTAGGAACTTATCATTCAGATTTCAATGAGTTAATAGAAAATCTAATAAGATTTTTTTTTTTCTGAAGGTAAAAAATCTAATTTCTTAGAAATTAGAAATTTTTATTTGTTTTGCAAGTAACATAAAAAAGTAATGTGTCATAATATGTGATATAGTAAGGTGCAGTAAAAAAACTTGGGAAGATTTAAAATCTATTTATAAAGATTGGTTCAAAAATTAAAAGGACAAATATCTTATATTTTGATTTCTTTCTTTTAATTTTTTCCCCCCGTCAGATTCAAATGATTTAAACTTTGTCAATTTGTTTATCATATGTTTAGTTTATATTGAACTTATTATTTTCCATTCAAATATTTTGCTCTCGAAATTTAAATTGGAGACCATAATTTTGTTGCAATGTTTTTGCAAACTGCTAGATAAAACCTTGCCATGTGTAATATAAATTGAGAATTTAAATTTGTTGGCATTAATTTTTTTTGTAATGGTAAATCCAACTTTTTTTTACATGTCTATTATGGATTTTCTTCTAAACTTTTTTAGAAGTTTTATTTTTCATGTTTTTAAATTTTTAAGAATGTGAAATTTATTACCATGTTACTTAATAATTTTAATGAATATAAGTTATTTTATTGTGTTTAGATTGAAGCCCGATCCATTTGTTCAAAAAATGTGATTCACCAAGCTGATAAAGTTCTTCGAAAGTCTGTTTCGAACGTAGTGTTTTCAAAACGAGGTCATTCCTTTATTTATTTATTTGTAAATTATTTTTTGTAAATTTAAACAGTATTGAATGGTTTTGTATTACAATTTTGATAGAGTTTTACTTCAATGGATTATTTTTTTCCTCTGACTTAAAGTTTTTTTTTTCTTTGACTCCCATATCCTGATAGAATTGCTTTAAATACAATTTAAAATATCTGTAAGTTTTTAAAGATTTAAAACATAAAAAGTTATTGTTCTTTATCCTCTACCTATTACTCTATATATTAGTTTAGAAAAAAAAACAATTTGTTTAGTTAAAAAAAGAAATTTTCAATAGTTATTAATTACACAGTGTTTATTAAATTAATGCAAAGGTTTTACAACGATTTCATTAACTCTTTAGTAGCTTTTTTGTTAACAAAAGAATTAGATATGTAAAAAAATCGTTTAATTTTTTTTTACAATAGTTTTGATGCCTTTAAATATACTTATATTTCGCTAATAATTTATTTCAACATTACTTTAAGAGTGAAGCTGCTGTAATGATATTAAAAACTTTTATTAGGAATATTTTGTTTTCTCCAATTAATTCTCCCTTTAAAAAATAGTGATGAAATGTAATTTGTTGTAAAATATTGTGAACAGATCTAATTAAGTATATTATCAATACAATAAGTATAGCACTCCTGTAATAGTCCTTGGTTTTCCAAATTCTCATAATATTCATAGGAAATTAAATCTCCAGAATTTAAAGACCAAAGACATTGGTGGTAATGGGTTCAACATTGCTAACTGGTCGCTTTTATTTCCCAGACTAATTAGTGTCCATTTATGTAAAAAGTTTGGGCTTCGAACCATCTCTGGTAATAGAGCCTTATTCTTTCACAATGACAGCTTAGTGCTTTAATCACTGTGTCATTGTTGCTCGACTAATAATACCGAACAATTTTATAGTTCCCTCTAAAAAGCATTAAATAATTTTTAATTTTTGAAATGTTATTAAGATCCTTAAAAAGTTTTTTTTTTTAATTCTGCTTATTTTACATTTTTAACTTTTGTGGAATTCTCATCTGAAAGTAAATAGAGCCTGGTGTTATGAAACCTTGCATTATCTATAGAATTTTATCATATAATGAACTATTTAAAAATGAAAATAATTTGCATGGGATCTGTGTCTTGATACAAAATACTTCATATTAAATAGAGGTAATATAAACATATTTATATCTTATCTTTTCTTTAGCCTATTTGTATCTTTTCATTTCATTTATTTTTATCACTGAAATTGTGTTTGCCTACTACTAAACTTCGTAAAATGACTATTTTTTCCTATTTGTATAATTTCTTAATATGATAGTTTACTCTTAAATATAAAAATATAACTTCTCTTTCGTAGGCCAAATACCAGAAGAAAACCTGGCCAATTTCACATCTTTCATTGCTGGTGTTCGCCACACTGTGCTGTCGTTAATTAAAAATGGTGAGATAGAATTTTCTGGAGCACTTTTGGACAATTTGAAATCACACGGAATAGAGAAGGTTCAAGAAGAGTTTGAGAAAACTGTCACTGAAAAGTTTGAAGAAGTGATGAATGAAAAGTTGTTCGATTGTGGGGTTCTTTTTCCACCCAAGGACAAGGAATCCCATATTTTGTGGAGTCTAAAAGCATTAAATCTTGATGATTCATCCAACAGATGATAGAATATTCTTCTTATATATATCTAGAAAAAAAATTATGTTTATACATATATATATATATCTTGTCAACCTTTAAAAAAACTACAATCCTCTGGGCCGTATCAAAAGCATGAATATGACAAAAGTGCAAATAGACAGATGCATGTTTTTGAAATGATGTGAACAATGTGTTGACTTGGTTAAATTTAAAGCTATGTAGTATTTCATTAAAAAAATGCTTACATATAAATAAATATCTTTGCATACACAGAGTTCTCTCTAGGTATTAATAAGGGCAGGGTGCTTCTCACAGAAAAAGGCAGTTTAAATTTTGAAAAGGCACTCACTTAACCACCGTAAAATTTATCAAAATGTGTAATACTATGCAATAATTGAATTTGATCCTCAACAATTTTTTAATAACCATCTTATACTGTTTTATGTATATATTTCAAAATGTAAACCGCATTCATTAAGAGAAATATTTGTAGTTTTTAAAAAATAATTGAATACATGCTATAAGACAATCTCTGTGTCTAAAGATTTTTTTAAAAAAAGTAAACAAAGAATGATTAATTAATAAGCAACTTTTTTCTATATCAGAAAATTATAACATACTGAACATTTAAAGGCGATTTTTTTTTAGAAAAGGTATTTATTTAAAAATTATTTTAAAATTTAAAAACTCTTGCAAAATTTATTCATACATCCCTCTTCTGAAAAAAGTGAAACTTATAAAAATTTAACTTGTTGAGAATAATCCTAGCAAAGTAAATATTTGTAACATTTATCAAAATTAAACCTATGAACATAGCTAATTTTACCAGTGTGTAATTATTAAAGAAGTGAATTAATTTTTTTAAATGGATTATGAATAAATATTCATTGAAAAAATAATGGTGCCTTTTTTTACAAAGAGGGCACATTTATAGGATTAAAGGGCAGGCAGTGCAGGAAGCCCTTCAAACAACACTTAGGGAGAACACTGACATATGTTTGAAGCAAACAATAGCCTCAGCTCTGTGACAAATAGGCAGACTTGTGGATTTAATGTTGTGTGAACAATGTGTTGAGTAAATTAATCATCAAAGCTCTAGGAATTTGTGCCTCAACTACAAAAGACTGAATTGTATTTTATTAAACCAGTAAAAATTGCATTTACAATTGCAAGTAATTTTTCAAGCAGTTTGTCCTCTTTTAGGCTACCCAATAGATAGTTCTTTGTTTTTCCCCCCATCAAATTTAATTCAAACCCTATTTAATAAAGTTTACATGAAATGTAAATGAGTAATGTTGTTTAGATTTAGAACAGCATAACATTTAACGTTTCTTGTATTATCAAACTCTATCTTCAATCATTTAGTTTTATGAATTAAAACTATACTTAGAGGGTTATTTTTTACTTTTAAATTACTAATTATAATTTTATATGTTAATAAAACACACATGTCTGCAATCAATAATGTAGCTGTAGAAAAGATCATGCTTTGACCTACAAAGAAATTTTAACAGATATTTGTCAAAACTGCTCAAATTTGTAGTTCTGCTAAACATGCGCAACTTGTTACGTGCTGAATGAAAAAAAAAATGCATCAGCAAGTTGAGAAAAAGAAATCATTTTAATTGATTGAACTTGTACTTACTATTTGCTTAAAGTATATATATATTTCCTGAAAATTCTGGAAATACCATCTTTTCAAAATTCTCACAGTTCATACTGCTGTTGTATCTTTTAAAACTGTTACTTTAATTAGTGTATAATTTTTTACAAATTTTTTTTACGAAGTTAAAAATTTGGTACTATTTAGGAAGCAATTTTAACTTACTTCTGCACCAATCACAGAGCTCCAGTTGAAATGTGAGTTTTCTAGCTAATCAGAAAGTTTTTGGAATTTCGATTGGGGATAAAGTTTTTACTATCTAGCCTTTTTCTGTACATGGGTAAGCTCTTCTGTCTCTCATTCTGTTCTGTTTTTTTCCAATTTGTTTTGTTTTATTTCCTTTATTTTTGACGTATCTCATCTTATGTATTTAAATATTTCACTGTTCAGTTATATAGAAATAGAGTTAGACAATACTCATAAATACTTGTAACTGTAGAAAGGTGGGCTGATGATAACATATTTTTTTTAAGTAAATAATAGGAGTTGCCCCCTTTTTTTTTTAGAATGTTATTAAAATTACTTCTTTCCTTGTTGAATTAATGTATGTCATTGTTACTTTATTTCGTTTTTATTATTGAATTTAATACAAACGTATAATATAATAATTTTAAAAAATAATGATCTATTTTTTGAAAATATATGAGCTTACAGAAATTTTTTGTATCTAGTTTCAATATGATTTAAATAGAGACAGTGTATAGTGACAACATCATCAGAAACTATTAAGTTCAGTACTGTAATGTACCCCAAATCTAAAAATTACTATTTTTAATTTCCTGTTAAAAAATATATATTTATTTGTCATATTTATGAAGATATTCTCTTTAAGAGATGTCTTTTTTTTCTTCTTTTTTTTTTTCACATGAATGTGTATCACATATTATTATTGAAAATTATATCTAAATAAAATATATAATTTCAGTGTTGACTGTAATTATTAAATTATTTTCAAGGTAAATAAAAAAAATTGTATCGTATTTTTAATGTGTCTTGCAATAAATGTTGTCCTGCAAATAAATGACTTCATATTTAAAAATGTCATTTTAGTGAATGGAAATATTTGTAAAATTCCATGAAAATATTTTTCTGATGTAGAAGGAAAATACTTCATATGAATGTTGTTTATATTATGATCATTGTTAAACAATTTTATAATTCATAAAAAGTTGTTATAATTCATAAAAGAATGGAGTTACATTTTTAGTACATGTTAGTATGCTATTTAAATTACTATTTTCTTGTCTGTTATTCTAAGGAATTGATAATATTAATAAAAATTCAAAATTACAAAAAAATCTCCTTTTGCTAAATAGAGAGAAATCTTTTTTGAAGAGGGGGGGATAACAGACCTCAATGAATTCTATTTTTGTATCTACAAATAGTAACTTAATTTCATAGCTTAATAAAAATAACAGTGATCTGTTATAAAATTTAAAATGCAGTAAATTATATGCACAATAGGAAATCGATTAATTGTTTTTCATGGGGCCAGTTCATACGATTGCTAGATAAGGGGGAAAACGATGAATTTGGGTCAACATAAAGTATTATATAACTTAAAAATGTATGAAAAGTAATTAAGAAGTAAAGGACTTGAAAGTAATTATTTTACGATAAGTATAAAAACTTTTAAAAAATTATTTTCCATACAAAAAAATAAGAATAAACGCATACATTTATTTAAAATATTTCAAAATTTTGGTTTAAATACTTTTTTCCTTACTCGACTTACTGTCAATGCATTTTCTTAATGCACTTCAGATAATTTTTTCTCTCGCTTGAAAGGCATTTTTACCTTTTCAATTAGAAAAAAAGGAAATTATGCCACAATGTTGTTTTTCTCTTGCCCTATCAAGTATGGAAATATATGAAAGGGCACAAGCCAAAAACTACTGAGTTGATTCTCAAACAAACCTTGCTATATCAGCTGTCAAAATATAGAATGATAATGCAGATTAAGGTTAAGTTAGCTAAGAAAAGTCCTCTGTTTGGACTAAACGAAATTACTTTGCAAACAGCCCAATAGGTAAACCGACTTCGAGTTTATGATAAATTTGTTTTCAATAATTTTAAAGAGGAAATTATGCCAAAATGCTGTTTTTCGTACTTGAAAGGGCATCAACTAAAAACTACTGAGTATAATCACTACCAAGCCTTGCAATATCAGCTGTATCAATGTATAATGGTTAAGTTGGCAGTGAAAAGTAATTTGTTTAGAATAAACGAAATAAGTTTCCAATAATAAATTGAGTTATGATAAATTTGTTTATAAATAATTTTTATTTTGTATGGTTGAATGCTTAGTATAGCTGTGGTTCACTTGTACTTAGTTGATAAACTTACTGGATAACCTAAAGTGTTTAATAGCCATTAATGAGTTGTAACAGGACTATAATAAATCATTTCCATACATACATCATCAGTTATACACCTAGAATAACTCCAATGCAGCAAACTTTTATTTTACTAAATTCTTTTCATATTACAAATGTATCGCTATGTCTACTCGGCTGGGCTGCTGCTAAAGTCGACATCGAATAGCAAAGCTTCCATTGATTCTAGTTCTGGTTTCTCAATTAAGCTGAAAGTGAGAGATAATGTTCAAAATGTGTTTTGAGGCTTTATGAACTTGTGAATTTTTTTTTGTCTACTTACGGTAAAAAATTGTCCGCTTCTGCATTTTGATGGGCAGTTGTTATCTTGAACGCTGAACCTGAAAAATAAATAAATGGCAGACGATTCCCCAAAGTATATATTGCTTATAAAAATATTATAATTTAAAAAATTTAAAATATTTTTTTTGTTCTTTTTTTTTGTAAAAGTAGGAAAATAAGTGTGCCAGATGTGACAAAAAAAAAAGATCTTAAAAAAAATTTCATGAAAAGAACAATAAAAAAGTGTAATAAGAATTTCCCATCATTCAAAATCACAACTTTTTATAATCTCTAGCTGACTCCTCCCTTGTTCGTTATGCTAATCAGACCCAGTTGTTGTTTTTCATACAATATTTTTTTTAAGTTGATAATAAAGATAATTTTGTTTGTAAAATATCTAATTATTATAATTTTATGTCTTATTTTATTAGTATGCTAAACGTAACGAAATGTACTTACTTAGATTGGTACTTAGATTTGAAAAATCATCAGCTGTACTTATAAAAAAAATAATAATAAACTTAGGAATTCAGAATGTGTGACGCAATACGAAGTAATAAACGAAAAGTAATTTTACTTGTTAACAATCTGTAACGATAACGGTATATCATAACAGTTCGCATTGGAAACTTTTATCACTCTTCAATATTATTATTTTGAAAAATTTCAATACATTTTTAAAAATGATATCTTGCAACATCTAATCTCTCTCTTACTTTTCATTTTCTCATTTTTTTATTACTTTTGAAGTCAAACTTATAAAATTAAAATCACTAAAGAGATAAATTTTTCTACAACAATGGGTAAATAATTATTTGAAGAAAAAAAATTGAAATTGCGATCACTTTCAAACAGATTATAATTTGGAAGAAGAAAAAATAATAACTCGTTAAAAATGGTTTTAACAGTTAAGTTAAATTTCAATTCTACGTATTTTTATTTATTTTTCGAATAAAATTTTTCATTCCATCGAAATCCTTTTATTTCTTTACAACACGCCTCCGTTTTTTCACGTTTCTTAGTTTTTGAGAGGTGAAATTAAACAAAACTTAAAATTTAAAAAAAATGAGAAAAAATTCCCAAAAATGAGCATAAATTGCAATAACTTTCAAAAATGTTAGAATTTCAAAGAAAAAAAAACAACTTTATGTTAAGTTCTTAAACAAATATAGCCCTTTCAGCATGCTCTGTAGTTGCATTTCTGTGACCTGAAGAGCTGCTCCTATCAGGGACCCCCACCAGGAGGGGGGAGGTGGGCGCACGATGCGCCCACTTAAAGCTTGGGAGGAATTTTTACACTAAATAAAACGAATAGTTTGGGGGGGGGGATTTAGAATTTGCCCAAGAGCTTGGGGAGGGGGGCACTGGCTCGTATGGTATTATTTCCTTCAATTTTAACGGTTAATAATAATTCTCGACTTAATTATCAAATGTTACAATTTTTTTTATTTCGTAGTAGCCCTTGTATATTTTTCTATTTTCTTTAGGAAGTACACGTTTCTAAGTCTTCTAGGTTTTCCAAACCAAAGTGTTACATTAAGTTGGACACACAAAACATTGGTTATATATATATATACTTTGCGCCCAATTGGGTACTTACCATAAGTGCATGTATGTAGTGGTTTTGGAGCTGCACTTCTTTTGGCCAGCAAATACTCTTCGTTGAAGTTCGATGCTTTAGAACAAATCTCCTTCCTAATGGAACTCAGCTGGACTTTCATTTTTGCCTGTACATATGAATAAGAAATATTAGATTTCAATACATAGATTTTTGTAATTCTAATGAAGAATGCATCATCTTTGTAAGCCACCATCAGTGGCCCCCAAGCTCTTGGGCGCATTCATCCCCCCCCCAAAAAAAAAAATTTGCTAACTTCCCCTTCCATGTTAGCTTGTTCGAAATAGTGCTACTTTGCTTGCATTCTACTCATAACATGACAATGCTTCTTTTATTTATGTACTTAAAAACAAAAAATTCTCTCGACCAAATTCCCCCCCCCCAAACTCCAAACTATTCGTTTTATTTAGTGTAAAAATCCCCCCCAAGCCTTAAGTGGGCGCATCGTTTGCCCACCTTCCCCCCTAATGGGGACCCCTGGCCAACATTGCGGAACATTTCTACTTCGAAAAGGATTAATTCAGTGACAAGTACAATTTCAGATTTTCTGAAATGCACTGCAACGCAAATAACTGAGCTCCTTAACATTCTTAATTTGCTGAAATCGAAACAATCCTTTTAATGCATATGTGAAAGATCTTTTTATATAAAACATACAATATATATTATTTATCATTGAAAACACATAGTACGTCAATGTAAATATTTTTCTTATTTCAATTATTAAAAATTATTAATTGGGTACTTGCAACGCGAGAAGAAGTGAAGTGATTAGGTATAACCATATTATTTAAATTAGATTTAATTGGATACCGATAAGCTACGTCACGCGTGTGTGTGGATTATTGTTGTTAATTTACGTCGCACTAGAGCTGCACAATGGGCTATTGGCGACGGTCGCGTGTGTGTGGAACCTGATTGGTTGCTGAATCGACAAATGTTTATTAAAATTTACTTAAGATGACGTCACTTGCAGGAATACTATTGCAAAGCGAGATTTCGTTCATTCTAGTTTATGTTAGCCTGTTTTAATATTTCTTCCTACGGCACTAGTGTTCATCACAAATGGAGAATGATTCTAAATTCCGATAAAGCATTTTTTCTAAACCACAAAATTTACATTCAAAATAAATATATAAATAAATCAAATTGGAGGATACTTCAATACATAATAATAAAATTAAAAACTCTGAATAAAAACTAGTTTCAAGAATTTTATTAGTCTCTTTTTTATTAGTCTAACATTTTATCAGTCTGTAAAAATAGGTTAATAAGCATGAATCTTATTAGTCTCTTTCTTTAATTCACCAGCCAAATATGGAATAATATGATTGTTTTCCTCCTCCGCTATGTCCCGATTATTTGATTTGCAAAGTCTCGGGATTCTCAATGGGATAAGGCTCCTCTTATTCCAGGACTCTATGGGATACCTGCAAATGACGCAATGTGGGTATCTTGATCCTGATAGATTTTTGAAACGTAGCATTTGTTTACGTTTGCAACTGCTTTTTTCCATTCTATTTCGAGTAAACCAAGCCTGTCAAGTATCAATTCTCTTAAGTGACACATTCTATATTCTTTCACAAATATTTCAAGTCTGCATGCATTAATTGAACATGAATGTGCTAGAAAATGGTTTCCATTGAAACGGAAACGAAAGAAAATAAACATTGAGAATGGCTATCAGAGAAACGTACTTCTTCTTTGTTGAACTTGGTTATTTTTAAAGTTTTTAACTAATGCATATCCTTTTCATAATTCATTAATTATATTGTTAATAGAAAAACATTGTTTTGAAATTTCTTTCTGTACAAGCATTTCAAATAATTTTCCTTTGGCGTATTTCTTTCCAGTGGGGGTGCGATCTATGGGCAGGATCGACTTCTGCCATGCCATTCACACAACCACAACCCGTTTATAGGGCGGGTCACATTCACGCACAAAGGAGAAAGGACATAGAACACACACACAGAGAGAAAGAAATATCCATCCCTTGCCGGGATTCGAACCCAGGACCTTTCTGATGCAAGGACAGTTCCCTGCCCCATACACAGGCCGGTCGGCAGCGTTTCAATTAAATGCTTTCATAAAAATAATGGAAATACTAAATAAATAATGGATTTATAAATGGATATAAATTTAATTACAAATTTCAAAAATCAAAACTGTTTGAAAACAATTCTTAACTTTCGAAACCCATATGATCCTTCCACTGAACTCTGGGGTTCCGTGGAATACCATTTGGGAACAGCTGATCTAGAATGCAAAATTGATTCAGTTTGATAACGAAAATAAATAAATAAAGAAGAATTGCCTCGAATTTAAGGAAAATGTTTCTTCCCTCAGAATGTATTTGTATTTAATCAAGAAGAGAACAATTATTAAAACTTACCTGCTGTTTTTGTAGCATTTTCTTTTCACCTTTTAGTTCTCTAATTCTCTCCTGCAATATCTCCTGCCGTAAGTGAGTTGCTCTTAAATGCACTTCTCTTTCGACGAGTCTTTTCCTCTGCGTGTCATATAATGATTTAAAGCATAATAAAATAAATTAAAATTAAATAGTAACAACTATTTTTGATTAATTTTAAAGTAATAGGAATTTTAATGGATCACCAGGGAATATTTTATTTATAACTCTCTTTGCTGTTAATAAATATATATATAATGAATAATATCAAGAAACTGAAACGAAAAGATATGCTCGATAATGTAAAACCTTCTTTAGCTTTAGGTTAAAAAATAGATGGGTTTTGAGAGCTCGAAAATTGACACTCATAATCAAGACTAACCAGAAAAACAGCACTGATTTGAGAAAAGGAATATAAAATAAAGGTAGAAAAGAAGAAAAAAAATCTAGAAGAACCGTGGAAGTTAAGAGAGGCTACTTAGGTTCGTGATTTGCCTCTTTATTTACATTTATACCCACTGCACTTTTTTTCTACAGCGTATTAAGATTATGACACTTAAAATATGACTCAAAAATTTAACTAAGAGACATGAGGCTTTAAGCAAATTATTAAAATTAAGGAGAAAATTTTTTTTCACTTTATATAGATTTTATTTTGTCATATTGCGAACCAAAACATGTGACACAATAATGTAATATATAAAGTATTTGTTACAAAAATAATATATTCGAAAAAAAATATCCGAAAAGTTATTTTTAGGCAAAGAGTGTTTATTTTAAATTATTTTAAACAATAAAATTTTAAAGAGTAGCATATATGAATTTTAATTTCTTTTGAGCAATTCGGTCGATTTCGTTAAATATACGGTTTTGTATTTTCATAAAAATTACAGTTTTTTTAATATTAATTTAAATTAATTAATAAACTAATACGACGTAAAACTAATCATAATTTATGATTAATTTTTTTTATTATCAAATAAAATGTTAAAAAACATTAAATAATAGTTAAAAAATATTTTTTGCATAGGATTAACTTAAGATGAACGCAAAAATTGTTTTGATTCGCGTAGATAGTTTTAGAGATAGGATAAAATAAATTTTCGTCCTCTCATTCAAATAAACCATATTTTATCGAATCAAGACCATATTTTCTAAATTGTGGCAGCTCCCCATGCTTAGAGAACGGCATTCATCTAAAAAATAATTAATAAAAAAAATTTATTTGTTCTCAGAAAGTATAACTAAATTTATTCAGAAATAGCACTAAGTAATTAACATATTTAGTTCTACCTTTCGAACCGTTTAACTTAAAATTTAATAAATGAAGAGCTGATTATTAAATTAAAAGTTATTTAGAATGATTTTTTCTTTGTATAGTTGGATTGTTTTAGGAGCTAACTGGATAATCAAAAAATTTTTTAAAAATTTATCTCATTTTATAAAAGAATTTATTCTTGAAGGCTATCATTATAGGTCCTCTTACGAGGAAGTACTGAGTAATTAGTATGGTTCGTTCGACAAAAGCCTTCTAGGTTGGAGCCCCCATTTAGGAAACTTCGGTATTACATTGTTTAGGGGGTGAGCTCTCATGTATTAAATAATTTACTCTTCTGATATTTGTGAAACATGATTTAGAATATTTAAATACACAATGTCCCATTTTAAAGAGGGGGGTGCGATACCTTTTTTGCAATACTTTCTTGCATGTTTTCGTATTTAACTTCAATGTCTCGGATTTCTGCTTCCATATCAGCTTTTTTCTGCTTCACTGAAATTTGAAACTGGTTAAATCTTTTGGGAATGTTTATCCCTGAATATCTGCATAATATCATTTGAGTATAAACATTTAAAAAAAAAATTGGACGGGCTTATTATTGTAATTCGTACACCAGAAGCGCTATTTTTTAGCATAGATTTAATGAGATCTAATATGAAACATTCCAAATTGTGATACAATTTCTAAGCAAAATGTGAAATAAATATTAAGTGTGAACATACAAAAAGCAAACAATTGTCATAAATAAAAAAAAACCTATTTATATTAAAATACAACAACGCTGCGGTTGTTTTTATGCTTTTTTTTCTCGTTCTCTGTACGTATTTTCAAAATATTTTTTTCCATTTGTTATTGTGACAGTCATTTTGCTTTCATGTGCCTATTATGAAATTTATGTTCCGATTTTGAAAGGTGGTGTACCTTTCACAACATTGGTTTTGGATTTTATGTTAAACAAGTAAGGGTGTAAATAGAGATGGATAGGACACTTTTGTTACATAATTATATTACTACAAGTTCAAAGCCCTGAATAATATTTTGANTTGATCATCATGGAAAATATTTTGAAAAACAATAAAACCAATTTCATCCAACATGTTTGTTTTTTCATTATTAGGCCAGAAATATAAATAGCAACCCTCGTACAAGTTCAAAGCCCTGAATAATATTTTGAAACATTCAGCATTCTTTAAAAAGTCTAAAGCCTCAGAAAATATTAAACCATTAAATTTTGTAAGTAATTTACAATGGCAAGAAAAAATATCTTTTACTTTCCTGCACGAGAGAAAGCTGGGATCACTTATGTAGTTATTTCGAGTGTTTTTAAAGGACCTGGTGATTTGAAAAATCAGTATAAGAAAAACGATAAGTGTGGTTTGCTGCGTTCTACTTTAGAAACTGAGACTTTATTATCAGCTAATTTCACAGTTAGTTACTAAATTCTTTAACAAGTGGCGCTACTGACTGAAAAATAAACTACAAAAAAGCCGCCATTCTCATGTCAACTGTTTTCAGCTCAAATATTTTCTCACGAGTTTGTATTTTCTGTGGCAAACAATAATTCTCTTGATAATATCTTTAAAAGATTTCTTACTAATGAGAAATAAAATATGGTTCCTTTCGCAGAACGCAGTTAATCGTTCATTTTATTTTCTCCCGACTTTCTTTATCTGATTTTTTATTACCTGATTAGGACAATTTCGGGGTGAAGTAGGATTTAATGCAAATAAACTTTAAAAAAAGGATATTTGTTTATCTGTCAAGCCACTTCTGATGTATAAATGATGTGCCCTTGCCCTCCCTTTACGTAACTTTTTTTTAAACAAAATATATTCTAAAAACCAGGTAACCTTTTGATTTAACACTTAATTGCTGATGCACAAATGTTATCGTATTGAGTTTTTAAAACATTAAAAGTAATTATTTTATAGCAATCTTGCAATAAAATAATCTTGCACAAAAAAGCTTGCATTAAAAAATTATAGTAATTGTTTACTTTTGATGCTGTAAAATAGATTTTTCCTTACATAAAATCTTTAAAATTAAATTTATCTACTGCATTACGATGTTGTGGTTTCCCTAACTGGTGAAAATAATCAAAAATTAAAGTCAAATATATATTAAAGGCAAAAGTGAAGATATTCCTTCCCACTAAGTGTCTCTGTAAATCAATTTTTCGTTTCACGTTAACATTTTCTGGCTATTACAATGATTGCTATAAAAATTTATGCAGATTTATCTGAAATGTTTTCGTGGAAACGTTGTCTTTATTTAAATGAGTTTACGATATTTCAATTTTAACAATTATCAAAGAAGATTTATTAGAAGTTCTAAAGCTAGTGTAAAAATGAAGAACACAATAATTTTCTATTGATTAAATTTTTTTCGATATTTTGAAGTAAAATAAATGCTAAGAATTGCACTCTATTTTGATTGCGAATTGTTTGTTGTAGAATGACTTACTTTAATTTAAAATGAGTACGATGTACACTGAATGGTCATTTTTATTTGAATCTATGAATATCATTATTGCATGTTTATTAAAATTAGATGGTATTGATAATTTAGTATTAGTTTCTTAAATACACTGTTAAAAATGTTTCGACAAAAATCATTAAATAAGAATTAATTTTATCATATTAATTTTAACAACTAAGTAGAACAATAATTTTATCATATTCAACATAAACAGTCAAATAACCATAAATAGGATGGCATTCAAACTGTTAACTGTGAGAAAAATCGTATATTGTCCTCTTTACCTAATAAGGTTAAACAACTAGAGTTTTATCCGCGTCAACTAGGCTTCCAGCCAATAAGAATCGAGCGCCGTTCCTCGATAACTGGAAGTTAAGCCATGTGATAAGAATTACGAATTCATATTTTTATTTTCCACAATCAGATGCCTAACACAACAATAGATGCCTTCTAAACTTGTTGCAATAAGTGGTGGTTAAGCCACTTAGCCGTATGAAACCACTGAGTTCCTTGCAGATGCGTCCATGCTTCAGCTGAGAGAGCTAAATAGTCAATCTCATGACCGGCAGAATGGGGGTTCAAATTTCAGCCTTCACTTTAAAATGTTTTCTTCAAACCTCCAATGCAAGAGGAGTTACCAGTGTCATGTACTCCTCAATTTGTTATCCTGGACTATTGGTAAACGAAACTCTCATCCACACTTGAATGGCAGCACCACAGAAATGCTTAACACAAAAATGTCTAATGTTTCCCTTCTTTCATGACAGATGATCCCACTAGATAAACCAATTAAGCTATATTATAACTAATTAAGCTATATGAGCAACAAAGGGAGGCTTTTTATCAGCTTGGCAGTCTTCGGTCTACCATCCCTTCCGTCTGCGCTAGCCGTCCAAAGACGTTTCACCCTCGAACCACGATGAGGTGCAGAGCAGGGATTTGCCTTATTCAATAGATGTTCTTTGGTAGATTTTTTTAAGAGTTTGGCAAGGGGAATAGACTCTTAGCCACTGCTCCGCAGTGAGTATCAGCCATGGAAAATACTTTATTGGACTAGTTCCAAACTCTAAGAGACTCGAGGGCTAAGGGACTCAATCTGACTAATCTTTAGCCTAACATAACCCAACTCCGATATTCAGTTAAACTTCATTTTTACGGTTTTGAAACTATGCTAATTGCAAAGGTTACAAAACCGTAAACTTTTGTGTTCTCGGTCTTTTTTTAACCATGCCAGTTGAAAACGGTTTCAAAGCTTAAGTTTAAAGTAATACTCCTAGCCGTGAATGGATGGTAAATACTGTTTATTAGATAGTTGATAGCATTGAAGTGGTTTTGGAAATTTTTATTTAACCTAGTGATTCGATATAAAATAATTAGAGAGCATTCTAATAGACGCGCCAGTGCTTAGCGTTCTAGCTCAAAAATTTTCCCTTTAAAATAATATTTAAATTCATCTTTAAACGTTTTCATTATTTACAGAAAATTCTTTCAACTATATCATGCTATACTAAGTCTTTTAGCATTATTCTCAAAATTTATTCGAAAATAAAACCCAAAGAACCTTTGAATTTTGAAAACAACGAACATTATTTTATATTTATATTGATAACGTGAAAACAAAAAGCGCCACCCTTTATTTGCACTATAAAATAAATTCGAAACTATTCCTTAAAGAATGCTAAATAAACATTCAATTTGCTTTTAAAATAAGAAATGGATATCGTTGATAAAGAAAGCTTTCTACTCTGTAAGAACCAAAAGAATTTTAAAAACTAAATGCATATTTCACGAAAATAAATCAGTTAAAATTGGAAAACTACTGAAAAGAGGAAATGTAATGTTGCATATTTTATGGAAAAATTAAACAATTATTTTTAATATGACTTTCAAAAATTAACAAAGAAATTTATATATATATATATATATATATATATATATATATACGGTTATATATATATATATATATATATATATATATATATATATATATATATATATATATATATATATATATATATATATATATATATATATATATATATATATATATATATATATATATATATATATATATATATATATATATATATATATATATATATATATATATATATATATATATATATATATATNCAAAACCGCTAGAGGGCGTCAAAGTTTATGTTCTTATATGAGGCAAAAACACACAAAGAACGATGAAGTTAAGTTATAAAAGCAAATTTAATGGCATGTGATTACAATAAGTGTTCAAAACAGTGGCCGGCAGCGGCTATGCACGCAGTACAACGGCGAAGAAAAGATAGGCGAACATTCTGAAACACACCAGGCACATCACGAACTTTCCCTGCAGCGGCCGAAAGCTTGGCGACAAGAAGCGCAACGCAGTAACTCGCAACGTTTGTTGGAGCAAAGAAACAATATAAAGCATTTACAAGCAATCCCTATCACGTGCAGCACTAACAGACATGGCAGCGTCATCAGGGTGGCATTTTTATGTTTTATTATGCTTTATTGACATTACATACATTTGCAGGCTTGTTTGCTCAATTTAGGCTTATAAATCTTTGTCAAGTACAATACAGATAGAACAATTTGGAGAAGGACATCGCGAAGAAATCACCAAGAATACATCCAGGCTTACGACGGGATTCGTACCCGCCTCCCCCACGCTTCACACTGTGTTTGACGGGCGATACCGCTCAACCAGGGAGGCCCCACATTCTTATGTTATCAGTGTGAGAGCAGTTTCTGCTTTATGCGTTAAAATACCGCGAACAACCATACTCCTGACTGCCGCAAGATAGATAAAGATAGAAAACAAAAGCAAGTCAGATGAAGATTATATACTGAGATTAAAAAAATCAAAGTATAAATACTTAAACTCCACAGAGTGGAAACTGGATTTAATTTAATAGAAGGGAAAATCGCGTTTTCTACACAGATAATCGTGCACCATGTACTATAATTATACCAACATTAAGCATCCTTGTTTAAAATATTAGTATGACGACTTTTAACGGTTCTCCATAAAGAATAAATTCATTCTCTCAATTAATTTTGCTTTTTAGTACAAAGATTATATTTTTATTTCAATTAGTACCTATTGCCAAAATTGATAAGGCATCATTGACGTCAATAACAGTTTATCGATTTTTTTGCACTTTCTTGAACAAATTAGTTCCATATTCCCATCATCTTTGCAATTAATTAGTACATAACTCGTTTTTTTTTTCAAAATTTCAATTAGTAACTACTACTAAAATTACTTATCATTGGGGTCAGTAATAATGTTGAAATTTTTTTTAAAGTTTTTCCTTAACAAATTTGTACCATTTCTCCATTAATTTTGTTTTTCAGTACATAACTTACGTATTATTTTCTTTAAATTACAGTTTATTTTAATTTATTAATTTTATAGTTTAACGTTCTAAGAGCATAACTAAAAACTAAAATAAACACGTGATTTCAGATAACTCGAAATACTAATATGGTGACGTAATACGATTTTACTACCATTATTACGTTGATCATTCAAATAATCTGGCATAATGGATTAAAAGAAAATTTAGTATTATAAAATGCGCCATAAACAAGTTTTTGAATAGAGTTATAAACTAGCAAGCATCACTGATGTTATCTTAAATAATTAAAAATATTTGGCAAAACTGAATCGTCCTCTGTTAAACAAATGAAAAAATTACAGTTTTTAAATGTCTCTAAACTAAAAATATACTTAAGCACTGATGTTACATGAAAAAATTCAAAATATTTGGCAAAATTGAATCGTCTTCCGCTAAACAATTGAAAAAATTCCAGTTTTTGCATGTCTTTAAACTAAAAATATAATTGAGAAATCGTAAATGGGCTTCATAATATGTTTTTAATAGGGTATTTTCACTTCAAGAAGAAGAAGATCACGGATACCCACACATGTGACCTATAACGTCAGCCAGCTGATCGTTTGTAAGCGAAATAGCTTGTTTAAATTGAGCTAAGTTCATAAGATAGAATGTTAATTAACGTGAAGCTAATTAAATACAGTGCCGTATCACGCGTCGAATTTATTGAAATATAATTCTTTCTCGTCTACGTTTTTTTATTTAACTTAGATTTACTATTTGTTTATGTATTTTATTGTAACCGTGATATATTTTTGTTTTGTGTACCTGGCAACTTCGATGCATAATTAGCTTGTTTATGTGTTACATGACTTCTTGCCTATTTTTGTGTTAGATGAAATATATATATATATTGAAAGGATTGGAATCTTTGTGAAGGAATATAAAATGAGTTACTTGAAAGAATCGATACTTGATGGTTTTGGCTTACTCGAAATAGAATGGAAAGAACAGTTGCTAACGTAAACACAAGCTACGTTTCAACAAATAATCAGGATCGAAATACCCACACTATGTTCCTTGCAGGCATCCCATTGTATGCATTTAGGTTTGTGAATACTTTTACTTTTAGTTTACTTTTACTGCCTTCAGTATATTTGCTATCCTTCTTCTTTTTCAGGCATACATACACATACTAATTCGATATTTATTTTATTAAATGTATAGGTTCATTTTACCAATACCATTAAGTTTTCGGATGTTATGAAAATAATTAAGACTAGTACATATTTTCAGACAGAGAAAAAAAATTTTTAAGAATAAATTGTAGAAATAAACTTACATGTAGCTAAATATTCTTGATGAGCTTTGGATTCTTGTTCTGATAGAATAATTGTATTAAATATTCTATCTAACGACTCATTACTTTTATTCATTTTTAAATTAGTTTCAAGTCTTATTAAATACAAAGCATTAAATATTATAAAATTATTTTTATTCATTAAAAAAAGTAGGCGTAAAAGTACATATTTCAAACGATTTTTTTTGGAAATTAAATCGCTTAAAAATAATAAAAGCATATTTAAAAAATCGTTTGGACTTTGATTAGAACTTTTAAGAAATTTAATTTTTGTTTTATTTTCATATTGCAGTTTTAGTATTGTGGATATGTATCGTCCTTATATTGAATACTCTAATTTAAAATTAATTACTAAAGCTATCTAATTACTCGAATCGCATTTGCATAGTAATATTAAAAATTTCGATACAAACATCAAATCGCTTCAAAATCGTTTGTCATTTTTTAGGTTTCCATACATTCGTAAGTAGAAAAACATTTTACATATGAATGAGTTGATGTATGTTTTGTTGTTTTCGATGAAGTGTAATTATTGATGGTACTAATATAACAAAGGTAATGTGTTTATAATTTGAGCTACAGTAGTTAATTAAATGAAATGTGAATGCGCCAATGATTCTTTACATTGCCATTACAAAATATTTCAAGTTTCAATGTCACATAAATTGTCTATAGAATTTATTCTTTGTATATTTTCATATTCAAATATGCTAACGTTGATTTATTCTAAATTCCAACTTTTGCAGCTTTTTAAGTTTTATTTATTATTTTTAAAACATATTACTTAATGCAATAAGAAATAAAAATAGAGAAAAAAATAGATTTCATTATTTAATATGATAATCACTATATTGTGTAAAATATATTATGTAAGATACGTCATATTTTATCATAATATATAAAATAATATGATAAAATTTAATTTATATAAAATATTATGATTTAGTTTACAGAAAACTTTATAGTGTTTGAGGTAAAAATACTCTTTTAGGGATGGTATTTAGGAAGTATTCTTTTCTTGTTTCTTATAAACATATAAAACATTTGTAAAATCTGTGTCTGTATTGCACAGTAAAACGCTTTAAAATATATATATATATATAATTAGTTCATTGAATAAAATTTTTTAATACCTATACAAAAGTTTTTACTTTTAAATATGAACAGAAGCATGATATTATAATTATTGAAGTATAAGTATTTTTTGCAAAAATATTTAAACATAATATCAAAATTTGTTTAACCGAAATTGAATATCTAAAATTATTGTTATTTTTGTAAGAATGCTGACTAAAAATATTATAAATGTTTACATGTCATAAATATTTTAAAAATAATTTGTATCGGTTACGTAATTTGTATTGGAACAGTTTTAATTTAAAGTAAGATTACAAACATTTAAATATTTTAATGCATTTATATAAGAGAACATTGTTACATAAACACATGAATGCAAATTGGATTTATCCGCTTGCGCAACTTTGCAACTAAAACTTGCACAACTTTGCAACTAAAACTTGCACAACTTTAAACTTGTTGAAATAACTAATCTATTATTATTATTCCTTTCAGGATATATAAAAGAATATGCTCCACATCATTAGTGCTTGGAAGAATATATTCTCTGAGACAGAGCAATTCAAACTGGATCACTGGATGTTTCGCCTTCATTATCGTGCCACAGTTTATATCCTACTGATGTTCTGTTTTCTAGTGAGTACAAAGCAGTATGCGGGAGAGCCCATCAGGTGTTCTAAAAACACTCAAGACCACTACTCCATCGTGGAAATATATTGTTACATAACCACCACATACACTGTGACTTTAGCTTTGAATATGAGCGTGAGTATTTAATATAATCATCCTTTGTCTGCGAAACGGTTTTCTCTCCATTTCAATGATTTGTTTAGTTATTTGAGAGTTACTGGCGCAAAAGCCAGTTATGGCTGCATCGCATCTAGAACTAGGTTTAAAGAAATCGATTTTCATGGGCTAAAAGTTAAATCCATTTCAATGACCGAAGTATTTTGTAGTATTTGCAATTGTATGGTAATTAGATTAATTAATCAAAATTTATTTGCAAGTCATTTAAATAAATGACCCAGTGGATTTTGTCGGTAAAGCGTGTACCAGGCACAGTCTTCCGAAGGTGTCGCTAACTACGCTGTTTAGTTTAGGACTCTAAATAGAGCAGAAAAGACGCTTTACGCCCATTGCTTAACAGAGGTTGAGTCTTCATATAGAACGTTGAAGTTCTGGAAGTGACTTTTGTCAGTTTTATGCAGATAACAGAGAGTAGGAAGAAACCGTTTGTCCAAAATATCCTATTCGGTTTACGATCTACCGAAATATGGAACTACACAGGTTTTCATCATGTTACGAGGATACCAGGCATGATGTTATATTTCCAAAGACAGTCTGCTTTTTGAATTTTATGATCAGTTCGCGCAGGGCTTTAATTCTCTTGATGGCGTCAAAAACTTTTGTTTTTGATAAATCTATCCATGTTACTCGCCTTAAGACCCTCGTGATACCGATCAAACATTTTTTTACTTCTCTGAATAAACATATTCTTTTTCCGACCAATTTGGAATTTTAATTTTTTAAATATAAGGGATAACCACCATCTGGAAAATAAAGTCCTAATAATTTGATCAGAACAGAAATTGATTTTAGAACCCCTTATTGACGAAGAAGTCCCTTTTGCAAAAAAGAAGTTGTATTTTTAAATTTTTATTTCTCAAGATCTGGTCCCTTTTAATTCTGGATTTTGTAATTTAAAACGAACAACAATAAATTAAAATGTTTTTTTTTTCCTGAAAATTCAACTTTTAAAGCTTATTATTAAAATAAATATTAAAAAAAATAAGTATAAATAATTATTTTTTGCATGGAATTATCTTTGAATAAGCAAGTTTTATAATCATCTGCAAAAAATTTGTGAATCACTTCATTAATTCGGAGATGGGGCAAAATGCGTGTTAAGTGAAATTTACACTAAAGGATCAAAGCTTACCATCGTTCTCCTGTCCACACCATTTCTAGATTGCGGCCTCCTTTCTCCTCTTTTGAGGATCAAGATTCCGAGTCCATTAGAAAAAAAACTTACTTATTTATAGAAAAACAAGTTTTAGTGTTTGATTTCGTGACTTAAAATATTACCTAAACTAAAAAAAGTTAAACCCTAGAACTATTAAGTTCCAGTATGTGAAAATCTGGTAATCAGGCCAAAATTTATTCATGATGATCTCTTTGTTATGGGCACAGTACAAACAAAACTACTTTTGTTGTATGCCACAGAGCCATAGGATGCCGTTAGTCATTAATTATTTTATGTTGCCCAACTGCTTAGATCACTGATGGGACGTTAGGAAATCGGACCAATCTTTAATGTATTTGACAGGTGTATGAAAAGCAGATCAATCATGATGTCAATGTGATAGTGCTCTCTTTGATACTTTGACCCATCATGCGACAGTCCTCTAAGCCAACGTATTCTTGCCATAGGTTTCAGATAATCCTTGATAACATGGGGAATACATTTGTACGATGGACAGCGATGATTTTATTCCACGACCACTTATCAGCTTTTGTAAACATAATTTAAAATAGATACGCTAAGTCAACCCGTCTTTTCAACTAGATCGATGGAACTCTACGCATCAACACCTTACTACTCCGATGTCAATTTGCGCATGCTCGGTATTCTGAAACTTTCTGGGCTCCGTTACCACCATTTTGTTCACATCCTTCGTAAATAAGTATTTAATACATAATTCAATAAAACGAAAGGACCTCAGAAACTTTGTTTAAAATTCATTAACAATTTTAATTTGTTTAACTTTTGTTTCAATTATACATACATATATTATGTTTTTGTACAAGTGACTAAGTAAATATTTAAACTATATAATAAAGTCAGAGTAGTTTCTTAGATTTATCTTCCTAAAAATTATTTTGAGGTTTTAGATATTTTCTATTTTTCTTGTTGCATCCATTTACAGAAATTTATATTTTCCTTTATGGGTTGATTTAAATATAGCTTTTGCTCGGATATTGATTTTCTTTGATAACTTTTTTTTTCAATCTTCTTTCCCTTTCAATTTTTTCTCATCTTCCGTTCTAAAGGACGTTAATGCAATATTTTGATAACAATTTTGAAGTAGAATATAACAGTATCACAAACTTATTTTCCACTTATAAGGATTTATTATATAGCTCTCTTTCAATATTTTCTACTGTTATTTTTCGAAATTCTGTTCTTTCTTCATTTTATGTATAATAAATGCTCCTTAAAACGTTTCCTTTTAAATTTACCAAAAAATAAAATAAATTCTTTAATGAAGTCTTAGGAGGGTAACAAAAGCTCTCAGAATGATTCTTTTCAAGGTGCTAATTTAAGAAATACTTTTGTTAAAAACATAAAGAACATAACGTTTCACTATGCGTAAACTAACCGGTATTTAACTAAATAAGCAGACAAAATTTTTTACAGCATCAAAATGCTAGTTTGAGTCAGGCAAGACATGACGGAAATTGACAGAGAAGAAACGAAAAGTGTTTATAAGAAGCACCTTTAAGTTTTTTCCGATAATCAATCAGGTTTTGATATTTAAATTCCATTAATATGTATTAATTTTAATTCTAATAGGGATATGCCACTCTTCTTTAGCGTTTTGGTTTTTTTTCTACCTCAAATATTAATCATGTGCATGGGGCCTTCAATAAAGTTAAATGCCCCTTCCCGGTATACTTTAATCTAATTTTTTTAAGGCAAAGTGCTATTACTCTTGCATACCCTACACTGATATCCTTTAAAGGTTAAATGCAACTGTCCGATGTACATTTACCCGATATACCCTACGCTGATGTTTTTATAAGATTAAGTGTCTCTGCTTGGTAAACGTTTACCCGGTATATCCAGCATTGATTTTTTAAAGGCTAAATACCAAATCTCCCAGTATTCACTGCTCACGGTACGACAGTTGAGGGGAAGGATTGTCTTTGCGATCCCAAATTCACCCGCCGAGATGTTGAGATTTTGTGAGTTTTTCGCTTTAACAGAACAATACCCAATATATCTGATAATGAAAAATGAAAAATCCCATCACATGTAAACCCTCGTTTCGTATTTTAAAAGAAGGCGATGAGAACTCCTAGATTTTACCACAAAGGCTTGGTAAAAGTCCGAAACGGTATCATATTAAACCATACTTCGAACTTTTACCAAGCCATTTTGGTAAATCTTAGGTCTTACTAGTGAGACTTCGGATTTACCAGACTCCAGGCTTTCACAGTAACATATACACTACTGATCTTTAAAAAATCTAAGCCAAGAAGATGGCAAGCCACACGAGTGAAATTTGCGTGGCAGATAGAACGTGATGGCGTGATATGTAAGCAATTAGATTTTTAGAGCATTCACGGTAAAGGTTCGATAGCAATTTTATCATACTCAATTTGCATTTAAATGTTATTTGAGTCTTAAAAAGCTGTTGTCATACCTTGCGTAAGAAAAATGTGTACCTTTACAAAATGTCTAGAATAACGTGCCTGACTTTGAAAAAGGAATGATTATAGCCTAACAGGGTGGCGGTTTATAGTACATTATTATTGCTGCTCTCGCTGACTAAGACCCCTTAACTAACTGTTCACACAATATGGAATAGATAGGATCAGGGTGATCATACGGAACGTTATGGTAGATTTCATCGATCCCTTACTACTAACAGTCAAGAAAGCTGACATTTTATCCGCATATCTTCAAGGAGTCACATAACCACAACACGAACCTTGAGAATGGAATTGAAGTCGTTTACAAGACAATATGTTTGTGATCAAACAGGTCAACAACGTTTGCAGCAGTATGAACCACTTACGTGTTAACCAAGTCTTCTGTTACTTTTGACGCTGCGTCATACGCCATGAATGGCGGCACAGCGGTTCTGTACTAAAAATAAAGCTGGCCCCACCGGTGTTTGATAGCACCATGGAGGGCGCACATTTCAAATTGTCATTCGACATCGTCATACTGGTCCATCACTCGCAGTGATTATATTGAGTGTTAATGAATACACGAGTCAATATCCGTCTTGTTTGCATTTCTGGCTCTTTGAACACCAACCGTTACTCGTGGCTCTGTTTTATTTTCGACCTCGCTAATGTTATTTTTAAGCAGGATAATACACTACTAATGTTTTCCGAACTGAACTGATCTTCCTTTATACAAAAAATGTCCAAAAGTAATCGTCGTCAGCATGTACTCTAGATTTTTGAACAATTGAAAATTTATAATTAATGGTTACCAAATAACTGACTCACCTCAACTCCCCAATTAATATTGTCAATGAACTATGTCATTGTCCTGAAGCTGTATTGATCGAGATCCCCTAAAATGACAGTGTGACTAATAATCGGAGCGGGCAAATGTTGTTTTTGCTGTTTGGTGGGTTAACTTTTGTTGCTGGTTTGGTTTCTGAGGATATATACTCCTTAATTTTCCACTAACAACGACTGGTGTAAAAATTTTAATAGCCATCAGTGTATTTTGCATTTTTTAAAATTATTTCGTAGTTTAATTTTTTTACCTGTATATCAAATTAAAAGTAATATGAATTTAATTGAACAAAATTCTAAGTGAATTTGTTTGAATAATACTTTGAGAAGATATTTCCGTATCGTGATCTGTCGTGCCAACTACAATCGCGAATGCGCCAAATAGATTTTAATCTAGCAATTTTTTTACGAAAAAAATAGAGGTTTAATCGGAGCTGGGTACGAGTTATAGCTTTTGAGTTGACCCTCTTCTGCGAAGATTTTTTTGTCAGTTTCCAGTGGGCCACTGCCCGAAATTTGCCAAGAATTGGCGATTACAGATCAGGATATGGAATTCTTCTCTATTCGGAGAATATTTGAATTAAAATCTCTTTCAATTCTTCATAATTTTCTTTACAGCCAGCAGAAGGAGCTCCACATCCAGGCATATTTCCAACTCAGGATGAAACCCAATACCAGTACCACAGGTACTATCAATGGGTGGGATTCATCCTGTTCATCCAGTCTATAGCGTTCTACCTTCCTCACTGGGCATGGCTGGAGTTTGAGAAGGGAAAGATCTCGTGGTTGCTACAGGACAGGGGAGAGACCAAGGTTTACTACAACAACCAACAATACAGTAAAAAGGACTTGATCGTCGAGCATCTTCATTCACGCTGGAGTGTCGACAACACTTATAGTGTAAAATACTTCGGCTGCGAAGTCGCTTGTTTCGTCAACATTTTACTTCAGATGGAACTGCTGGACCAGTTGTTTGACCGACAGTTTTATTATTACGGTATCGAGGCGGTCAACTACTTGAGGTGGGATTCGCAGACTGATCCGTTTTCTCGCATGTTTCCGAGAGTGACTAGCTGCACTTACCGGTATCTAGGAGAATCCGGAATGGTCAGAAGCACGTCTGTCATCTGCTTGCTAGCCGTCAACGTCATCAACGAAAAGATCTTCCTCTTTTTGTGGTTCTGGTTCGTTTCTCTGGGAGTTCTGACGTTCTTCACCATTCTGTTCAGGCTTATTGTGTTCTCTTTTCCATCCCTGAGGGTGACGATGCTTCGAACAACATACCGGAATATCCCCGAGAACGATGTGAAAGCTGTCATGGAGACAGGTAATATGGGAGATTTTTTGTTCATCACTCTCCTGGGACAAAACATGAATGATATTTTAATGAAAGATGTAATAGTGGATTTTTCTGCTAAAATACAGGGAAAACATTCATAATTTTTTCTGAAGTTTTATGTATACGTAATAAACAAAGTTTATTTAAAGTTAATTTAGTCGAGATAACTGTGTTTTAAAAAGGAAAACGTTTTGAGCATTTCAACAACCCTAATGATGTCGTTTCAAAACTTTTCCTTTACATTTCGTCTTATTACCAATGAGATGGTTAGAATGTTGCTGAGTGTGGTATGGAGATCTGATGAACTCGATCACCATATCTAATGCAATCGAAATTGTTGAAAGCACGAACCAAGATTGTCTTAGGATCATTAATAAAGAAGATCATCTGTCCATTGTGGTAGCTCTGGTGCGACCATTCAAATCAATTTATTCAACCCACTATGGGTCGCGAAAGTAAAATTAAGATCACTTTTTCTTTCCTCCAGAAAGAAAGAGAAAGTTGCAAGAATTGTTCTTTGATGTTTAGTTTCATCAGTGAATTTTTTTAATTCAAATTTGAAATCAGCTCAATAAAATTTAAATAAAAAATATAATTATCTCGCATTCATAAAGCCTAAAATTATATTTTTTAATTAATTTCTTAATTTATTTGGAAACATAATTCTTTCTAAAATCGTTTATTCTACTAGGATGGCGTCTACTTCTAGTACAGATGGCAAGAGTTCATTCAGAACAATTTATATGGGAATTATAGAAAAAGAAGTCAACCTTTTTATAACTTTATTATACTACCCAGTATACTTAAAAGTTTCTCTTTCCCAATAATTTCATTCAAATATAGCAAAGATATAGAAGATGTTTTTGTTGGATAAATAAAACCTTTTTAAAACATCTATTATTATTCTTTTTTAAAAAACTATTTTACTTCCAAAAATTTGGATTTAAACAAGACATACGGACTCCAACCTCAAATTGAAGACCTTGAGAATAAGAAGTGATTTTCCACAACTTATGGAAATACCATTTTATTAAGTATTATATATATGAAAATTGCTTAGTTGAAAAAATACTTTCTGTTGTGTAACAACATTTTAATGCTTCATTAAACATTTCCTGTCTGTTATTATGCTCTTACTGAAAAAATATTGTTGCATGGCTTTAAGCATAAAAATCCCACATAAAAGCAAAAAAATTCTTTTCCTTTTTTTTAAAGAATTTTTTTTAGCGTTATAAGTTTGAAGAGATCTTTTTCCTTGGTAAAATCACGACTTCTTCTTTTGTGTATTTTTAATCATCTTTTTTTTTTAAAAAAAAGGAAGGAATAAAAACATTACAAGCACTCTTCTTTCTTTGGGATATTTTTCCTTTAAAAAAACTTTTATTTGCTAAAAAATGGTTAAAGAAAGAAAAATAATGAAGCTGAGACTTCGAAAACAAGGTATCCATTTTATCGCCATTTATTCATAAGTATATAGTTGAATGAAATTTTTAAAAAACTTTGTTTTTATGAAAACTATTCGATGAAAACTGCCATTCTTGGTTTTAATAGGAAGTAGTAATTATTTACAAGAAAGATATAATCGAATATTTGTATTAGAAATGCAATACCATTTTATTTTTATACTTTTAATTTTGCTTATCTTTCATCGAGTGAGTAATTTTTTCAAACCTACTCTAAATTTTGGAAAAATGTGGGATATAAAGCATCAAAGGAGTAAGAAAACTGTCCATTTATTTTTCGTGAAGTTGTCGTGAACTAGAACAGCAAGAATGAAATGCTTCCTGTATATAAGTTATTTTGTGGGATAAAGTTTGTATCTGAGAGAACGGTTATGAAAAATGCGAGCTTCAGGAAATTGAGCTACTGGATTCCACAGAGAGGGAACATATTCCACGAAGGAAGCTGTCGACAAGGGAAGTTAAAAAAAATTACAGTTTAGGTTGTAAATTCTGTTCTTATGAATATTTCTGGGGTTTAAAACCATAGAATTAATCAAAATTAAAGTTAAAAAAATTACAATTTAGGTTGTAAATTCTGTTCTAAGAAATCTCCCTGTGTTGCAAAACCATGAATTTAAAAAAATTAAAGTTAAAAAAGTTACAGTTTAGGTTGTAAATTCTGTTCTTAGAAATATCTCTGTGGTGCAAAACCATGGAATTCGGGAAACTGGACTGATAGTTCTACTTTCGGAAACAGTGGACTGTTTATTCCCAAGCATTTTTTGAGCATACTGCTTTTTTATTTTAATGATCCTAGGATATATGTCGCAGAGAGAATATAAACACGAAGATTTGATCAAATTTCTACGGTAGATCATCAATTCAAGGAAAATATTAAAATAACAACTGAGGCGATTTCCCTAAAGAAAGTAAGAGACTTGATCAAATTGCTTTACTATTTTAGTTGAAAGATGAAATAATATCGTTTAGATGTAATTAACCGGTTAAAACTAACAATCGCCAGATATTACTAATTATAAAGAAGTATGTCGGTTAAAGTGTATAATTTGCCAGAATTTATCACATTTATCTGTTATTATTAATAATTATCAATGAAGTTCGGTGAATGTAATAATTTTCATGTTATTTGCCTTAAGATTTCAAACATCCTTTCGAGTAATGGTGATTTCAAGAATATCGCACAAATAACTAGACAATATCAGTTGTTTGTTTACTTTGGATGCAGATGCCGGCACTTTATATGCGTTGTTCATCTCTTGTGCGAATACTTTGAGCTTGAAAGATTTGATTCTTTTTTTTTTTAATCTTTCATACGTTTTTGTTTTTTAAAGATACTTCAGTGTGGATGGATACAGTGTGGGTTTTCCAAAAAATGTAAACCGAATAAGGCATTTAACTTTAAAAAATTATCAGTATGGTTTACCGGGCAAATGTGTATCGAGCATTGGCACTTGCGCTTAAAAACATCAATGTAATGGCACTCACTTTCCTTGATTAATTCGATTATTAAAAATTATAAAACGCGATTATTATCAATATACACAAATGTTTTCTTTAATTTTTTGTAACAATATTAAAATGCATGAATTGAAGATTTAAAAAATTAACATTTATCGATGGGTATAATGATATTCAAGAAAAACTGAACTCTTAAACTTATATTTTAAATTAAAACATACTCAAAAATTAGTATGTTTACTTCATTTTTTGTTCATTTTTTAGCTACATTCATCCGATTTCTTTATTTCATCTTTCCAGGAATTCGATTAAATCACTCACTTTCTTTGGGAAAATATCTTCACAGAGTTTTTTTAACATCTTCCGTGAATTGATCTACCTTGGGATTAGATCAAATCTCCTTTTTTATCATTTTTCTGCAACAAATACACACTTGATAACTTAGGCTTTTTTTCAAAGTGTGATCGTATGAAATAATGCATTCTTTTTTATGACTAACAGGTTATTTTTGTTTGCTAATTAAGTTAACCTATCTTTAGCCAGAGCCCTTGATGCTCACTTTAAAAATGGAACAAAATGTCCCTACGAAGAATTTAATGCTTAAAAAATGACTAACTCTGTATTATCAGGACTTTTATTTTCCTGGACTATAAAGAGCTTTGCAAAAAAATTGTTAAAAAAAGACAGGAAGAAAAATCGATCACAAAGAAGTGCGTCTTCTTGCCAAAATAGTGTTTTTGACGTGACAATAAGTGACTGTCCTCACTCAAATTTAATACATTTTTAATTTGTTAGACGTTGACGATTATTTATAAGAAAAGATATTATATATTATGAGCAATTTAGTGTTTCCTGGCTGAGTGATCAACTTCAACTCATAAACATTACGCGCATTGCTTTGTAGAGCAACAGTTTTGGGATTCTGTTCTCATACTCATATCAATTAGTTCACCTGAACTATTTGAGTACGCGTCTATTGTCTGGTAATATGGATAAAACAGAGATCCCGCACGTTACACTGTATCAAGAGTCTCTCTGTTCGTATTCTCTCTCAATGACAGTACAGACGGCATTTCAAGCTACGAAATCACACACAAAAACGTACTTTCTCTGAATAAACATATCTTTATTTCGACGGATTCGAATTTCTGATCCACATAATATGGAGGGTAGCCACAATTTGGGATATACGATCTCAGTAGTTTTGTCAAGTGAGCGGTCCGAAGTTCAGACAACTTAATATTGATTTTACTTTTTGCTTATTTCGCTATTTCCCGAGAACTTTTTAGCGAATTGAAATTTTTTTGCATACAATTATAAAATTTGTTTTCCCAAAGATATTTTCATTTGTGATACTAGTAGGTGACAATTCGATAATTAAACAAAAGCTATTTAGTATGCTCCGTTTCCTTTTTTCTGCCTGCAGCACTTACAGATTAATATTTTTTTTATAGCCAGCTATCTTATAAATAGTTCGATTTTAGAATTATTTTTTTTATAACTAATAACGTTTTTGAATAAAATAGGGCATATTAAAAGACTGTTTCAGCGATTATTAAGTAAATATTATGTTTTTTTCCCTAAAAGTGATTCTTTTGTCGTGTAATTTTATTTGAAAAAAAATTCATAAATGACAAAATCATTATTTTTTAATTGAGATAAATAATTAATTTTGCAGACATCAATAACAAGACAACAAAAAAAAGAAGGGGAAAGGGAGAAAGTGACGTATAAAAAACAGTAAATTTTCTATGCTAATTTTGAACTTCATTAGACATTGCTACATGCATTGTTGATAACTTTAAGCATCAAAATTTATTAAAATGTAAAAAAAATTTAAAAATTAATTTTATGAGGATTCATTAGGAAGATAATTTTCAAAATATATTTTAAGGAATTTCGTAAGATATTCCAGCTGTGGCGTGCAAAGGTATGTAGACGCAAACTCCTCGATTAGATGCCACTTAAAAGAGGAGTGGTATAATGTAATCTCTGGAAAGGGAAAAAAAAACTTTATTAAATTAAGACGAAGAAATCGTAGAACGATATGTATTCATTAAAGTAATTTTAATTCCGATTTTTAATAGTTTTTATAAATGTATGCATAGGTTATTTTGTAAAACTTTGTTATTTCCATTAAAATATTCTTGAAATTTCTTAACTGTTTAAAATTATGGAAATTTTAATAACGTTCAAGAATAGATTTGTTTTGAAGTCATAATTTTGGTTTCTGTACAAAACATTTCGTATTTGCCTAATATTTACAAATTAAAAGTTTAATTACCTTCTAGAAATGATATTAGTAATCTAGTAGCACGTTTTAAGTTTCAGTGTGATGAATCGTTGTTGGATTGAACCCCTTTGATTGGGTACCTGGAGCCATTGTCCCCTTCCCCCCTCCTCTGTATGCCCTT